GAAGAATCATCACCCGATCTAGACGAACTTCGAAAACTTGTCGATATCAGGACCGGTCACTTCAGTCATACTCACAGATTGTTCCCTGGACATCCGGATTGGAATGATGCAATTTCATTATTGGCAGTCACTCATCGTCCTAGCAAAGAGGACCATCGACTATGCCCCGCATGTCTGATGGAGACCCCTGCGCCATTATCGATTTGTGTGATGTGCAAAGGATTTTTGGTGAGTCATGGATGGAGGAAACGAATCAAGATCACCGTGGCTACAGTACCAAAGGCCGAATCACATCATCGAGAAGAAGATCTCAAAGACCATGTCAAGAAAGCATGGGAGGAGGTGAAGATCGATTTGACAGGTGATGATGATGACGACGAGGTGATGCCAGATGATGATGATGTCACCATGAAGAGTCCAGAACAAGAGACTCAACCAGAAGAAGGAGATGATGATCAAGCCTCGAAGAAGGGCGACATCAATGATGAGAAAAGAGACTTCAGAGAAGAAGATGAGGTCGACAAATTTCTCAATCAAGAGGGAAAACCGACCGATGAGAATGATGATGAAGAGAAAGCGGTCGATGAAATCAACATTGAAGAGTACGAGGCTGGAGAAGCTCGTGATGCAGTGATTGAGTACCCCAAGTGGATGCAACGGATTGAGTTTGGATCAAAGGTCCTGCCGATCGAACCTTGCACAATTGGAGATGCTCAGCCAGAATTCATCAAGATCCTCCTGTTGCAGATTGGATTACATATCGTCAGGATCTACAGACTATTCCAACGGAACTTCTGTGGAGACATCGAGACGGCATGGAAACATTTTCAACAGAACCAGAAATTCAGGATGGACCTGGACTCAAGGACACCTTACCTGGGCGAGGATGAAAATGGTGAACTCATTGAACCAACTGCACAACAGATGAAAGAGCTCTACAAAGAGATCGGCCGACCAAATCAAAAGGACGACATCGGAGAAGAGGGATTCGTCAATGCATACTATGGGGCAGTGGTACTCAAAAGACTTCTCATATATACCCTTGAATGTGGTTACACGTATGATGACTTGCAAAACATATTCTTTGATGAGGAGATGGAGAAGCTGTCGAAACGTGACACCACAATGGATGAGATGAGAAAGACCACAGCGGCCCGCGACGCCCTTGACCGACAAGACGTCATGGTCAGAAGAATCATTGCAGGTGCATATAGGGTAAATGCTGTTTATTTCTTCAGGAACGTTGACTTTCAGGACACAATCACACTGAATCCAGTTGACATTGTGTGTGCTCTTCGTCCACCACTTCGAAGAATATCACTTTTACACCTGATCCTTCAGAATGGCCGACAATTGCCGCGACCTCTACTCCAAAAGCTATATGATGCGATCGATGACTACAATCACATCAAGCAACGGGAAGATCAACGACCAAGGTGGGGCATCCACTTGTCTGAAGCTCACATACTTGCGATTGCTGATACCCCGACTCCTGCTGATCGTGAACGTACCAATCCAGCCGCTGGCAAATCGAAAGCAGCCCCGAAAGCTGCACCAGCACTGGGAAGAGTGTCGAAAGCGAAAGCATCATCGTCAGCGACCTGGAGAACAGTTGAAACCGCTCCTCAGCCAAAACAAGCTCCAGTGACCCCGCCAAAGAAGGGTGGAAAGGACCAAGGGAAAGGTGGAAGATCTTATTCACACCGTGGCGGAGACTGGAACCATCAGGGATACTATGGATGGGGAAATAGATGATTAAGCGATCTGACCTCTGCATAGGTCCCGATTGAACCTGGCGATGCGAGGATGCAATCATTGCTCGAGATTTACCTCTACTTCATTTTGAATGATTTCTGAGAGGACTCTGAGCCGGCTAATTTAGAACCACACATTTTTTTTGAACATCATTGCATGAAACGCTGAGTTTCTACAGCGGTCTACGTCTCAACCGACGAAGGGACGGGAAGGTAAACTTCTAGTTCCATAGTCAAATTTGTGTTTTGATTTTTTTTAATTCACATGCTTGAGTGGGATTCCATGATGGCTACGCCACATTGGATGAACCTCAACGCTAGACACCGACTACGTCGTGTCTACATGCACGTGAACAGAACCTTTATCTTTTGGTAGAGATTGTAGCAAGCCGCCATGTAGATGTGAAGTTCTGAACGGACTTTAACTCTCCATAATTAAATAAATGAACAGCTGCAGATCTAGTGGAACAATTTAAAGGACACTCCTTTGCGCGTGGCCGACGAAGTTGGCCATGCGTGGGGGGTGCGAATGGAGTGTAGGCTACGGACTATCACACACTCCTATGTATTTCAACTCCTTATTGTTCACCGCCAAGGGATGCATCGAACTGCACCTTTGGCTCAAGATCACTGCAAGCACCAGAAGGAAAAATATAGCCATGCTGAAGCCGCAACTCCTGTGCCGTCGTCACTGAACGCAACTAAACATCAGAACATAATCGGGGAGATAACCTCCGATTCGCAGTATATGTATATATATATATATGTGCATACACAGTTGTACAACATATCCATATAGATATGCATATATGCAATCATGTGTACAATACCTACTCTGCCTGCCATGCATAGATTAATGTTTGTGTTGCAACGAAGGGTCTACAAAATTCAAAGCCACCCGGGATATAGAACGGTTTGGGGTTGTGGCCTATTCTGGCTTCAGCAGAGAATTCCCAGGTCACTGCTGTCACTGCTTAGGCTTAGGGTCAAGTGACGGATACCTCAAGTCGGCCGACCGGCTGGCCAAGCAGGGGTGCAGGATTTCTTTGTATTTTTTCAGGTGGTTATATACACTCCAGTAAACTAACATAAATTGCGATGGAACATGGACCATTTATAGATGATTTACCTAGTAGAATGGTGATTTTCCATAGCTTTGCGAGTTTAGCAGAGGGTATGAGTGAATTTATCGATTTCCGGTTTTGCTTTTTAAGACGTATCCTGGAACATTTCTTGAGAATTGAATTGGCTTGGATTGTGGCAGCAATTCGGAACAGGATGTTAGTTAGGGTTTATGTAGTTCGATTTAGAGCGGATTAGCAACTTTGGAGGAACAGCACACCAATCAACAGAAGGCTCTTGGAACTTGGTTGTACTCTGGGTCGACTTGTTGGTGTGGGAATTTGAAACGAATACATAGACCTGGTGAATTTTATACAATATCCACACAATAATCCTGGACCACTGCAGCGCAAGGGCTGAATGAACGCCCCTGCTTCACAGATTCTGTCCACCAGGGTGAGCGGGGGTTCATCCAAGTGGCAACACCCTAAACAGCCCATGCATAGGTTTAGCGCCCACTTTCGTGGCATCCGGGAGACCTTTGAATCTTAAAATTTCAATGCAATGCGTCGAAAGTCGGTGATCCGTCCTTTGTGACACTGGATTTCACTGAGAGTCTGGCTTAGCATCATGATTAGCAAAGTCTGCATTGGCAGCGGTCTACCAGGTGCCAAATGGCCGCTGGTGAGTCTGACAGAGACTAGGAGGCATGTCACACTTGTTGGATCAGCGACGCGGACGACGAACTTGTTTAAGCTGTAGGACCTTTCAAAGTGTAAGGTCCACCGCCGTGATTCTCTAAGAACTGACAACTTCATGGTTGAAACCAGCTGGTTTCCTGCCGACGTTCGACGTGGACCTTTTGCTTCACGTCGAAGGTGGAAATCGTCGTGGGAATATGCTGAATATGCGAACAGCCGCAGATACGTGGTGGAAATGGTGCATCCCACACAGGGAGATGACCAAAGCAAAGCCACCAGCATTTTGTCGTTCAGAATGTGTTCCATAGACTCCTGGACAGTTCTTCATCCGAAGGTACACTTGTCCAAACCCAGAATTGCAATTTGACAGGAGGGCCTAGTTTGAAGCTTTCACACACACTGGAGTAGTTCTGCTGCTGACAAATCGAGGACCAACCGCCCTCGATGGTTGGGGCGGTCTTGGGCCAATTCAAGCCCAGCCTGCCCTTTTGCTTTGCTTTGCTGGTTGATGCTGGTTGCATGTGCTGACATCCAGCCTTGATAGTCAGGACAAAGTCATGCGATCAGTGAAGAACCCTACAATTGGTTCAGCTTTCTTTTTGTAAGGCATATGTAAGTGCTACGAGCAGGAAAGATGGGGACACTACCTCAGCACGAAGAGTTAGAGTTAAGGCAGCGTGTACTCCAGAAATGATGTTTCAAATTGTTTAAATCTGAACTGGGGGTTTTACTATACCTGATTCAATGGACATTTGGACTCTCAAGGCATCTTGGCATCTTGGCATGGCATTCGAAACAGAACTAATAGACCCAGGTCATGCCATGCTTTCATGCGACCTCGATGTCGCTGGTGACTGAGTTCTGAGTTCCTGGAGGAATGCCATGGACATCCGGTTGTACTTTCCAGATTGCCAGGTTTGATTGAGGTTTGGCATCAAAACCACCATAGTTCGGTGGAAAGAACAAACATGTATTTTTCTACACTCAACAGTTCCAAGCAAACCAAAGCAGTAAATTCGATGAAATTGCAAGCGATGAGATTGCAAGCGATGGACGTGTTGCAAAGTTTAAAGCTGGGCAAGGTGCAAAAAGATCAAGGCTCCCCTGAAGCGTACTGACCTCTGACTGGGGTTCTCACCTCACTGAGAACTTGTCGCCATATGGTAGCTTTTCAGGCTCCAAGCCCACATGCATCGGATCAAACTAGGAACGATGGATTCCGAGCTTAGTGATCTTAGTGGCCACTGCATTTTTTCAAGATACCATGATGTGACCTGAAATCATGCCTTGGGGATCATGGAAGTTAGCGGCAGCATCTCCAGAACAAAACCCTGGTGCGCTGAATGAATTCAACCGTGTCAGTTTCCGGAAAGAACGGCGACGTCGGCGTTTCCGGAGCTTTTCACATTCGCTACGATTTTCGCTACTCATGGTGAATCCCCCCAAAACCAGTGGCACTCCATTGGGTCCCACGACTCTCGCCATGCCGCTCCATTGGGCAGCTCTGTGGCTGGTCCACGCCACTGCCGCGCCTCTGGTGACCTTAATTGTCTCGCGCCATGGTATCCGTGACTTGGAGGTGAAGTTCCGTTGGGCGTCATGGAAGTCATGGAAGTCATGGACTTGAAAATCTTGCCATTTCACTTTTCCAAGATGTCAAATTCTCAGATCTTCCATGAGTTCTGCTAGAATTTGAGAGTGGCTCTGCCCAAACAGCGGTGCACTTAGACGCACTTCTCATGAAAAGTACTGTCAGCTCCCTGAGTTCATGTGTGGTAGCACGAGGGCGGTCAGAGTTCGAGCTTTTTGTTTTTTCTGAAGGAACTCTTCATGTGGAGGGGCACTCGATTCCCCTGGGGACATGTGTAGAGAGTGCTGAGAGTGCCTGAGGCAGGTTTGTTTCATGGCAGCCCAAAGTGACCTTTTTTTGTTGATTTTTGGATGAGTTTCTATGCATAGAGAGCCCCAAAATCCCATCGTTTATGTCCCGTTTCACCTTTTTACAGTATACCTAATCTCTATATGTTTCCTGGAGCAGACATGCATCTAACATCATCTAACCTTAACGACGACAAAAGTACCATCACATTTTGCAAACGATATCTGCTTGGTGGGCTGCAACAAGTTTGTTCACGATTCGCCTATGTCCCCAAGCAGAGTCACCCTTCCCTACAGATTATATGTCTACTGACAGACAGAACTCAAACTATATATATATATTTTCCGAAGTATTTACGATCAACCGTGAAATAGTTCAAGAAAATGATGCCGTCTATTCTACGATCAATCGAGAGATATCCGCATCCTATCGATTTTGATGTAGAGATAATACTTAGAAATCTGCCCAGCACGGCCTGTGCCTACTTACTCACATTTCTAGTTCCTCTTCCCGAGAAGCACGCAGACTTGCTGACTATCAGATTTTTTTGGGTGATCATTCACCCAATTCTACATTGAGATGCGGATGTGGAGATTCCGTGGATATTTTCATGCAGCAAAATCGCAGCAACTCTTCCACAATGCCATGGCATAGAGCCAAAAGATGCTGCCAGCTCTTCCGTTCCCTTCTTCCACTGATGACAGCCCTTTTACTTTCTGTCCACCCGTTTTCAAGTTTAGGATCTACAGGCAGAGCTAAGGTGAGAGTACTTGAGAAGGTTTCTCAAGCCCAAAACCAGCCCAAACACCTGGGCGTCGCATGGTGAATTCTTTGTTGTGCCTGGGAAGATGACAGTCGCACTGAGGCACGCCATATCCCCCCGGAGGGGAAGGGAATCTCACCAAGGAGGCCCTGTGAGTTGTGGCTGGTCAGGGTCGAGGTCAAAACCGAACCCCAACAACCTACAGATTTTAGATGATTTTAGTCCATTCTTGGTCGTCTAAAATCTTGGGGCATAATAGTGTGGACCATGCCCAACCATCACCTTTCTGAAGGTTCAAAGCAAATGGAGAATTTTGGTGAGTCACAGTCAAAACCCCTGATTTTCTTGGTTTCTGCAAAACGCCCCTTGCGACAGTCCATGGCCAAGTACACCCCTCAAAGTTTTCCACCTTGCTGGCCGCCAGGCGCGGATGGGGAAGGGGGATGCAGAATGGGGGACAGATGGCTTGACTGAAAAAAAATGTCCGAATCGGAGGCATCGGGAATTCCGAGGCCCTGGAACTTCGGAGGTCTGGGGGACCAGCATCACTGCAGGGCTGACGCCTCATGGTGGCCGGCAGATTCGCAACATGGGAGCTTGGTACCTCGGAGGGATACGACTCGGCAAAGTGGCTCCTGGTTTACCAAAGGATCCCATGGGAAGATATTGTGAGAAACACCAAATTTGTGGAAGTCTCCATTCATCACTGATTCTGATCCCAGGATGGGCAGCAGAAACTTCTCCACAGTGAAATGTGAGGAGGTGGCTGTCTATGCTGATACCAACTCCGCACGCGACAACGAAGCTCGGCATAAATCTGTGGCAGTTTTCATCATTCTTAGGGAAAGTGTTTTCATGGGATTTCATAGGATTTCATCATTCTTTTGGGGTGTTTAGCCATTGAGCCAAACTCTTGGTTTCCTTCCAGATAGGACCCTCAATAGGAGCCTAAATAGAGATTGTTTCCCTCTTAAAATTCTTAAACACCTCAGGAGACAGCGACCAACTGGACACTTGGAGCATTTCCGAGTTGCAGCTCGCTTCACCAAGAGGAGAACATCATAGGCGAGGCGTGGGGACTTTCTCCAAAGCCGAGTAGGGGTTTCTAGATTTCTGTACTCTGTGTCTTCTGAAAAATAATCTTATTTGAGATTTCAATCCCACCAAGGGTTTGGTGATCTCAATTGACTTTCACTCTTTTTAAATATGCAACATATGCATAGTTTTGGCTGCTTCAACCACCCGGCGACAGATTTGAGCCAATGTTCGCTAATTCTTGCTCGGGGGCTTTGAAGAATTGACACCTTCCAACTTCATAGCATTAATCATTAAGACATAACATGACACAATCAGATTTGTACTGAATCACGAGGCTGGACCCTCCACCAAACCACAATCTATGACCCAAAACTGCAAGGCGATCCGAAGTATTTGCTCTTCAACGACGGAAGCAACCAGGAGGGTTCTGCAGTCCTTGGGACCTTCAGTGCTGGTTAAGCGCCAAACAATGGTGGCTGTTTTTCCCCTGCAAAATGCAGACTCCCTCCGAAACTATGGGTGATTCAATGGATTCTAAGGAAAAATCGACACCGGAAACGCCGGAAACCATGGATTTTCATGGATTTTCCCATCAAAGATCATAGATTTTCCATGATTTTCCCGTGAAATACCGGGGGTTCCTGCCAATGTCCTCTGCTCCATTGAGTCCTGGTGTCAGGAGCTTTGTGGCTTTCCGTGGCGCCACGAGGTCATCAAGAGCTTCCTGGGAAGTGGCAAGGGCCACTTCGAGGCTTTGTTGAAGGCCTGGCAGGCACAGATTGAGAAGGCCAGGGGTTGCCAGGGCCAGGCAATCAGCTGTGGGCGTTTTTCGGTAAAGTATGGGATGCAACCGAGAAAGATGCGAAGGTCAAGAGCAGCTCAAGTGGATTGAGATTTTCCGAATGTTCCACCCTCAAAATTCAAGACGCTAGCCGCTGCTAGCCACTGGACTGATTGTTTTGGGATGGATGGCTCCAAACACTCGACAGGTGGATAGTGTGGTTCACTGCTGTCCAGATGCTGGGCTATGTGGAGGACAGCTACCATGCAATTTGAGTGGCTTGGAGGCCAACGTTCGCTGATGCAGTAGTGGATGGATAGACGATGAACCGAGCCCGAAACTGGTGAATCGCCTGCAAGATTTGAATTGTGATGATTTTCCATCTACTTTTAGGATGTCTTGCAATTAATTTGCGTGCAATTGGATTCAATTGCGAGAATGTGCCAGATGCAAGATACTTGTAAGTGGATGAGGAGGGGCATGCCAGATGTAGCAAGGAAGCACATTCAGTGGATCTGGAGGCTCCTGCAATTAGGTCTTCGTTTTGGATTAGATGACTTGTAGGACATGAACACCTCATTTGTTGTGCCAAATTTCTACCAGTGAAGCCTGCCCCGCAACTCTTCCCCATGTCCAAAGAGATGAACAGGTGGGATCCCCCAAAGATCAAAAACCACAACGATAATCTGATCGACGGCAATTCCATTTACGTCAAACCACCTCGAAAAAGGATGAACACTTATTTTATCCCCAAAACAACTGGACATCGAAAGCTGACTCAGGTGCTTTGCCCATCAAGTACACCGGAAAGTTCTGGGCTGCACCTCGGCGCCCCGGTGGGATAGCCGCTGGGGTCAGTTTTTTCCCAGTTCAATTTTGACCAAAACATTTTGGGATCCACCATGTTGACCCACCATTTTAGGAACCAAAAGTTTGAACCAAAATTGATCCAGCCAATTTTTGGGAACTTTTTTGGGCCAACAAAGTTTGATCACTCAGCAGGCTACAGAGGGCGCCTTTGACATTGCTGTCTTTTGGGCTGCATCTTGGCTGGGATGATTGACAATTACTTTACTTCGTGTGATCCCCACCATGACATTTATACATTTTCTTACTGGCAAATCTTCTGGCATTCTATCTGACATATCTTCTGACATTCTATTTGGCATTCTATCTGGCATATCTTCTGGCATATGATCTGGCATATCTTCTGGCATATGATCTGGCATATCTTCTGGCAAATCTTCTGCCATTCTATCTGGCATATCTTCTGGCACTCTATCTGACATATCTTCTGGCATTCAATCTGGCATTCTATCTGGCATATCTATCTGGCATATCTATCTGGCATATCTTCTGGCATATTTTCTGGCATTCTATCTGGCAAATCTTCTGGCATTCTATCTGGCATTCTATCTGGCATATCTTCTGGCATATCTTCTGGCAAATCTTCTGGCATTCTATCTGGCATATCTTCTGGCATTCTATCTGACATACCTTCTGGCATTCTATCTGGCATTCTATCTGGCATATCTTCTGGCATATCTTCTGACATTCTTTCTGACATTCTTTCTAACTTTCTTCTGCGCATTCTTTGTCCCATATCTTCCTACATGAGGTCCGGCAGGGAACACTTGGCATGGATACCCGCGGTTGAGGTCCGGCAGGGAACACTTGGCATGGATACTCGCAGATGAGGTCCGGCAGGGAACACTGGGCGTGGCTGGTCGTGGTTGAGGTCCGGCAGGGAACACTGGGCGTGGCTGGTCGTGGTTGAGGTCCGGCAGGGAACACTGGTCGTGGATGGTCGTGGTTGAGGTCCGGCAGCGAACACTGTGGATCGCGGGTCGCAGTTGGACGAGGACGACGAGGACGACGAGGACGACAAGGACGACAAGGATGACAAGGAGGACGAGGAGGAGGAGGAGAGGAGGACGAGGCAGGAGGAGCAGGAGGAGGCAACTGACATAAAATCTAACAACCCTCACCTGGCAGGTGGGGAAAAAATCACAAACACCAGGATCTATGGTCCCCTTAAGTGTTTTACGTGTTTTACCAATCATACATCGTAAATCATCGTAATATAACTGGCTGACAACTGGGTTGGAACTGGTTGGCAAAACCCTTCTGTTTCTACACCAAGTTCTTCACCCTATGACCGAACTCAGGAATTCTTCCTGCTGGAATATTTGAATGGAAACCCATCCTATGCCGCAGGCCAGCTCAGCAACTGCCTCAATTGCTGTTCTAGTGACCTTTCTGAAGCCAACCTGAAAATTCACAATCAACGGACTTTTCAGATGTTTGTTTTCCAGTTAAAAATCGATGCATTGAATTTTCCGCCATTCCAAGAGTGGCGGCTTCGCGCAGAATCAGCCACAAAAAGACTGAGGTCAAGCTGATTTAGTGGATCTCTACCGCATGGTGGTGGCCAACATGGAATTTCTGGATAACGTCTTCTCCTCCAAACGATTAGAGTCCACCCTGGCGACTCGGAACATCTGGACGATTCTGTGTTGAATCGCCAGTGATTTAGTGAAGTTGGAGTTGAAGTTGGTGACGGGCACAATCTATCTATCTGTAATTGTACATACGTATACTTAATTATATATAATATAATACATACATATATATATATACTATTATATACATATATATATATATATATATCTAGACATAAATCTTCTATGTTTTCCTACACATATAAATATGTAATTTCCTAGTATATGATAATATGATTTCTAAGTACACACACACATATATATATATACATATATATATATACACGTACTCTGTAAATATGTATATTCTTTCTTTCCTTCTTCGAGATGTTTCTGGATGTTTCATCGCATGAAGCTGATTTGCCGGGTGATCTTCTACAAAACAACTATGTTCCGATAATATGTCATATCAAGGGAACAATATAATATCACCCGGCAAATGTCAGGTGATCTTTTTGATCATTATTGGAGTGGTATGGGTTTGTCCAAAAAACCCGAAAAAGTCTTCGCAAGTCCATGATTTTCCCCATCAGTGCGAAGCCTGAAGCATTTGAGGATTTTGCCATGGACCAACCCATATCTGCCATGGTCAAAAGTTGGTTTCTTTCCCAAAGATGTGGTCATCCAGACTTTACTAGGGATTAACCCAATGATAGGGAATCCACTTCATGATGGTGGATGAAACCATAGCCCATCCCATATTGTTGCTGATATCATGATATATCCTGGATATTTCCATGATTTCCCCATCGATTTCCCACATTTTCTCATTTTTGGTGGAAACGTCGCCGAGGCGGCGCACATCCTGGGCACTTTGCTGCAGGCTGAGCAGCAGCAGCAGATCCCAGGGGTGCAGCATTCGAAGGACGCCAAGGTGGTCTACATGGCGGGACACGCCGCTTGATCATGACTTCATTTGGGATATGAAGATATGTAAATCATGTAATAAAAAGATGCATATAAAATAGTATACATATATATATATATATACATCCATATATATATATATATATTAATTATGTAAGAATATCTGTATAATATATATATATATTTGATATACACGTGGCTGGTGTTTGTCTGATTTATCCCAGAACTGGGCTGGTTGATTGCCTGCAGCAAGTACTACTTGGGGGTTTTCCAAGTGTTTTGCGAAGGCTTTGGACGGTCAAGTTTGTTGTTTTGGCCGCTTTTGCTGGATTTTCACTGCTGAGAAATACCTTACAGCATTATGCCAAGAATAACAGGGACCGATGCACCCAACCCACCAGTTTGTGCTGCTAAACTACAACCTGAAATGGTTCACTGTAGACGATCCGTGACCACGCCATTTCCAGCAGTGGTTGGCTCGGGCCTTTAATTCTCATTGCAGTATCAACCATTTACAGCTGGCTGTTACTTGGTTATCTGGTTTCGCTGGCTTTTGTCTTGGCGGGCGGCCTATGAAGCTTGCTGGGATGGAACCTAGAAATTCCTGCTCTATTGTTGTTTTAGCTTTTCGGGGTCAACGCCCCGAGGCGGGCGTGGGTTTTTTCCACGTTTGTGCTCTGTGGCAGTATACGTGTTTAACGCTCTTGCCGACTGTAAGATGACGCTACCGAAGACATGTTGCCCAACTTTGTTGCTGACGTCTTGCTACCTTGACCGGGAGGGGGGGTGGGGGGGTGGGGGGGGGGATGATAACGTTCCTTTCGACTGTAAGATGACGCTACCGAAGACACGTTGCCCAACTTTGTTGCTGACGTCTTGCTACCTTGACCGGGAGGGGGGGTGGGGGGGTGGGGGGGGGGATGATAACGTTCCTTTCGACTGTAAGATGACGCTACCGAAGACACGTTGCCCAACTTTGCTAGGTTCATTTACAACATACATTTATCAAAACGCATGTTTTTATATACATGTATGTTTACATATTTATATATATATATATGTGTGTGTAAAGGGTATTTAAAATATCTATGTATTCATGTCTCAAGCAGATGTTGCGGAATTGCAAAAGTTTTTTTTGGCATTTTGACATCTTGCAGCAAACGTCAAAACATCATAGATCACAAGCATAAAATACTGCAAATTACAGTGTAAAAAGGTGATTTTTGATTCAATCACCAAGTACACAATTGTAGAAAACCCACACCCGCCTCAAGGCGGTGTTCCCTTGTTTTAGCAGCACTGTGTTATTTCCTGTCTTGGCTGGGCCCATGGAACTTTGTAGGGATGCCACGGACGTGCATTGGTCGGAGGGATGCCTGCAATGCACCACAGCGTGCAACCACTCCAAAGATGACTTATCAAAGTGGCACACTGCAGAGCAACGACTGGGACAACTGGGATGATGAAGACTCGGATTATGACACCTGGATTGCTGATCACTGGGCTGGCGACGACGACGACGAGTCCGGCGGCTATGGAATTGACTGGGACGGTGTGGATGACTTTTTGTTGGACATGGATGATCCTGAGGAGTTGGCTGAGTTTCCGTTAATGTGAAATTCCGGCTTTTTAGAACACAAAAACATCAACATCGTGGCCACGTTGCGTGACACTGCTCGAATGCGATCGTGTCAAAATCGATGCTGTATCTGAAACAGAAGTCCTGGCTCTGAGACTCATAAGATATGGATGCTTCACAACCTTTTGCATGGATTCATGCTGTGGAAAGTCCATACAGATGCGAATCCCCGATGGTGAAACCCACGGTCTTTGTTCAACCCTTGCAACTACTACCTGGTCCTTGAGTGACACATGATTCCACCAACTGATGTTGAAAGGGTTTGTGTTAATTTTGTTTGTTCCCAGGGTCCCACATTTCTCATAGTCACCCTGTTTTGTTGAAAACCGGTTCTCGGAAATCCCTCCTTATTTGAACTCACTTGGATCCAATCCATAATCCCACCTCAGATTGCTCATGGGAGTTTCGGCAAGGATACGAATCTTCTTCTTCTGCGGTCCTTGCTTGGTCTGCGTTGGCAAAGCGATGGCTGGGCCGAAAATGCTGTGGCACCTGGTGGTATGCTTATCGTTGAACTGGACTGGGATGTGGTGCCGATGGAGATGGGAATGAGTTAGCCCTTCTGCTGGGATTTATGATTATTTATGGATGTTTCTCTCCCCCGGTATTGTAGGTTTCGAGGCATCCCCCAATGTCGACACATCAGACATGCTTGCAATGGAACTGCGTAAAACACTTCAGGGAGGAAACGAACCCCGAGGTTCAAAGCTTCACTGTTCACACTGCAAGACAGCTAGCTATCATCCTTTCAACTGGATGCAGATTCCCAATCTAGGGCAAGGCTGTAGGTGGGGGATGGGTCGCATGCCCACGGATGCAGTTGGAGAACTCCAGGAAACAGGGAATGTTTTCCCCGGTACAAATCCAGTTTTAGCTGAGAAAATGCTCTATCAATGGGGGTCTCCATTTTTCAGCTGTATATGAGGGCAGATTTTGCGACTCCACCCAAGACTGTTCCTTTCTTTAGCCGCAGGAGGATAGCAGTCGAGGTCCAGTGGTGTCCATGTACTTTCAGGTCAGGATTCAGTTTGGGAGCCGAAAACAAGGATCTATCTGGGACAAGGTCCACCTTTTTGCGTGCTCTGTTCCACGAATTCTTGGTCAAATATCTATATATATATAGATGTCGATATGAATGTCCACATCTCTGTGAGTTGAGATACCCACTTCGCTGTTGTGGTCAAGTCCACATGTTGTCGGTGCGAAATCCTCCTGTGATCCAGGAGCACATCCCGTGTTGATCTCCTGTTGGTAAGACCTTTTTTGTTGGTTCATATGCCCATTCTTGATTGGTTAGAATCTTATAATCCTTGCAGTATTTTTTCGGTGAACATTTTTTACTTGGTCAGTATCCTCATATGGGGATTCTGGATGATTATGGGGGTTTCTTGAAACAGGGCCCCGACTCCCGTGAAATCGATGGCTTCAGACCACTGCCGAAGATCAGGTGGCCCAACCGCAGCAGCTGCGAGAGGGGGTGATCTTTGGTGAGCAGCAGCCCAGCCGTGTGCAGGTCACATAGAGCATGGCCGATTCCATGGATTGTTGTGACCAAAACCGGCGTAGAATCCGTCGATGAATCATCCCCAAATGGCCGTATGATAACAATTGATAACAGCTATTTTCAGGTGATCGAACTACTACGATTCAGCCATATCATAGATATATAAAACTGTACATATAAATACATGTATGTAATGCCTATAGGGATCCCCCCCAAAGGGAAAAGTGTTTCCACCATGTTATACATGATGATTCCTCCATCATTTCCAGGCGTCCAACTTTTCCATCGTTTTTTTTGGTTGCTATACATGTGTGTATACAGATATATGCTGATATATATATATATATATATATGTACATTATATGTGTATAGATATGATATATCTAAAATACACAGTACCTCCTGTTTGGATCTGTCTGGATGGACATGGCCCATTTAGTTGGATGATTTACACATTAAAAAGGCTGAATTTCCCATAGCTGTGTTGAATTTCCAGAGGGTAGTACATATACATATACGTATATATTTTTCCCTCCCGTGCCCAGTAGCGTTCACGCTGCGACGTATATATATATATATGTGTATATATGTATATATATATATGTATAATATTAAATGTACACATACGTGTGCTGTGTAAGTGCACATATCTATGCGCACAAAAAATGCCCACAGGCCCACATACGTTGTTCACCTGTTCGGAATGAGTGGCTCCTCCAGAGCCTCAGTCTCCATTTCTGGTCTCACATATTTCGTTACTGGTTGGTTTGTTGGTTAATTCAACATTTTTCTTGGCATTTTCCAAAAATATCAATGTTGACAATGTTGATGGGTATTTTTTTCTCCATGATTGTGGCTTGTAATGTGCAGGTGGCCATCACTGACTGTCGAGAGGACCCCTTCGCGTGCCCCTTGGATGCTTGGCTTAACATGTAACGGAACAATTGGGCCATATGGAGTATTTGTCATCATCAAAATGGTAAATTGTAGGGGTGTATCTCCAAGTGGTGGGAATGGAAGTATGTAGCAACCCCACCAGAAATAGATCAGTTGGACACTTTGATGCGCCGATCATTGGTATCCATAATTTGTTTGGGGTCCAACACTGGTGATTGGAGGTCAGAAAGCGTATGTATGCCCGACAACCATAGGGACGCAATGAGACAGCAGGCGAAGATAGGTATACAACCAAGAATGATAGGTGCATCCACAAAAAGGATCTCAATCTCAGCCACTGATTTTGATTACTGTACCAATTTTCAATTTAGCATGTGACAATAGGAGCTCTGAATTGACCCACAGTGGGGTATAGGCTTCCCAAGAGCAAGACGTGGCAGATAGCCAATGTGAAAGATGATCGTCAAAATGTGATATTGGAATCGGAAAGACATGACCCGGGGGTTTCCCAAAATGGGGGACCCCCACATCATCCATTTTTTTCTGGGGATTTCCATGAAAAACCATCCAGCTATTGGGGTAGCCTCATGGCTTAGGAAACCTCCATACCAGGGACTCTCAGGACACCTTTCAGAAGATTGTGGTATCTAAGATTCGACCTGAGTGCATCGGCATTCCAGGCGGGATGGCGGGATCGAATTCAGCCCGGCTTGCTGGTTGGGTTGGTGGTTTCAAATATTTTCTATTTTCCATAATATATGATATATATATATATGGGACAATCCTTCCCATTGACTATCATTGACTTGACTAATATTTTTCAGAGGGGTAGGTCAACCACCAACCAGATATATATATATATATATCCATTAACCACCATTAACCACCATTGGGGTAGGTCAACCACCAACCAGTGTGTGTATCCCCCATTGTCATGTCATTTTTTGCGGCTGGAAGTGCAGGTCTCAGCAGCGTGGTCGACAATAGCACTGCTTCTGCCACCTGGCCCGCGCGCTACTGGTGGACATTTCTGCTCACAGGCGCCGATGAAATCGATGAAATCGATGGAAATGGTGGATTCCTGTAACATTGAATGGTGTTTAACGGTGTTTAATGGTGTTTAATGGTGTTAAAAATGGTGTTTAATGGTGTTTAATGGTGTTAAAAATGGTGTTAAAAATGGTGTTAAAAATGGTGTTATTAATGGTGTTAAAAATGGTGTTAAAAATGGTGTTAAAAATGGTGTTAAAAATGGTGTTAAAAATGGTGTTAAAAATGGTGTTAAAAATGGTGTTAAAAATGGTGTTAAACATGGTGTTAAAAATGGTGTTTAAAATGGTGTTTAAAATGGTGTTTAATGGCGTTTAATGGCGTTTAATGGCGTTGAACCCGCTAGTCAGTTATATAAGTTCTTTCAATGAATGCATGAAGTCAGCGTGTTTAATGTGGTCTTAAGATGCGTTAAGCATTAGTGTTTATTTATGTTTAGTTTAATTCTATGAAATGGTGTTTAGCGAAAGTTCTGGTGATTTTGGGTGCCGTGGTTGTTTACGATGGATCTTGAGCCCTAGTAAAGCCGGTCTTCAAAAACTGCCATTGGGTTGCTGATTGGAAGGTGCTGTCCATCCTGTATCCTGTTTTAATCCGCGGTGAAGATTTGGATAAGTGGGGAGATGCCTGAAGCTATCCCAAGCATTTGACCCAGTATTCATTGTATCGCCAACTTGCTTCTCTAGGTTTTCATAGCCATGCTGCATGCTGGCCATCAACTGATTTCCCACCCATGTACCCAGCACTGCGATTCCAGCATCTCCCAAGCATGTAGAAAGCAATTTGAACCCATTTGCCAATGAATTCTCCACCTGAGTGGCTATGGGTCAAAATTTAAGACCAGGCGACAACAGATTGACCCATTGACCCGTTGACCTCATTGACCCCACTGACCGATGCCCTCAAAACATTAGTAGCTCATTCGTACTATGGTTAAATATACTCTAAGTACGAACATTTCCTCTGCGGTTTCAAGGCCTTGGCGCTTGTTTGCTGGGCGTCTTGCTGAGATCTGTGATGCCCAAAAGGAGCTGTGCAAGGCCCGGATGGCATTTGGAATGGGAAGATGTTGGGAAATCATGGGATAATTTCCCAATGAAAGATGGAAAACACTGGGGAAAAGTCATTTTCTGATCGCATAGGACAATGTTATGGGAGCAACCGTAACTATCCCAAGAAAAAAAAATAAAACGGTTTTGGTGATGTTTAATTCATCCGGATCTAGAAATCATAGAAACAAATGGGACAATCACGCGGGGAACGCCAGGATGGTAAGTGTATGTAAATGGAGCGAAAAAAAACAATCTTTCCATTTTTTGGGGCGAAGTTGGGCTTCTTATCAACGTGGTGTAGCAATGGTGCTCTCACTGGGAGATAGTCCCTATAATCATGGGATATCAGTGGAATTCAGTGGATATGTCACCACTTAGTTAAAGGGAACTGCATGCACAAGTAGGGAAATCATCTATGGTATAACTCCTGAAATTTCCTTTGTGTGATTAGTAGGATTACCCTAGTGGCGAAGTTTGTGGGCATGATCAGGAGAAAAAGCGAAGGTTTCTATTTAATTGCTGTGAATGATCGTACAACGCGATGATTGTGAAGGATTACAATTGCTTGTCACTATGCCTGTGGCCCAACATTTCTGGTTTGTGATCATACTTTGCCCTCCATCAAAGATGTGGATGAAACTGCCCCAAGTTGCCACGGTTTGTGATATGAAAATGACATTAACTTTCCAGGGTGTTGTTTTTTGCTTTCCTTTATTTTGGGTGGATGGTTGAGACATTTGCAGCCAAGCTGGACACTCAATGAAACGTGCACAAAAGGGATATATATATATAGGGAGAACATTGACTAACAATATTGTGCTCATTTTGGAATCATTGAATAATTCTGGCATTTCAGATTAGTAAGACCCACGACGGGAAGAATGAACCATTAGAACATGGAAAATTCAATTTCACCCTCCAGTAATTTAACAAGGCTATAGAAAATCACCATGTCCAATTGGAACATCAGCATATATATATATATATACATGCATGCATGCATGCATGCATCCATCCATCCATCCATCCATCCATCCATCATACATACATACATGCATGCATGCATGCATGCATGCATGCATACAGACATACAGACATACAGACATACAGACAGACAGACATACATACATACATACATATGGGCTATTTGCCATAGCAAACAATCATTGACTATTGAACATGGACTGGATGATTTTCCTATCTTAGCTAAAACTATTAACATATAAATCTCGGCCCATTTCATAGATCATTGTTGAGGATATTTTTATCTAGTAATTATAATTCCAGAAGCTATTTATAGATCCTTACCCTCCAGTAAATTTTACGAGATTGGTTTTATACGACTGGAGGCTAAGCCCAACACTCAGCGCGTCAGGTCGCCTTCCTCCTCCGGCTACAGCTCGCAAGAGTTGGCCGGCTGACCGCAATGGGTCGAGGCTCGACAGGCTCGACAGGCTCGACGCGAGTGCTTCGGGGCCTTCAGGGCCCTCCGAAAAGAGGAGGCCTGTTTGGAATGATGATGTGGCTATGGAATCTATGGAACAGATTTCTTCCATGTCTTTTTTAGCTCTAGATTGCAGCATATATATATATTATATATATATTATATATATATATTATATATATAATATATATATATATATATATATTATATATATATTATATATATATATATGAGATATTATGAGATGTAGCTATATGATTACAGTATATGGAGGTTTCCTAAAATGAGGATCCCCCAAATCATCCAGGGTTGGACCAGTTTAGTATTGAAACCCATGGTTGTGGGATTCCCCACTTTAAGACACCTCCATATAGTATATGCCACCCTCTCTCTCTCTCTCTGTGAAAAAACATAAACATACATACATAATTGCGTGCTAAAAAGAAAAGCAACAATTTAATTTGGATTGGTACTGCGCCCTCTGTTGAAGTTGCCATAACCATGTCACCAGAGATGGTAAGACACGGCTGTTGCCTTGGCTGAAGCCTTTGCACGCTGTGCATCGCTTGAATTGCCGTGCTGAAAAAAGGAAGGGGCGAGGATGGATATGGGATTGTCCAAAGGCACTGTCAAGGGGGAAAACGATGATAAAAATTGATGTTTTGATAACCACTTGGATTTCCGGGATTGAAAAAAAATGAGGCAACCCATCGAAAGGCGGCCGTCTTCCGCCGCCGCAGGGAGTAGCCAGTCGCATCAAAAGTCTTGAAGAGGAGCAAAGAGAGTTGGTGGAATACCAACAGTTGGAGTCCGCCCGGCCCGGTTGAAACACCGAGCGGATGAGGAGTTTCTCCATTTCGACCGGCCAATTTCTAGGGGATATGGGGAAAAAAAAAGTGGATTAGTCACCAAAGATTAAGATAAGCCCTTTCATAGTCGAACCTGGAAACCCAACATCGCCACTGAACGGAAGGTAAATCATTTGCGCTTTCCCGTTGCCATGTTTGGCACTACTGCAGGGTAAGAGGAAACCCATGATTCTTGACCAGCAAAAAGGGGAAGTTTCCGATAGAATTTCCCTTCAACCAATGCCTAGAAAATCATACAGTTGCCAGCGTGTTGAAGTCATGGGTTCGAATCGGACGATATATGAAAGCCATTGAAAGGTGGTACTTGTGAATGGAAAAGCGAGGCTAAGTGTCGAGAGTGCAAATACAGATGCACAGACTTCTCACCGGACATTTGTTTTGCTTCATATTTTCATCATCACAGACACATACAAGAACGTTTAATGTATAATCATTGACCATAGACATATACCCAGCGACTTTTCCAACTTGAATGAGTTGGTTCATAGGAATTAATGAGGTAAACCATGGGACCCAACTTCGCCATCCCCTAGGCTTTGTGGCACCCCCATGGCCTGCCAGGAAGCAGCGCCGCTGCTTGGAGTACGAGCTGACGGATCGGGACTGGCGCACGGCACAGGAGGGGCCGTGCCGGGCCGTTTTTTCGATCGCTGGGGACCTGGCGGGCCTGGTGCCTTCGCAGGATTTGTGATCCCAATATGGATGATATGGATGATATGGATGCGTCTGAAAATGGGTTATGCGGTAATTTAGTGCTGAACAAAATGATGATGATAGACAGATAAAGCATGAGATTTTGGGTTCAGACAAAGCAATATTCCACCTCTTAATGGTTAAAATATGTTAAAATCCGAATATATAGGATTATATAGGATTATATAGGATTATATAGGATTATATAGGATTATATAGGATTATATATATATCCCATTCTGTTGCCATTCTGTTCCGATTATAAGTTGGTAAAATTCATTGAAATTCCAAGAATGGTGAGATTCCGACGATTTTGGTAAGTTTCTTCTTGGCTTTGCCACATCCCAAGATGCTGGGAGGGTGATTCAAAACACCTCCAACAGGAGCGTATCGAGAGTTTGGAGGCACAAAAACGTGAGGTCGCCGCACAACTTCACAAGGTGGCCCTGTCGGCCCGGACGGTGGGTCCCTGGGTGCTGAGTGAGGCGAAAAAAGGATGTTGGAGAATGTTGTTAGATGAGCCACTAAAAATAGCATTGTTGATTGGCTATGAAATGGAACTATACTACCTAATCTATTGGGGAATTTATACTACCTAAACTATTGGGGATTATGACAACCCATAGTAGGGAAACCTCTCGACCAAAATTGTATAATGACATAGGATAAGTGCATTTTAATGGCTCAGATGATGTTAGATGTTGTCTTTTTCGTTCGAATTTAGCATAAACACATCCCAGGATTTCAGTTTCGGTGCAGAGGATGGGGCCCAGAAACAAATGGAGAGGGACTAGGAACCATGATATGAGGAGAAGCGGTGATTTAAGCAGCCAATATTGGTGAACGTAACCAGAGAAGTTTGGTTCTTCTCATTCTCCTCTGAATTATGTAAGATGAGGAGTTTTCTATCTGATCTCTGGTTTCCTGTAGACATTCCCCCTCCAAACCTCTACCCGTTAGACCACTGCAACCCACTTCCACAAGATAATACACACCCAAAGCATAACTGGGTATTCTGAGGGCAGACCCGTTTGAATATCTGATAGTAACTAGAACATCCGTGGATATTTCCTGTAATTTCTACATTATACACCGATTCATAGCTGAACTATGCATCTGTTTTTGCAGATAGCTGGACAAGAAATAGATTCTTCTCCAAAGTCAGATTTTCATGCTTTAAATCCACCAAACATGAATAAACTCTCCAACGACTTCACCCGAATTTCTCCAACAATGGACATGCTTCTTGACATTTTTTGTTATTTTACTTTCAATTACACCGGCAAGAGACCCCAAACAGTGTGGGGGGTAGGAAGTCAATGTACTAGATGCAAGCAGCAGTAGCTATGGCAGAGTAACAGATGAGGTTCGGCGTTAGCGCAACTGCAGCGGCAGGACCTTCTATATACTGTAGATCTATATCGAGGAGCTCACAAGATCTCCATACCAGAACTTCCTATGAGCATCCCAGAAGAACTTTCATACAAGCACCAATGCAGAGTATCTTCAAGATCTTAATGCGAGGATCTCTTGGGGAGGATTTCAACAGGATCTCCACAAGATCTTCCGACAAGGATCTGCACAGGATCATGCAAGGACCTCTTAGAGAGGAATTTATCAGGATCTCCACAAGATTTTCTTATAAGGACCTGTACAAGATCATGCAAGGACCTGTGACAAGATTTCATGAGGATCTTCACAACATCTTCTCACAAGGATCTCCACAAGACCTCGGTCAAGATCTTCATATATCACTGGGACCTCCAAGGGCGCACCCTGAAACTCTTGCAAGACCGTGATAGAAGGGACCAAGAGCGGGACAACCGTTTCGTGCGAGCCTGCACCGTCGAAGTGCACATGGACATCTGACACAGAAGTCAGGAGCACGTTTTGTGCGAGCCTGCGCAGTCGAAATGCACTTGGACATCTCACAAGAACAGTTTTTATGCGAGAATTGACAGGAAAAATGCCGCGCCCAGGAGCGCGACAACGACTTTGTGCGAGCCTGCGCAGTCGAAATGCACATGGACAAGTCACTAGCCATTTTATTTTAGGCGAGAACTGACAGGAAAAATCCCACGCCCCAGAAGTTCGCCGGACGTTTTGGTGTGCGAGCTTGCGCGTCGAAATGCATGTGGGCACCTCACAAGAGCAAGTTCACGCAAGAATTTACAGGAAAAATGCCGCAAAGCAGACGGCGTGCCCTGATCTAACCCGGCTTCAACTCCTACCGTCAGAACCCCTCAGTCTGTTTGGGGAAAAACGGCTTCAAACATCCACTGCGTCAGGGATTTTCCATGATTTCCTATTGATTCTCCACGATTCTCCAGGATTTTCCATTGATTTTCACCGATTTTCCATAGTTTTCCATGGTCTTCAATGGTTTTCCTACCGGATTCCAGGGGTTTTCGTTTTGAACCGGTTGCGCCCGGGCCGCGATCGCCAGGTGCAGCGCGACACCTCGGAGCTGCGCACCTCGCTGGAGGATGCGGAGACGGAGGTGCAGCGCGTGCGGCGCCTGAGTTGCGGCACGTGGACAGGGGATGGTTATGGATGGATCTGACCATCGTGAAATTGGAATATATGGCGAATGTCAAAGCAGCATTCTGAAGCTTAGCGACAGCAATAAAATTTATACAAACAGAACTCGAGAATTAAACCAAGAGAAATCATTGGTTTTCAACGGATTTCATATAAATCGTCCGTGGTTAAGCAACAGAAATAGCTGATATTATATCCATTGATTCAACTTCAACTGATTATAGTCTATAATTATAGTCATATTATAGTGATTAGTAGTGTGATCTAATTGGCTATGTATATAATATTACAACAAGTTAGTGATCCAATTGATTATGTAACATTATTGTAATAATCTGGATGATATGGATATTGCGGTACCCTTCGGTCATCTAGTATTTTGCTATTGAACATATATTGATAGGTGAATCATCGAACTACATGGGCAATTTCCCATAACTATTTTAGTTTACTGGAGGGTAAACCCAACAATGCAAGTACCATTTGGGGATGCTTTTACCACCCATGTATGGCATATTGGGGATACTTTATTATTGGGTAAGCACCGCGTTACCCTTTGGTAATTATGTTGGTGGTGGATTATGACCCATCCAGGTTGGTGTTTTGGCCCCCATGAAATCCCATGAAAGTCAATTGGGATCATTTGGGTCTTATCGAAAATAAACATACCCTCTGGTAATCTGACAGTTTGCTATGGAAACCATGCCCCATTTATAGTTGGATGATTTACCTGAGCGAAACATGATGATGTTCATGTTCCATAGCAAACTTTTGAATCACCAGAGGGTAACAAATTTGAAAAAAGCAAGGAGCTGTTAATGATTGGTGATATTTTTGGCACACCATGGTGCTAAATTGACTCGACAGAATTGCCAAGGTGAATGTCGGCGATCTTGATGAGTGAAAAACCTGATCCATCCACCATTTCAATGATTTTCCCAGCTACAAACTGCCATGGTTAGTTCGGGGATTTTCCAACTAGCCATGTTTGATGAAACCAGAGGGGGTTGGCCCATGTTGGCCAAAGTTGGTTTCCGGAGCCTCAAAAGATCCTGAGGCTGCCACAGAGAAACAACGTGTGTCGGCCGAACACGAAGAGGTGGGGCCTGCCCCAAGGGGTCCAGCAGGGCGTGGGGGGCCTAGTTCTGGTGAGATTCCAAGAATGATTGGTGATTGGTGGTTGGATGATGATAGATCATGTGTATAATGTATATACAATATATATATATATATATCATGTATATATATATCATATATATATTTATCATATATATATAATGTATATATATATATGTACATATATATATATACATATCATATCATATCATATCATATAATATCATATCATATCATATATCATATCATATCATATCATATCATATCATATCATATCATATATAATTGTGGATACATACGCTAGTTTAATGTTGAATTTGAATTTGAAAGATAATGGTGTGGGAGCTGCCATGATCTGTGAGGATGCCCTCTGACCACCTGAGACGATTCGGAGAAACGAAGTCAAAGTGGGAGTTTCAACGGCAGTTTCAAAAGGGATGGAACCATGTCTTTCTGACAGCAAGTCATTGAACCATTTTTTGAAGGGAATCTAATTTCTGCCCAATCCTTCAGCATGGTAGATTTCCCATTTGAGGGGTGGAACACTACTTGAAATGATGTTTGGAATTCTCTCCAAAGACCGTTCTTTGTTCAGGAAACAATGGACCCGTGAACTAAGTTACTGATCACGGGACCGTCTTTGTATACCAACAAGAACCTGACTATGAAGCACCATTTCAGTGATATATCGTATTGAAAACCAATCAACCCTAGTTCGCACGTGGTTTATCCATCATTGCTCATATCATCTAATGATCTGGGCGAGTCGTTATGAACTCATCGGCTGACTTCACCATGGGAAGATTCGCAAAGGAAACAAACCCAAAATGGGCCAACATTTCAGCTTTGGAACAGATGTAATGTTTTGCCCAGAACGGTGGTTTACTCTCAGAACTGGAGGGCAAATTTACAGCCCCCCCCAACCAGCATGATGGTTAAAGCACATTGTTTCCTGTAGATCTTACCGAAATCAAACCACTGATTTACCGATTTACCCGTGCAATTTGCTTGGATCTGTATTTCAGGCATTGGAAGTTGTTGAAAGAACCTTCACTGTACAACTGGGTGAACTATCTGTGTGTCTCAACGAATCAACCACCGTTTTTGTTGCTTAACACCCAATGATAGCCACGTAAGATTCCCAGGTCCTACACATCCCAGTGGAATCTTTCAAGTCTGGGAAGTATCCAAGAATCAACATCTCATTGTGGTCAACCAACCCATAGAAATTGGGGAGTTGACCCATCACCCAGGAGACTGAAGTCACCAGACACGGGGAGTCTTCCAAGCCATGAGGATTCCAAAAATAGGGCGATCCTCCAGTTTTTGGCCGTTCAAACATATATAGATATGGTGAAAATGGATGCTTACAGTGGGATTTCTTCTTCCATATGCTAATCCCTCTATCACTTCATGGCCTGCAAAGCCGTCTACTATTTCACCAAGTCCAAATTTTTACCTCAAATTTCACCCCATCGGCAGCTTGTTTTTAGCCAGTCCCAGCAGATCCCCCTGGGGGCTGCGTCCCTGTTGTCGTAGGTGGAACGGCTGCGCGCTCAGCAGCTGGATGAGTTGACCCGAGCAAAGCAGCTTGGACTATCCATCAACAATGGGGATATGAGCCAGCAATCAATGGGGATATGGATCCGGTGAATGGGGTAGACATTTTTCCCCACCTGCCTTATCAAAGGTGCTAGTCCCGCCCGCCCGCCTGCCCGCTTTTTCCTCCTTTTTCTGCCAGCTTGTCCTCTCTGTGGGCACCAATGGGCCTGGATCTCACAGCAAGTGCCAGCGCAAGTGGAGCAATCTTGCCCGAGAAGTTCATGCGAGCTCCACGGCAGTCTGGGCACACACGGACCCGAGACCTATCATCGCGAGCTCCAGCTCAGTCTGGGCACGCACGGACCCGAACATACACCAAAAAGAATGTCAGATAGGATGCCAGGCTTTATGTCATGTGGCATGTCAGAATATAGGTTAGATAGAATGTCAGCAAGAATGCCAGATAGAATGTCAGAATATATGTCAGATAGAATGTCGTACAGGATGCCAGATAGAATGTCCGAATATATGTCAGATAGAATGCCAGAGAGAATGCCAGAAAGAATGTGAGAATATATGCCAGATAGAACGCCAGTTAGAACATCAGAATATATGTGAGATAGCATGTCGGCGAAGAAGGGCAGATAGAATGTCAGAATACATGTGAGATAGAATGCCAGAAAGGATTCCAGATAGAACGTCAGAATAGATGTCAGAGAGAATGTCACCTGGTGAAAATCACTTGAAGAAAGTAATTTTTTGTTTGCCAGTACAAGCAATAAATTGATTGAGGGATGTCAAGATGTTGTCCAAACAACCAAAATGACAATTACACCAACGAAAACGCAGATTTCACCAGCAAACAGAGGGGATGATGAACAACATTTTTTTTTGGAACAAGAATGGTCATGAAACCGACCCACGCATAATCTTTGGGAATCTAACTTTGCAATGGACAATTCCTGTATCCTTGGGGGTGATTCTCTGACTACTTTGAAGCTGGGGAAGTTTCACTAACATCTGTTTTCCAAAGGGGTATGGAAACAATTCCACGCCTTTCCGTGTTTTTTCACGATCGTAATTTTAGAATAGAGTATCTGTTGTCCCTTCATCCTCTACCATTTCAAAAATCAGTGTTTTTTTTCGAGTTTCTGGCTTTTCCACTGAGATTGACTGGGTATTTCACCGATTTTTTCCACATTTTTTATTTGCACCGACCGCTGGATTTTGATTTGCTCAAGATGATCTTTTATTTTTTCGTATAGACAATCTGCCAATTTTCGGGCATCTAATCTACTGGGAACATATCATACATTTTTGTAACGGCACTTCAAGCAAAGGCGAACGGCCCTTCCAGGTTGGAGCTGAACGATGAGCAGATGCGCGCCAAGGATGCACTGAAGACTGAAGAGGAACTGAAAACCGAGGTGCAGAAGACTGAACCCGACTGAACCAAGGGCAGTGGATAGATTTTGGGTGGTGATTCTTGATTTCAGCGTGACATATATGGGTAAACTATGGTAAACTTGACCCATTTGTTGGGAATTGAGAAATCTTTGGTAAATACCTGACATTTAAAATTCAGAAAGATTGAAGTCCCAGATTTTGAATTGAACATGGACTAAGTAAACCGACTGCAGGCTATAGTTTACTGATATTTACTGCTTTATATGGGAATTCATGGGGAGATATCACTATCGAGGCCTACACAATTTCTGTCTAGTATGGTTATCCAATGTGATCCACATCGAATTCCCAGATTTTGCGAGTGTAACGCAGTTAAAGGGTCCCATTTTTACGGTGGTTTGTGATGTTTTTCGATAATTTATACTCATAGTCATATTCTTTTTTCTTGATATTTCCCCTATTTTTTTCTGTTGCATTGCTATTTGTTTCGTATTCATTTGGTTCTGCACAGTTTATTTATGTAGAATAGCGTAGTGGGGGTGGAGGTAGGACCTATATCCTTCGTTTCAATTTGTTTTGTTTTTGTTTTAATAGTTTTTTTTTGTTGCAAACCCATATGCTATAAGTAGACCAATGGCAGCTAGCAAAACATCAATATCGATATCTTGATATGATTACTATACATATATATATATACATTGTATTACATTGTCTTACAATACCCAAAAATGATTATATAATGAGATAACTAAAGTAAATCTCTATGTTAAAGCAGGTGCCATTTTTGACATCACCATGTACATGTTTTCATACAACTGTTATTTCTATTGCTTAGACTTGGTGGGTTCTACAAGTAAAAACTAAAGCACAGCCTTGCAACATCAGGGGAGATGCCAGTACTTGTAGTTGCAAAGGATAATAATTAGAGGTTACCCTCTGGTAAACTAACATAACTATGGAAAATCACAATTTTTAACGGGAAAACTCACTATAAATGGCCATTTTCAATAGCTACGTTAAATTACCAGAGGGTAACACCTTACAAGACTACTCAAGTTTGATCCCAACATTCTCCAGTTTTTTAACCAGCATGGTTGGCATTTTCATCACAAGAACCAGCAGTGCAGATCTCAATGGCTCTACCAAGTCTTGTCATCAAGTGCAAAATCCATGACAAACTAACTGTGATCATGGAAAGGCTTGGAGCACATCACTCTTCTCACGTGTGTGCTGTGCAAACCTATGTTTTCCAACCTTTTGGCGTACATGGAATATACAAGATTAATTTGTAGACACCCAAGCAGAGAACAGCATGGCAAAATCAATCTTATAAAGTAGCAGTGATCACCTTTAACCCATCACATGCACAGCCATTCCAGAAGCTTAGGGTCTCATGCAAGAACTTACTTTTGTATACATTTGTGCTCTTGTCAGTGGTGTCAACCTGAACCTGCCATTGCCATACATGTTTTTCTGTCAAACCAACAATGCAAGCAAACAGGGTTCCTAAAAATAGTGTCACATACAAGCTGCACAAGCAGAGAGCATACATATACATTACACATCATCACGCTGTGGAAATAGTCTATGTCCCTCATTGGCAACAGCTTGCAAAGCATATCGTGTTTTTTTCATGCTATGCTATGCAAATGTTTTCCATCCAATATGGAAAGAATGTGGAAAGAGAATGCTGAAAAAAAATCAACTTGGTTAGCCTGTGACCAGCGCAATCACGACAGAACATATATCTAAGGATATGCCTACATGCAGCCGTGGCAGGGAGCAGATCTTCCATAAAGTGAAACGGGACGATAGCAAACACTTATGCTAACACCTTCTTCCCAATGACAAATTACTTGATTTTTTTAACCAATTGTTTGACGGATATTATTGGATGAAGATACTAGGGTGAACCTAGCTATCTCTTGAATTATCATTCAACCAAATGAAGTAATCATTGCACCATGTCATAGGTTGCCATGTTGTGTTTGTAGTTTTGACAAGTTGTGGTACTATTGGTGGCTCTATTTGAAATCGAACTTCAACTAACTAACCAATATGTAGAGTTTGCCCAAAGACCTCAATGAGAATATATTGGCAAGGCAAATGATGAAAGGTATATGATATAGCTGCTTGCTCCACTGGGATGACCGCAGATGGTTATTCAAGGTTACTCATCCAAATAAATATTGAGTTGCTGGGCATGATGAATGTAGCATTCTTTAAATACATGATTGCTATTTAAAAACATCCATATATATTTACATAGATATGCATAATATTGCTCTCCATATTGTTTTCTTCCTTTGCCACTCTTGAATATCATGTGCTGGCCCTTGTAGTTGGACGACATGGCCCTAAGACGTAGTGTCATGCATTTTGCTGCTTAGTATGTCCTTGCTATGCATTGAAGAAAAATAGAATATAAAAACATGATGGTAAGGTCTTATCCAAGATGAGATGGGTTATACTTAGTGTTAGTTTAAGGATAATGAGTCTAAAAAAATGTAAACACATCCTTTTTACCGATGGCGATTTCGTTTTCAGATGTGGTACTGCCGGTGCTCATACTTTTATCTGACCAGTAAGCAGGGCATACTGTAGACCGTGCAGCCAAACAGTCCAGAGAGACGTCCGGCTAGACGGTTAGGTGAGCCAAATCCCCAGTACCAGAGCTAGTTTCAGGGGATCTGAGAGGGGGGCGATCGGAAAAACAACTTTTTGTTTGTTTTTACCCTTTTCTTAGGTTTTTTTCTTTTTTTTTCGATCCCCCCCCTTCCAGATCTCTGTCCAGATCTCTGAAAGACTATTCAATCTACAGTGAGAAACTGTCACAATATTTGGTGCTAGACTCTATGACAAAATGGACAATAGTTGACCCTCTAGAGAAGGTGGCAAGAAGACTTAACCAAACAAACGTCAGCTTTTTCTTGCCTAAACTCATATCACATGTACCAAGTAATGATACGTCTAATTATGTTCAAATGATTGTGAAATGTTGCAAGAAATTCAAAGCTAATCATACAAAATGCATACTTTGATATTTACTGAATTTCTGCCGCACTTTGGAATGTGGTTTGCTAAGTAAGGCCCTGGCCTTACTTTCAGATTTTTGCATCCGCCAATGGCGTCCTGCGCGATCGCCTTCTCCGTGTGGATGCGCCCCTCCGGCGACCTCGACACGCGGCTGGCCTCGGTGATCCGCGAGGTCTCGGAGGCCTTTGGGGCGCCGCCCTTCGCGCCACACGTGACGTTGCTGGGAAATGCACCCAAAGGCGGGACAAGTCGAGTTTTTTGAGCAAAAATTGGGGATTTGAGGAGATGAAATATAAGGATTAAAAGATTTAAGGGAAGAAACCAGGTGTTTTTTTTAAAAGTTCAAAATGAATGTGGAGTTGAACAATGGGTTGAGCATGGATATCGGATACACTTTGATGTGGGACCTCAGGAATCCTGGAAACCCTCAGGAACGGTTGAGGAGGCAAAGTTGGCAACAGAGAAACTGGCGGCGAAGTTGGCGCCCTTTGAGGTGAAAATTCTGCCGGATGTCGTGTTTCACGACACCTGGAATCAGAATGTTCTGATGTATGTGGAGGACATTGGGGCACCATCTCAACAGCAAAAATCCTGGGAAAGAATTGTCGAAACCAACCCAACTAGGGTCGTCACATTCGTTTGCGGTAATGTTTGGAGAACCGCGACTTTGGAGCAGGACCAGCAAACTTCATGCGAGACCTTGGGGTCCGCAACACGCATCTTTCATACGCACCAAAAACAAATTATAACATGTATTTTCACTTTAATATATAATATAATATATATATATATAATATAAATATTGATTATGTGTATGAAGTGAATGAATAAGTTTTAAGGTATGATAAGATTCAATCAGTAGTACGAAAATACGAAAATCACAATCTCTCTCTGTGCCAGGAGTCCCCGGCCCTGCTGGAGGCGAACCGCCAGGCGCAGCAGACCTTGTTGGCGCGCGAGGACGCCACGGCCTCCTTTGCGCGGCCCTCCGGGCGCCCGCACTCGTCGCTGATCTACGGCGATCATCCCATGGAAGAACGGCCCAAGATCGTCAGTTGGATCCAGGATGGGTTTTTAACGGTAAAACATGTGGGAAAAGGTGAAGATCTGTAGTAAACTAGTTAGTAAACTAGCTATACGAAAGATGTTCCAAGATCTGTTGTTAACATTAGTTAACATGTTATGTTGAAATCAGGGTGATGATAGGTGAAATCGAGGATCCAAAAACCCACCAAGATGTCGAATGGATTGGAGTGGCAACAATCTGTGAAGGTCGAACATTTTGACCCGTAAGGAGTCATGGGAGCGCCCCACATCCAACTTTTGCAAATGTCAATTTGTGCCCTTGAATGGTTGCTTTGGGTCGGAAATGGTTTTTGAAATAGATCAACAAAAACGGGTAGATTTTTGGACTTTTGGACACTTGGACCCCAATGTGAAGCAATTAAGGAAGGTTTTTTGCATCTCAGAGCTTTCAAAGCATCTTTTTGGGATGCTCCAAAATCTTCGACATACCCCCAAAAATGAACATATTATTTGGGCCTGGAAATAGGGTACCCCCCAAAAATCACATGGATGGTCATCATATCCCCCATGAGACTTGCAATTTTGGCAGTTAGACTACAATTTTTTCAGGTGCCCCAGCCACTTAAACCCCCATTTTGGGCGTGCTTGAAGCCTTGGAGATTGAACCCCTTTATGGGTCAAAACTCCTCTTGGAGGAACTTCTTGGAAGATAAACCCAGGATCGCAACTGGCGACTTATGATCAACAGAGTATGCACAAGCTACACTTCCCGAAACAACTGTAGTAAGCTGGTTAGGTGTCTCACATATTTTGAAATGTTCCAGTCCAAAACAAAGAATGTTCCAAAGGATGTTCCAGAAAAGGTGCCTATCCTATCCTGTCTATCCCTATTTTGTTGCTAACTCCCTTCGATTTCTTGCAAATCAAATCGGTAAACATGTGCCTCCGCCTGTAGGACCGCGCGCCTTGGTTGAAGGAGGGGATGAGCTTCACCGTTGGAGAAATTCAGCTCTGGGCAGCTTCTCCCGGTTTTTTGGCAGCTACATCAGAGGTTCCCAGAGATTTTCTTGTTCCATTTTTTTCGGGCAATCAGTTTTTTATTTTTTATTTTTTTAAAGCACATATTTATTTCCCACTGTTTTGTTTTACAATAAAGTTTTTTTTTTTAATATATTTTTTTAAAAATCTTTTTTTATTTATTTTTATTTTACTTATCAACCAAATATATGATGTCCTTCCTGTTAGGGTGATTTTGGCCAGAAAACAACATTGGGTACGATGGGATTCAACATCACTCCAGTTCTCTCTGTCGCAAAAAGTCTTAGGCTTTTCAGCGGAGACTGTGCCGGGCTGGTATTTCGTGGAAAGTTTCAAGTTGCAGAGTTGATACGACCTGCTGGACCTGGTGCTAAGGAAAAAGTCTTTTTTCAGTTGGCGCGAATGTGACGGTGGAGATGAGTTTCGAGATCAGATTTTCCATTATCCACAATTATCCACTGGATTAAGGATGATCCTATCACTAGACATTTCCCTCAGATTCCATCCCTCATTGCTGGATTTATTCAAATTTATTCCTTGTAAACCGAAGCAATGATGGGCCCTTTTTTATACAAATGGGGGCCCATTTCAAGACACTGTGGATAGTCCCATCATTTGGGGTATGTAGATATAATCGCAGCACCATCTTGCGGAAATAAACCATCATTTTCGGGTTAGCTGTAAGCCATTAAGTATTCACTTTGCATCATTTTGGTTGGCGAGATCTGATATCTCATGAACATATCTTGTACTGGATATTAAGAACCAAACTGACTATTGTTTGGTATCGGTATATGTAATATCTGGTACTGGAACTACAGCGGTCGAAGATGGTCCGAATTTTCACTGCTGTCTCCGGCACCAGGCCACTCGCTTGCAAGGCGAGAGCGAAAAACTGCTCAACGAACTGCAAAGCCAAAAGCTGGAGCCTCGATTTCCCGTGGATTTGTAGGGTGCCCCAATAGATTATGCCATGACTATAGTTTTAGGTGCATTCCTAATAAGCCATCCCAACAGTTTCTTTTTTTTTGGAACATATCTTTCCAAACGTTGGCAATAGGATATATATATATATACACATACATACAGTATCCACTATGGAGAAATCCTTGGTCGCATGACCCTGCTAGCACTCTTGCCGCTGCAAAGTGATGCTTCACAATCCCATCCCCCTAATATTAGACATCCTCCATGGTTTAGCAGAGGATTTACACATATTTGGGACCAAGCTATAGAGAGTGTTGAATATTAGGGGAATGGGATAAATATTAATAATACTAGCATTGGTTTCTTGTGGCACCCGGCGCTTCATTGTTGCTGAGGCCAGAATTTACGACAGAAAGTGAGAGGACTGCTACCAGGTTGACCCTGTGACTGGCAAAGTCAAAGTAAAACACGTGGAGATGTGGCCCATCATTAAGCAATAAGCAATACTCATGGAACTTCGCAAAAGGGATCTGATTTTCGACGTTCCCCCCCTGTAATGATTCAACACTGCTTTTTCTATCACCATTGAAAGCCGTGGGTCCATTGATGGACACACGGGGCAAATTGACCCAAAAGCCTTACGACTTTTGGCCAAGTTGTTTGTACAGTGACAACTGCACCATCCATTTTTTGGGATTACCATTGTACCCCAGTATTCTGGTTGGTTTGATTGTCAAATTCGTTAGTGACACCCATGCTTTTCGTATCTTTTCGTTGGGTTCCGTTCCCTCGTTGATTGATCACTTGTAGATTTCATGAATTCATGCCTTTCTTCATTCAAATACGGTGACGATGAAGTTGGTTAGTCCATTTGTTGATGAATTATACAATCCATTCACGTGATTAATCTCTTGTTCAATTTGTCTCGAGTGGTATTCCCAAATTGGTTGGGAGCCCCAGTGGCCGGTGACTTCAACCTTGGCCGGCAACAAATCAAGGTTTTCATCCTGGTTTCCCAGGAATCTACAGGAAAAACATGAGGTAATACCCAGTGGGTTTGGGGTATTGGCCATCGAATGGGCAAGTTCCTGGGTCCCTCATCAAAATCAGAGTTTTTCTCAATGGGTATCCCCCATTGTTAGACCCCCAGAGTTTCACTTTTTCTTGGGGTGATTATATATATATATATATATTATATTTATATTAATAAAACAAATCTATGAACTCCATGGCCTTGGGAACTAGGTCATAGCTTCGGTTGCGCCCATGATATCCCCAGTAGCAATTATGAGCCATTGTTAGCTAATTGACTAGTACGTAAGCATCATTAAACATTTCAATTCCCATCCATAACTTTCATTGTGTAATGTTATAAATCCATATAAATCCTTTAACACTGATGGCTGACATTGAACACTTTCATTAAACATCTGCAGGAAGGCCGAGCTGCTGCAGAAGAAGCAGATCTGCGAGGCTCAGCGAGGCCAGCTCTTTGCCAAGCAAGGCGCGACACCGTTGAAAGCCAGGGAGGTCGCTGGGGTCTGATTTCAGCAAGTATATTACATATATACATTATATCTATAATAGTCTATAATATCAATTAATAATATAGATTAATATTACATATATCTACAGTATATATATATTACATACAATTCAATATACTTTGCCACTTGTCGGTTGAGGGTACCCCGCCCCAACATTTTCCACTACTATTCTGGATAAATGATGGCATTCACGCCGAGCCGGCCCCTCTATCTTTCCTAGAAAGGACATCGTTGGTTGGAATGGCTTTTCTTGATTGGCTGAGGGGCATGAGTCCATGACTTTGTTGTGAGGAAGACATACAAGTCAACACTTGGAACATCCAATGGTGCGCAAAAAATGGCAGTGGGTCAAAAGCAAACTCCCACCACAACCGAGTCATTATTCACATCCCGACGTGTCGTCTCTTCTGACAATTTTTGTTTGGGATGTGCCAAGGTATTCAGGTTGAACTGCCCCACAACTATCCTAGACGTGACATGCATCCATTCATCAACTGTCATGGCAGCCAGGTCGCAGTAGCCAGTACACCAGCGTGGCTCAGCGCAACAAGGCCGGGCGTTTTGGATGTTCTTGTCACTGACTGCACAGTTTTGTAGGGTCCATAAGGCCACTTGCAAGTCAGAATTAGGAGAGGAACCCCAGATGAAAATTGGCGTTGCATTGTGACTTTTAGCAGGCCCTTCGTGATGGATATATATATATATACATCTATCTAGATATACACGTATGGCACCTCCCCAAAGACACAAAAGCAATATCCTACCAAAGTGGTTCCAATTGATTTTTTCTGAATCTTTAAGGGGGTATGATATGGTATGATATACCCCAATATGTATGTATATATATATTATATATATTATATTATATTATATTATATTATATTATATTATATTATTATATTATATTATATTATACTATATTATATTATATTATATTATATTATATTATTATTATATTATATTACATTATATTATATTATATTTTATTATATTATATTATATTATATTATATTTTATTATATTATATTATATTACATTATATTATATTATATTATATTATATTATATTATATTATATTATATTATATATATTATATTATATTATATATATATATTATATTATGTATAATATTACATATATAATATTATATATATATTTTTTCATCGGCCTTTTGAGTAATCTCGCGGCGAACATGCTAAGACAATCAACGCATCGGTTGATAGTCAGCTCGCATCAAACGAGCGGGATCCACCCGGCTTGATTGATGGGCTAATTCAATGGCAACAGGCTCAATGGGCCCCTCAGCAACCGTAATGGGTCGTTGAGTGATCTGTTGCCAAAACGCAGCAGCAAAGCACTTACACAGGCTGGTGGGATACTCCTTGGCTTTGGCCGTTCTGAAACGGCCATGGGAATCACGACCAATGAGTGGTTGCAGCTTCTGCGGGTCGATGGCCGTTGCATTTGTCTCCAAGACTTGGACGATGGGACAGTGGGCATGTAGGAGTGTAGTTGGCTTACGTCCCTGCGCACCATGTCTGCCTTGGGCGAAGGTGTGTCGCCGAAACATCCATCCATCGCGAAGAAGTAGGAGAAATATTCCAGTGCGCCAGATCGCCGGGCGCTCCATTTCATATGGTGGCGCCGGGTGTTCCAGTAGCACGCTGCCACCGGAGAAGGCTACCGGAATACACAGCCATAGACCTCGGAGGAGCAAGCAGTTGCCCACGGCAACTTGTTCAAGTTCTGCCAAAGAGAGGCCTGGTAGGCCCCAACAAGTCTCCGCACTTCTCAAGGGCCTGGGTCCCTGAATGAGGTTGCCCTCGTCATCCACAAGCTCAGCAAAGCGAGCACTTGACCAGGTTTCACATGGAGGGCCTAATAAGAGCGCTAGAATGCGCCCTGCCCGTGCAGCCCCCAAGAGGAAGGTCCAAATGCGGCTGCTGTGCACGTCCATGCTATCACTGATCGCAGTATCAATGGATATGACCGTGATAGCCGAGCGCCATGATGCTGTTCCAGTGTCGACCAGTGCCTGCATCTGTGCATGAAAATCATCTTCACGTCGTCGACCAGCGTAGAGGTGGATGATGAAATAAGGACCCTGCTCAGGGGTCAAGACTCGCTGCGGTCTCACAGCCATCCTCCAACTGCGCCGACGTCGTTCTTCACTTGCCATCTCGTGGTAGTCCATGATGATGGGATGTGAGCGTGGTTTTCGTGGTAGCGGAGCAGAGGCTGAAGTTCGCACGCCACGGGGCTCGCCCTGTTGAAGTCGCTCCCATTGGCATTGCAGCTTCCGCATGTTGCATTGCAAATTCCAGATGTGCGTGTCTTCTAAAAGCGACAAGTGCGCCCTTTCCAGAACTGCCAAGATATCAAAATCATCAAATCTCTCACAGTACGCATGGAAGTCCGTCTCAATCCAGTGAATAAAAATACGCGCTGCTTGAAACTCAGGAATCCCAAGGTCGAGGAAGAGGTTGAAGAAAAGGTTGTGGAATGCTCTTCTGTGGGCTGTTCCGCTACAAACCATGTATTTAAGCATTCTTCGAATCGAAGGGTGCAAAATTTTACCAACGGCTGGTCTGTGCGCGGATCCCACCAAGCAAAGTCATCCTGCCCTTCTTCTCTCAATCGTTGAATGCTTTGTCTGACTCGTAATCTCTCACGGTGATGGGCTGTCGGCCTAAGTGGGCCATGATGCCGTCTGATTGCTGGGAGCCGATGCACACCTTGCAAATGGGCAGGCAACGTAATGTTGGCTGGTGGGCCAGGTGCACGGACTCCAAAGACTCTTTCCCAGCATTTGTTGGGCCTGTATCTGAGATGCTGGCTGACTCGAAACGATGTGTGAAAGGTTTTGAGGCAGCCAGGACAGACTTCTGATTGAACATATTGACATTCAAGTGCTCGAACTCCATGGAGACGAAAAGCATGCAAAGCAAGCTGCTGGCTTGTTGAGAAAGTCGCATCACAGCGGTCACAACTGTACGCACATGATGTGGCAGGTTGCGTGTCTGCATCATCAGCAAGCCGCATGCCAAAATGTTCCAGCTCTGCGACAATGTGCTGATGGTAGTAGCGAATGTCAAAGGCAATCTTTTCCTGCACAATATGTTTGTGAACAGATCGCTTGATCCAACTCTTCCATTGTGGGCATTCACGCAGGATTTGCCATGCTTGGATCCACTGTGGTCTTGAGCTTGGACAGGCAAAAGGAATCTCCTTGAAAGTTCCCATCCACTGAAGGTCTTGTGCAACCTCATGTAACCATCCCTTACCTGACTCCAGTTCCGCCAGAAGCAGTGTTTTGTGTGCAGTGATCCCATACTTGGCAACATTCTGCAGGTAACAGAGTCTGTGTCTGGCCAGGTGAATCCGAAAGGGCATGAGTTCCTGCTCTTGAAGGAAATCTTTGTCTGTCACACGCTCTTCCAACCAGAAGCCAACTCCATAGATCTGGCGGTAGCTGTCAATGACCATCGCTTCCAGCTTCTTGTATGCCGCTGTCGAGATTTCTGCCCATATGGCACACCCATACAGGAGTCTCGATAGAATCAAGCTCTGAAAGAGGGAGATACGCCCTTTGACTGGGATAGCAGTGTTCAGAAAGAGCGGCTTTTTCATCTGTTCGAAAGCCTGACGCGCAGCTCCCAAGCGCGCTATGATCTCCTTGTCAAAGTCGAGATTCATGGCAAATCGAACTCCAAGGTGTCTGTATGACGCAGCGACTCGAACTGAAATGACATGCGAGTCCGTTGTTGTAATAACCAGTGGAGCATCGTCTTTGTCAAACATTTCAGAACGGCACTGGGCTGCACCTTCACCTCTGAACATCACCACAAGTTCAGTTTTTCCGGAGTCTAGATTCATAGAAAGACCCCGGGCTCTGAAAGCAGTGTGAGCTGCTGCAATGGTGTACTTGACGAGTGTGGTCAGTTGGTGGGAGGAAACTGTTGCCAGAGAGACTGCTATGTCATCCATCCAAGCGATGGGTGGCACGCAGGTGCCGAGTGCGGCAGCATCAGTGCAGAAGTCTTCGTTCTCCATCAAAGCTGCTTGTAAGTCCTTCAAAAGATCTGTCATCATCAGGTTGAAACCAATGTCAGCTAAGGGACTGCCTGGCCGCGTACCTCGCATCGTATGGGTGCAGCTGGATTCCTCTTGCTGAACACCGCGCAGACGAAACCATGTGTGTTGATGGATATCATGAAGAAATCTGCGAAGTCCAGGGGGGATGTCAGTGATTTGCTTGGAGCACAACTCCTCAAGCTGCATGTGCAGTTGCTCGATGTCGAAGTCGTTTGCGTCTAACATCCTGGCAAGCGTGTCCTTGAGGAGGTGGTTGTGCGTCGCAAAAATGAGCTCACGGAGCATGTGGTGGAAAGCCGACTTCAAGTCGATAAAAAGGGTGGCTGTTGCAATGCCCTTTTGTTGGCCCACAATGCTGTGCAGTCTTACTATCTGGACTCCAGTGATTGTCATCTGGGCAGGGAGCCCGCCCAGTTGGCCAATGGTCTTTCGATCCTGTAAGGTTGGTAGCAATCGCTTCCTTGTCCATGCGTGGGCAATTTTTGCAAACGAATCTGCAAGGATGATGCCACGGTAGCCAGCCGCATCATCGACATGGCTCTTGCCTTTGTAGATCGGGCATAGAATACCACCTTTAAAGGCCACCGGTTCGACCCCTTGCAAAAAGGATTTGCAAATCAAGGAGTGAAGTTGTGGCGCAATGGCAATGGACCCGTATTTACAGAGATCGGCCGGGATGCCATCGGGTCCGGCCGCCTTCTTGGCTTTTTGCGCTAGACAGAGATGTTCAATCTCTGCCAGCGTGGGCAGCTCACGAAGCTGTAGGTGAAGGCAATCAGGAGCAGTTTCTTGTTCTTGTTGTGACCGAAGTACACATTCTTGCCTGAGGACTTCAAAGGGTTTCGAAGTGCCTGCTTCCAGTTGTTCAAAATGCCAGAGAAGTTCACCGTCAATGTCACGTGGTTGATGGTTCTTCTTGGCTCTGTGTTTGGGCTGCAGAGCTCGCACGTGCTTCCATATACTCTGTAGACCCTCAACATGATAAGTGCTGGAGGCTTTTTCAGCAAGTGCAGAATAGAACTTGGCATCTTCAGTCTTGATGGCTTGCTGGACTTGGCGTTCAGCACGCTTATACGCTTGCATGGTCTTCGCAGTGGAAACGTCATGGAGCCGAAGCCAGCCAGGTAGATCTTGCATCATTGCTTGATGAACTCGTAGTGCTGGGTGCTGCAGAAGGGAATCCTGGTGGGCTGCATGAAACCAGCCACGGAAGCAAGCTTGAAGCATTGTAAAGAGCTCCGCTCGTTTAAGTGCTCGCAGTTGCTTGTAGAGGAACTTCTTCTGGTCAACCAATTGCCAGGTCGATTGCGAGATGTGCGATTTTCGCTTCCAAAATTGCAATGGCTTGGCAATTGCTCGCATTGCGCCAGTAGTAGACGCAGCTAGCCACTCAGCGCTAGAGTGTGGGTCCAGTGCCCATGGTGGTGCAACAGTGTTGTGATGCAGTTGAGAAAGCCATTCAGGATGCTGGAGTTTGTCACGAATATCAGTCACGTCAGGCTTGAAGGGGCGCTTGCGTCTGCCACCAGAGCGGGTTGCTTGCACTCTGAATTTGAGACGACATAATACAGCTTTGTGATCTTGCCGTTGGCCACTGATGTCAACTTCCAGCGCGACTTTGGACTCAAGCTTGTCATAGGTGATCTCCTGCGGGAGGGCTATGTAGTCAATGCGCTTCTCACAGTCTCCTCCAGGTGTCACATAGGTGCAATGCTCGTTGCCTCTGTGGTGCTCAGGGAACGTAGCAGGCACAAACAAATTGTGGTGGAGCATCCAATTGTGGAAGTGATGGCCAGCAAGATTTTCAGCATCAGGGTGGAGTGGTCCAACAGCTTTGGTAACAAAATCACCAAGATGTGCATTGGCATCACCACAATAGATGACAGGCAGTCCTGCGCCTTTTTTGTGCAGAATGCCAGTGAGATGATTCCAGAAGGCACGGACTTCTTCATGTGGTCGCGCTGAATGAGGAGCTCTTCCGGTGATGATGATGCAACGCCAAGAGTGAATTTTGACTTTGGCAACGATGTAGTTCGGCGCAGAGTCAACAATGCGTACATCTTGTGGTGAAATTGTAGGGCCATTAGGCCATGCTGGGATCTTTTTCGATATCCACAATTGTACGCCATCTTGGCCATTCTTGGTCGCTTTGTGGCCGTAGATGTGGTAAAACTCATTGTTGGCCCCGGTGACATGCTGATGTCTGGTTTCTTGCACTCCAATGATGATACAATTTGCCTTCTCAAACTGCTGCATAAGCAGCAATTGGCGAGAGATCGACGAAGCATTCTTGACTTCATTTGCCAATGTGAGGACATTTGCTGTGGCAATTGTAAGGTCAAACTTTTCCACATCTGCTTCAGTCCTCGGTAGGCTGGCAGCTGAGTCATGTGGGGCAGATATAGGGAGCGCAGTGCCAGAGGTTGGGCAGACCATCATCTCATTGCAGAGGAGAGGTACCCGTGGATCAGCTGTTGCCATCATTTCCACATACCAGAGCCATTGAAGGGCAACTTGCTTGTCATCGTTGCGCATCCACTGCTCCCAGTAGTGACTTTCATCGTGACCCTGGTTAAACTGAGCTGCGTACTTAGCAAGTGCATCAGCTCCTTCATTCCAGGGGTGCCCAACATGTGCTTGCACATACTGCCACGCCAGGTGATCAATCCCGTGCCTGGTTGTGAGGAGTTGCGCCAGACTTCTCATTGTGATTCTCCAGCAAGGCTCTAAAGTAGAGCTCCAATAGCCTGCTGCAACATATCCGGCACTCGTGGCGTCAAAGTTGAAGGTGAACGAAATGTTGGCTCTGCCTTGGTGCATCCAAATGTCGTTGCTGATATTGATCGCTCAGAGGAGTGCCCAGATGATGGCTCCATTTTCACCAGCAATTGAAGTGCTGCCGACAGTAATTGTCTTGTAGATGCATCCACCGAAATGCCATCCATCCAGGGTTTCAATGATGAGCACGGCTGCAGAACCAATTTTCCCATTGGGGGCTTTGGATCCATCAGTGAAAAAGTGAAAGGCAATCGGGATGCTGTCAGCAAGCGGCTGAAGCGCAACCATTGCGTGCTGAGTAACCTCCGGAATCTTGAGGTCAACAGGCCAGTTCTGTTGGAACATAAACGACATTGACTTCAGCTCATCTGCAAGACGAAAAACTGAGGATAGGTCAACACAAACTGTAGATGGCTGTTTGATGAGCTTATCCAGGCAAAGAGTCGTGCGATCAGGCCACTGGGTGTGAGCTACCTGCCCAGTTGTTAGGCGCCTGTCGCCGGCTTTGGGTACATCATCACCTTCATGCGCATTGATCGGCCCGTGAGAAACTTGCGCTTGCCTCTGAAGAAGATTCGTTGATGAACTTGCTTGTGCATCTTTTTCTTCATCATCGTCATAGTCCCAAATACCATGGTGGTTTGGGCGAATGATGAGCGTGAAGGTCATTCCATGTTGACATCTGAATGGGGCATAGTCATTGAACTGCCAACCAACTTGCCATGTGTCGCAGACTGTGAGTGGATTTCTGGGTGGGCATTCATCTGCACGATGCACTGCTTGAATGATTGCAGTTGTGCCAACAGTGCTTGGTAAAATCACTGCTGCAATATTTGGTGCACTACGCAGGTGGTCATTGAAGACAGTCACGACTGTGGCTCTTTCTTCATGCCCAAGATGTTGGTGCACAATAATGTGCAAACCGTATCCGCCCTGAAATCCTGCAGGTTGGTCATCCACAATGGCAAAGTGGACAGCATCATTGGGGTCTAATAGATCTTGCCATGCACGTAGGAGCTGGCTTTCCCACGCAAAGAAGTCATCACCCAATGTGACAATCCTGGTCTCATCGTTGAAGCGTATCCTGTCAGCATGGAGGCACCACGTGGTCACATGCAGGAGTCGCTCAATATTCGCAGGGCCAACTCTGGCGTGAACATCCCAGTAATCAAAGAGTTCTTGCGTGAACTCAGACTGGTCAGTGATGTCTGGTACCATCACTTGATCTGCATCAGGGTCAGGTTCTGGTCCAGTTGAAACAGGCAGCCATTGGGGAGTGACAATTTGGTCATCTCCGACATGATAGGTGGAGACTGGTGGGTGTATGTTGAAAATCAGACCATCTCCAGATAGGACATCGATCAACTCTCCTTGCTGGTAGTGATGGTGGCCCTTCTGCAAGTCAAAATGTCTGTCAATGCAGACCCTTGCAACATTGCAGAGATCTCGCACGGCAAAGGCATTGGTGGGGCTTCTCACAATCACAGCAACGTGGTTCAAGCCTGTGCGTCTGTCAGTCAGGAACCTAATGGTCAGTAGCGCTGCAGAGAAAGGCTGTCTAACTCGCTGGGAGATGATGAGGTGACCAATGGTCCAACTTGTATCATGTCGAGGTGGCTCAGGTTGCACGAAATGACAACTGATCGTTGTAGTGAGATCAAGTTTGTCTCTCCACAGGTGGATCAGATCTTGGTACCACAAGTGGGTATACTGATCCAGCTTCAAAATGCGACTTTCTTCTGTGCGAAATTCGAAAGAGCCACTCACATACCATGTCACAACGAAGGCAATAGGACCCTCTTCTTCAACTGCAGTGTCTGCTCTTTCAGCAAAGGCTGACTGCAGTGCGTTGAACCACGATTGTCTGGGTAGGTCTTGTGCAGGTTGTTGTCGATGCGGCAAGAATGTCTCTGGCAACATGCAGGTGAACTCAGGAGGAGGTACTTCATGATCACTGCGATAGAGCTGAGTGACTGGAGCCTCATGAATGTTGCAAGAGAGTTGGATGCCGGCTTGTTCATCGTCCTGCTGTTGTGCTGCTTCTATGTCAGTGAAGAGCTCATCTGGATTTGGGTTGAGTTGATATCGCATTTCAACTTCATTTGCGCTGAGTCCTTGTTGGCAAGCTCTCACTGCAAAATAGGTGGGCACATTCTCTGACCTGAAAGGCGGCACTGCTATTTTGATGTAGTCACCATGCTCCAAAACCAATGTATTTGTGGCTTGAAAGGGAATCAATGCGCCTCGGTGCCAAAGAAGGCACTTGTTCAAGCTGACTTTGCAGTATTGTGCAACTCCTGCAAATTGAAGCAACGCTGAACGATGTATGGGGGATGGAAGCATGGTTGTATATCTGTCAATCTCCACAGTAGAGTCAAAGTTTGGTCCATGAAGCTGGACGTCAATGAGAACAGCACGTCGATTGTCTCCAAATAGGACATCGTCATGTTGAACTAAAAGGAGAGGTTGAACGTGTACTGCCGCAAGGTCTTCAGGTGGAGGAATGATGTCGAAGATTTCAGCAACCTCATGATGGGTATAACCGAGAATTCTACGAGCTTCTGCAAATGCCGCCTCAGGTGGCCAAACTTGGATGCGACCTCTTCCATAGTTTGACCTAAGGTCATAAATTTGAATAGATTTCCATCTCGCATCCTCAGGAAACGATGACGGTGATGATGGCTCATGGGTTTCAAGATCTGAGTCTGTTCCATCAGATGATGGGTCAGGTGGTGCACTTGGCCTTGGTTGTCTGGCCATCAATGAAGTAACATCGTCAGTGTTCTCCATAGCGGGACCGCCATTTCCAGATCTGAGTGAATCTGCTCGAGGAGGGTAATGTTCCTCAATCACATGCACAAAGGGTTGGAAACGCACATTCTTGACGTTTCTTCCAGATTTTGTCATGCAACAGAGGACTGAAGGAGGACCACAGCTTGGTGTACTGCATTGCCGTTTTGGATATGGCTGAGCTGGATCAGCTTCAGCTAAGACTTCATTACGAAGGAGCGTTGCTCTTCCAATGGCAGTGGGTTCAGACACGAAGGATGGGTCCCAATGAATACTGTGGCATCGAATCATCAAGTTCAGTGCATAGTCAGTGAGGTCCGGAGTGCTTGCTGCATCGAAATCATGAAGATGACGATAGGCCTCAACATTCTCGGTCGCCTCGTTGTAGAAAGTTGGCCCGCGATATGCATTCCGCAGACATGACACGTCGCTGCCAAGGTTCATGATCTGGGTGATGAGATAGACGGTCCACCTCCCAGTCCAGTTTCTGGGCCTCCAAAAGGCTCCATGGAGCGTGGACGCTTGGTTCTCCTGTCGCCCTCTTCGTCCGATGGAATCTCCATTGGATCGTTCTCTTTGGATGCTGCCTCGATACTTTGCTGGAGGCTTTCCTGAACTTGTTGGACGAGTGCTTGCGCTTCCGCCTCGAAGGCTGCACTCGCTTCCAGGTCCGTTGGTTCTTGTGGTGCATCTCCAGCAACTGTTGACAATGGCGTCCCTGTAGCAGCTGCCTGCTTGTTCAGGTTCTGTAAGTGCCTCCTTGATGCTGTCAATTCCTGTTGCGCCTTCATCATCTGTTCTCCGTACTCTTTTTGCTGGTCCTTGAAGACTTGCAGTTGTTTCTGCCAACTTTCGACGGAGTCCTTGAGGTGCTTCAACCAGTTTTGTCTGTGTGAGGCTCTGGCATCTTTGATGTTGGCCAACTGCCTTGCTGCCTTGCCAACTTGGTTGGAGGCCTTGTTGAGGTCCTTGGAGAGCGCTTTCGACGAAGTCTTCTCGGCCTTCTCGACTGCTCTCTGTATCTCTTCTGGCGCTTGTGACAGATCTGGGAAGGATTTCCTGATAGCTGCAAGCCATTCTGCATTGGCCATGGATGCTGCTGTTTGGGCTGGTGGAATAGGTGCTTGCGCTGAAGTTGCTGCGTTGGCATCTTGAGCTGGCCAAGGTGGGATCTGTGTCGCACCGCTCTGCATTGCGTGTTGACCTTGATCTCCACGTCCTTGTCCTTTGCGACCATTTCCTTTTCCTTTTGCACGTCGACGTGCACTTTCGCTTCGATCTTTCCCTTTGGCTTTGCCTTTGGAGTGAGCCTTCTGATTCCAATAAGTCCAGTCTTCCCATTGCGAAGTTTCCTCTCTTCGTCTTGGTGACTTTGGCACATTGGAATGATACTCTCCGCTCGACCAGTGAGCACGGCAATCGGGACAGTATTCGTGTCGCTTGCCGTTGAGGCGCCCACAGCTGCAGCGCCAAGGGTAGCTGTCCATCGTTGCTGAAGCCATTCTGATCTTCAGGATGAACTGGGGATCTTTGGAGTGATGGGAGGAAAGTGTAGCAGCGAGTTTTGCCAGTTGACCACCAGAAAGACACTTCTGTCTCGTCCTGTGCAGAAACCAAGCTCTCCTTGCAGTTGCTCTCACTCGCCTCTGTCTTCTCCTTGTTGTGGTCGTAGCCGTTGTTGGCGTTGATGAGATTCACAAAGATGACAATGAGAAAAATCAAAAACCGCATCCGCAATGGAATAACAAATACCAAGGCCAAATGGGAGCCAGTGAGGAAAAATTACTCAGTGGCAGGCCAGAGCACAAAGTAAATGTAAATCCAAATGAAATTGATGGGCGCAATGCCAGGGTCGTGTGACAGCCAGTAGCAAGCGCAAATTCAATAGAATGTTGAGCGCAAATGTCAGGGTCGTGAGACAGCCAGTGAAATAAGCGCAAAAACCAGTGAATTGAATTAAAAAGAATATGTCCAGGTCCTCAAAGAAGAAGAGGTACCAATGAAGTCCAAGTGCAAAGGGCACAGAGCCAGGCACCAAAAGCGAAATGCTTGCAGGACCAGGTCAACTGCAAAAGGCGAGCAATGGTGTTATGGTCCTGCACTGGAACCACAGAGCACAAGGATGCAGGTCGCCAAAAGCCAGCCGCTATGGCAATCCCGCGGGCAGATGGAACGCCCGCTAAGGTCCGCTACACCAGGGATAGGGGGGTAGTACTTCCTATCCACAGGTGCTCACAGCCAAACCTTTTATATATATATATAATATGAATATACTATATAATTATATACATAAATATTATCATATTATTATTATTATTTTTTTAAAAAAAACATACATACATCATATGTGTGAAATCCCCACACTTTGTTGGGCCTCCGTTCCCTTGTGGTCCGCCCTGCAGGCTTTGCGTGACGAGGTGACCCAGCGCACCTTGCGCAAGGACAAAGCCGTTGCTTGGCCAAGGGAAAACCAGTCAGGAAAGTCGTAAAGCCGTGGTATAGATGGCCCATAGAAATAGATGGTTTACCTATTAAGAATGGGTGGGTTTTCCATGGCAATGTTAAATAGCCAGATGGTACATCCACTGGTGAGTTAGGCTTTAAAGCTTTCGTCTTTGAAGGGCAGGCTTTGAACGATTTTGGCCCTATTTTACGGTGGGGGGTTACCTGTATCAATCAAGCAGCAGGAAAAGGATGTCTCTGGCAAATTCTGCAAAGATGTGAAATCTTGTTACCGGAAAGGAAAAAACACTGCAGGAAGCCATACTTTCCAATCCTACCATGTAGGGGTTTCCTGTTGATTTTCCCTTCGTTGACATCTGGATGGGGATCACTGGAGAAACAACCAGCCACAGGAATGCAAGTGATCCTAGACAACTCACGCAACCATCAACACTGGAGATTCATGGAGATTCAACAATTGAAACTGAGCAGTTGCCCTTTGGCAATCAAACATGGCAATAGAACATCTGGTTTGATTTTATAGATTTTATATTTTCCCAGCTATAAACCTTCATTCAATTCGAGGATATTCCACTGCCTCCTTTGATTACCAGAGGAGGACGGCAAAACCGAAGAAATACTTGGGATAACCATGGGGACAAACTTTCAGACCTGAAATGCAAAGATGAGAGATCATTTCTGTGTGAAGCACAGATGCCCAAATGGCAGCTAAGTCTGATCCTCCACATCCATTTTTTTTCAGGGAATCTGTAGGTCATTGATCGGAGAAGTTGTGGTGGTCGACTAGAACAAAGCAAAAACATCATTGACCTTGCTGTGCCTCCGGCGTGCTCAAGGTGTTTTTGCACCTGCGAAACCATGATACGTATGGCATTTGCCATGTGCTTTGAACAGCAGATGGTGGAAGGAATTCACGACCTTCGCAGTAACCAGACACATTTCTGAATGATGCCCTCCAGTAAACTAACATAGCTATGGAAAGTTAGCCATTTACAGTTGATTTACCTATTAAAATGGTGATTTTCCCATAGCTATATTAGATTACCAGAGGGTAGAGATTCAACAGTCATGGTTTGTGTCAGATCATGGACACATGGATTGAACTCCACTGGGTACCGATTGATGCTCTTTTTTGGAGCCTGGCAATCTGAAGAACTCAAGCTGTGAAATGCCCCGTTTCAGATTTCTTGTGAACAGTATCGGCTACCAGCTGGCTTATTATTGGGCCCTAGATATCTCCATGATCAAGCATTTATAATTTATATACTTCGGAGGGTGTTTTTTATTAAGGATTTTGTTTTGTTTTTCAGCCTGGGGCAGCTTTCCTTGCTGTTTGCTGCATTTTGGAGCTAAAACCTGTGTTTTGCATGCATTTTGGAGCTAGAATCTCCCATTTGCGTGCCCACTTGGCTTTTGGCTTCTGGCTTTTGGTTTTGGCTTCACTGGGCTGAGGGTTTTGGCCGTTCACTTCACTTGGCTCTTGTCATTTGTTGGGTTTTAGTATATATATATATACATTGTAGTTTGCATATAACATTTCATGTAATACATTGCATATATATTTCATGTAAACTGCACAAAAACTACAGACATAGAGTAGTATAGGAGCTTGTATGCATGCTGTTGTAAGAAAATAACGAAACCATCAATGAAAAACCCTAAAGAAACCCTAAAGAAACCCTCAAAGAAACCCAAAAGAAACCCTAAACGACACCCTAAAGAAACCCTAAAAGAAACCCTAAACGACACCCTAAAGAAACCCTAAAAGAAACCCTAACGAAACCCTAAATGAAACCCTGAAAGAAAACCGAAATAAAACCCTAAAGGAACCCTAAATGAAGCCCTAAAGAAACCGTAAGAGAAACCCTAAAGAAACCCTAAACGACACCCTAAAGAAACCCTAAATTAAACTCTAAAGAAACCCTAAAGGAACCCTAAATGAAACCTTAAAGAGACCCTAAATGACATCCCAAAGAAGCCAAAAACGACACCCTAAAGAAACCCAAATGAAACCCTAAAGAAACCCTATATGAAACCCTAAAGAAACCCTAAATGACATCCCAAAGAAGCCAAAAGCGACACCCTAAAGAAACCCTAAAGACCTAAATGAACCCTAAATGAACCCTAAATGAACCCTAAATGAACCCTAAATGAACCCTAAATGAACCCTAAATGAACCCTAAATGAAACCCTAAATGACATCCTAAAGAAGCAAAAAACGAAACCCTAAAGACAGCCTAAAAACACCCTAAAGAAACCCTAAATAAAACCCTAAAGAAACCCTAAATGAAACCCTAAAGACCCCTTAAAAGAAACCCTAAAGAAACCCCAAACGACACCCTAAAGAAACCCTCAATGAAACCCTAAAGAAACCCTAAATGAAACCCTGAAAGAAAACCGAAATAAAACCCTAAAGGAACCCTAAATGAAGCCCTAAAGAAACCGTAAGAGAAACCCTAAAGAAACCCTAAACGACACCCTAAAGAAACCCTAAATTAAACCCTAAAGAAGCCCTGAATGAAGCCCTAAAAGAAACCCTAAATGAACCCTAAATGACATCCTAAAGAAGCCAAAAACGTCACCCTAGAGAAACCCTAAATAAAACCCTAAAGAAACCTTAAACGACACCCGAAATGAAACCCTAAAAGAAAACCGAAATGAAACCCTAAAGAAACCCTATATGAAACCCTAAATGACATCCCAAAGAAGCCAAAAGCGACACCCTAAAGAAACCCTAAATGAAACCCTAAATGAAACCCTAAATGAAACCCTAAATGAAACCCTAAAGACCTGATCCACCAAGAATCAACTCCCAACCGGGGTTGCGGCAGATGCCCTACGTAGCGTCATGGCCAGTTTCTACGAGATTCTAATGACTCCCACCTTTCAGATGCACGAAATTGATCTTCTTTCAGATTTTTGGGCCAAACTTCGTGAAGCACGTGGCTCTGTCAAGTGGGGGGATGCTCTACCGCATGACACCGACTGAAATGGAGGACACCTGGTCGCGCGTGCGAAAGGTTTAGCTGGAGAGAAAGGCCCAGCGCGGCCAGGATACATTGGAAGCGGCCAGGCAGTTGGAGGTTATGGTGGCTCAACATGCCCCCTTCCGCGAGAGAGTTTGGAGGAGTTGGAAGTGATGAGAAAGGCAGAAAGGCAACAGATGCCTGGTTTCATGTTTTTTTTTGGGTTGGAAGAATGGTTGGAACAGGAGATACAATTCCCGCAATGGTGGTTCCTGAATTGGGATTGTACTACAGAATTTATGGATATTTGAGGATATTTGAATGACATTTTGGTTCGACTGGAACATCGTTGGTGATCAAACTGCACATTGGAACCTGAGCTTTTTTTGCTCGTTTCTGGTAGTCATTAAGTTATGCTTTCCAAGCTGCGGCACCAAGACTCAAGATTCGCGATGGTCCCTGGAGCAACTCATATTGCGATGGGAACCCCGTCACCAGCGGTTGTCAAAAAGTCAAATTTGGAGGCCGATTCCATAAGTACTGGTAGTGTCACGATTCCACTTTTCCACTGAAGATGAGTTGTGCCAAACTGTAGATGGACCATGCATGAAGGTACCCAATTCTTCCAAAGGACTGGTCAGCAATTCTTCCATTAACATTGACATTTCGGGCTGTAGCTATAGCCAATTTCGAGAGAATCCAATGGAACCTGAGCTCATTTGACCTCCAGTGACTGAGGCTGCTGAGTTGAAAGAGACGCAGAACAGCTTGAAGCAGGCACAGGCCAGCTTCAGGAATCGCGTGCCACAGTTTTCTGATGGGTTGATTTTTCATGGCGCAAAAGTTTGGACATTTTTGTTCCCCAAAATCAGCAAACATTTTGGGGCACACCCCCAAAAATCTCTCAGATTGTCATGGATTGCCAGTTTGAAGCAGCATTTCTATCCATTTCTCCCAGATTTCTTGAACAGGTTCACATATTTTTTTCCAGATGAACTACCCCTTTTAGTTGGTTGCTGTTGACCCAGGTGGCTGCCAACAAGGCACGTGAGGCAGCCAAGAAGAGCCGTGGCGAGATGCTGTTTCTGGAGAAGGTTTGCCGGGGCCCGGCCCGGCTGGTCTTGGAGCGTCTTTGGAGCCAGGGATGATCATCCGAAATGGGCTCGAAAATTGTGGATAGAAACTCAGTAGCTTGAGCGAACATGTGACTTTAACCACCAACATACGTGCCAATGTGGCCTTGACCAGCAGAAACGCGGACTTGACCAGCAAATGTCGGAGTTTGAGTAGCAAAATTGGAGTTTGACCGACCAACAAACAGAGATATACCTAGACCCTTAAGAGCAGCCAAACAATGCCCATCATACATCATTTTGGCAAATAATTTCTGTTTCCCCAGAAGTAGGGAGGGTTGTGAAAGGTTGTGAAGCACTACAAGTCTTGTTGCATAGCCGTCATCAGCGTCGGATCTCGGAAGCTGGAGCTCAGTATTAGTGATCTGTGGGCCCCCAAAGATTTAAACACTGAATAATATAATAACAAGATGCTTCAGAAAGGTCCAAAAACTGGTTGTCGGAACAATTTTCGCTGACCAGGAGCTGAGTGAGAAGATCTCCCAGGCGAGCTGAAAATTGATGAAGTTCCCTAAAAAATCCAGCTGGAAAAATCTCGTTGGGTGATTTATGATCATGTTTAATTGCAACCCGCAAAGACTATGTTTAAACATGGTGTACAGCATTTTTGAAGATATGAATATCCCTGCATTTGGTACAAGACTTAAAGACATCCAACGAAGATGTAGAATGATGCCCCAAAAAGGGGCTTCTTAGTCTGTGGACAAAGAGATGCAAATCATTTGCAGAGAGACCTACCTGGAACCCTGCGACCTCTTTTTTTCATGGTTCACCCTCCGTCTGACAGAACAGAAGCTTCACAAAATGGTCTTCTTAACATGGGGGAGCCAAAAAAAAGGGTGGTTTTTCGTATTAAACCAACATAAACCAACCATTTTTGGGAGGTTTCTTGGATCCATTTCAAAGCACCCAAATTTTAGGGGCTCAAAAAGTGGCGGATTCCAGGACCTCAGAAAAGTGGCGGATCGCCTGGAAACTTGGACCGAGAAGAGGCGTTCCTTGCTCCAGGAGATGGCACTGGGGATCAAGTGGTCAAGTCTGCTTAGCGACTTTCTGAAATATCTGACATCTACTGAACAAAACCATGGGACATTTGGGTGTACCCAAATGTTAGGAAACCTCCATATATATATATATGAATCATATGAACATCTGAGCAACATGCCTGTTTTTTTTTTTTGACAGCCCGATTGAGGACCCAGGACCCAGTGTTAGAATGAAGAAATTCTCCCGGAATTGGTGGAAGGGACGGGACATTTTGCAGGACATACCATTCCTGGGCTGATAAAGCCATAGTTTCAATCCATGGTTTCCTGTAGATGTTCCAAAATTGTTAGTTATATATATATGATATATATATATGATAATACATAATATAATATAATATAATATAATATAATATGATATGATCTGATATGATATGATATAACATAATATAATATAATATGCTATGATATGATATAAATATATATACACACATATATATATGATATATATATATATGATATATATATACATATAATATAATGATACATACCCACATGAACATTGACCGAGTCAGCAACCAACCGAGTCAGCAACTACGAGTCAGCAACTAAAACCAACCGAGTCAGCAACTACGAACAACCGAGTCAGCAACCAAGAGTCAGCAACTAAAGCAGCCGAGTCAGCAACTGACCGAGTCAGCAACCAAGAACGTCCGAGTCAGCAACCAAGAACGTCCGAGTCAGCAACCAAGAACGTCCGCGTCAGCAACCAAGAAAGCACCGAGTCAGCAACCAAACAAGGACCTTTTCAGCAACCAAAAATAAAGGCCAAGGGTGGAGGGGTGGGGGGGATGTGATAACCTTCTTGCTAGTGCGTTCTTCGTGGATCATCTTGATTGACGTGACATAGGTGTTCATACGCTGGGTGTTGGTTGGGGGGGTTTCGGGGGGGGGGGGTGTGGGGGGGGTGTGATAACGTTCTTGCTAGTGCGTTCTTCGTGGATCATCTTCATTGACGTGACATAGGTGTTCATACGCTGGGTGTTGGTTGGGGGGGTTTCGGGGGGGGTGTGATAACGTTCTTGCTAGTGCGTTCCTCATGGAACATCTTCATTGACGTGACTTAGGTGTTCATACGCTGGGTGTTGGTTGGGGGGGTTTCGGTTTTAGAGGACTTCGGTTTTTGGTTGCCGAAATGGCGCTTTTTTGGTTGCCGACTCAGCGCTTTCTTAGTTGCCGACTCAGAGACTGGAGCCTTCAAACGGAGCTACTGCCTCTATTTTAGAGGACTTCGGTTTTTGGTTGCCGAAATGGCGCTTTTTTGGTTGCCGACTCAGCGCTTTCTTAGTTGCCGACTCAAAGTTGCCGAATCAGCGCTTTTGGTTGTCGACTCAGACTCGTTTTGGTTGCCGACTCAGCCCTTTTTTGGTTGCCGACTCATAGTTGCCGACTCAGACCTTTTGGTTGCCGACTCAGACCGCAACCATACACACATACATACATACATACATACATACATACATACATACATACATACATACATACATACATACATACATACATACATACATACATACATACATACATACATACATACATACATATATATATATTATATCCATGGTATCCCATTCATATCCCATTTAATTATATCATATATGATATACATCTCATTTACATGCCATTTATATCCCATATACAAATGCTTTGTGTTCTTTTCAGAAGCGGAAATTCACATCGGGTCAAATGATCTCCAGGACCGAGAGAAGAAGACCAAAGAGAAGGACGAGGCCGAACGCCAGGCGCTCCCGGGCCGGGCAGTTGCTGGGCAGTTGGGACGGATATTCGCCCAGGAGGAAATAAGCCTCCAGTTTATCAATCCCAACCCCCTAACAAACATGAAATGGAGGGTTATCCCATCCTCTCAACCTGGCAGTTGCTTAATAAACATTCCCATAAGTTGATTAGTTCATAATCCTGAATAAGCCAATCAATCCCATCCCCTATTATTAAACAACCCAATGTTTGGGGAGTGTTCAGCATTAGGGGGCAATTCATCACTGTTTTGGGAATTGACATGAATCCTCAAGTTGCACATGGACTTTCCATGAAATTCCATAGCTTAGCTCCGGTTTGGCAGCAAGATGCATGTCAGAACTTTCATGGTTGGTCCGCAGGTGGCTGTTCTGACTGGCAAGATCGAAAGTACTATGCCCCGGCCACAGCGTACAGCCCTGAACGAGGCGCGACTCTGCAGCAGTTTTCGGTGTCATTTGATTTGTCAACAATGTCAACAGGTTCAGTAAGTCTGCTGCATGCGCAACCAAAAGAAGCAGGGACTTTTGTGATGTGGTCTTCCGGACATCCGGTCAGGTCCGATCCTGGGTTTGGAGCTAAGATGAAGCTGCCATGCCAGCGTGGTTTGGGGGGTTTGGGTCTATGATGGTCTATGGCAAACCAAGTGATGGAGAAGCATGGACCTGGGAATTTGGGGGATTTTCTGTGATTTTACTGCACGTAGTCTGTAGTCCTAAACCATTGGAGTTGAATTCGCCCAAAAACGTCTGACCAACTGGTGGTTCCTGGGAGGCTTCCCAAGCAATTAACCTAGTAGAAAACCAGACATTCCAACTTTTCAAGTTCGTGGTTTCAAACGATGTGTTGCCTTCCACTTGGGAAGTTTGGGAAACTCCTCCAATGGGGCCTTGGGGCCTGGTGGAACAAGCAGCAACTCCCATAGGTCACCAAGCAGGGTCTTGACAAGGACGTCTTCGGAACCTTGCACCTTGGTGGGAACTGCGGTTCGACATGCGGGCAACCACCATGGATGGATACTGATATATGGATGGATATGGAGGATTGGATCACAAGCCGATCCAAACTGGCCATCTGAACTCACGATCTTCACGGAAGTTATTTGTCACTCAGGGTACCCACCAGTCTGCAGGAGGTTCTCCATCCACCAAAGCTGCTGGTGGTCATGGAAAAACGTCGCTGCGGACGTCTGCTGAGGTTGGAAAACATCCAAGTTCCACCAGCCTATTGCATCGCCGCTGAAAGCACCGCTGGCAGCGCTGTCTTCAACCTCTTGGTGGGGAGCTGAGCTGCCGAGCCTCATGCTGAAGTTTGGGGATGGTCATTCCCTAATCTTCATAGGGTTGATATTTGAGATACGTAGCATTATTTATCCTTGGAATCCCATGATTCATGAGATGGTGGGATGAGCTTTGGCACCAAGGTCAAAGATGACATCATCGCCGGGCAGATTGCCGAAGACCGAGAATCATGAGACGCTTCTGACAGACTGAGAATTACATCATGCTTTCATCCCGTGAGAGAATTCTTGAGTTGTTAATGTGGTAATTCAATGATATTCCATGTACTTTATGACTGTTTCTGCCTGTGTTGACGGAATTTCGTCACGAAATCCGGTTGGGAATCCTTGTCATCTTCTTGGGTCTAACTGAAATCCACAATTCATAGGGGATCAATGGCGGATTGCAACAGAAATGGCTACTCTGCCAAGGTTTCTTTGGTGCGAAAAGGAAGTTTGGGCAGTTGGGTCCCAAGTTGTCAAGTGGCGGCTGACAGCTCTGGGAGATTGTGGATCATGCCACAAATCAAAGGGTTATATATCTACTGATTTTTGTCAGTTTTCCCAACCAACACTGACCTCAAAGGGGAATTTGGTACCAACGCTTCCAAATTTTCGAGCGGATGGTGGGAACCCCCCTACCTTTGGGAAACAATTCAACCCTGGGTCGCGTTGCTCAGGTATTGTGTGCACACCCTTGAACCAGTTGGAGACCAAGCCCCGGCAGTGCCCCAGGGTTTTTCAGGTCATGGTGGCTATGGGCAACCAATGGCGACCAATGGCAATGAGTTGATTCTGGAAACACATCCTAAACATCTTCCAGAAGCCCGACCTTTAAGATGTTTTTTAGGATGTTTAAAGGGATGTTTCAAGGGCCCGACCTTTTGGATGGCAGGTATCCCAAGATCTCGGGAGTGAAGCCCCTGGTGGATGTGATCAGCTGCCCCAAGTGGGCCTTCCCGGCAGTGCAGCAGGTCTTTGGCAGGAGCCCAAAAGCATTTGCCGCGCCATATGAGCTATGGTCAATACTCATGGTTAATAACCATTAATAGGGGCTAGTCATCCAATGGTTCATATCAATGTGATATCATTTCGTTGTTTGCCAGTTCTTTCTTTTTCTCCCCATGAATCTGAAGATTTGGTGATTGAATGTGATTTAACTATTGCATGGACCAGATTAGTTGGGTGAGATCATTCTCACCCCGACAGGACGGTGGTTTGCTCCACCCTGGAGCTGTGTGATGAGGTGATGCTTTTTCTGGAGGAAATCTGGAGATGGAAAAGCCAAAAAAAATGGCCAGATCCAATGGGAAATCCTAGTTTTAAGTGAAGGGAACATCATTAATGGTGATCTTGTGAAGATTTTCAGGACATAATGCCTAGGACCAGCATTGTTGTTTTGTTCTTCAGGTTCCGCAGTCAAGGCAGCTCCAGTTTGGGACCCGCAGGTGAGTCGCAAGTATGGTCTGGACGCCATCACTCTGGATGGCGACAAGGCCGCGGATGAAGGGCAGTTCAGAGTTGGACGTTGCAGTGGTTTAAGGGAAAACTACAGGAAACCGTTTTTCTTCCATCGAAAAGACATCTAGTCATCATCACGCGACTGATGAAATTGGAAAAGGACCAGCCAGCTACAAGCAACACCAGAACAAGGTGGCCTTCCACAGTTTCAAGGTGTTCTCTGGAGTTGGGGTATTTTGGATTGGAAGACTTGGTGCATCCCCAGTTTCAAATGTTGGTTTTTGCCAACACATCGGCAATAACTTGTGGTAGCGCCTTTTACATCGGCAGTCCAACCAGATTGCCAGCAGGTGAGTAGTCGTGGCACACTGCCTCTCAGCTGCCTTTGGGGGGGAGTTGTATCACACAATCCCAGGGAAATTGAACAAATGGGTATGGGTCAATACCTATAGATACATTTTTAGTGGGATGAACATCCATTTACCAGCTATTTTGGGGTTCACTAGGTACCAGGGTTTTGACCCATCCCCAAATAGGATCCGAAAGAAGCTGAGTTCAATTGCAAAATCCAGAGTTGGCCCTGGCTGGCATATCAAACTTTGGTGCATCTCATTTGGACATTTTGGACTTGGGCCAGGAGTTGAGGGTCATAACATTCCAGAACTACATAGATGATCATAGATTACCTACAATCTAAAGGTATGGTTTCATATGCTTCTATGATCCACACAGGGGGTGTGGCAGATATTTGGGGGCAAGAATGGAGGCAGAAATGAGGGCAGTGGCAAAGTCAGCAGCGAGACATGTGGGCAATGAGCATGGCAACCATCCATGTGTGGCAAACCACATGGCGGTTCTTGGGGCACCATCAGTGGGTGTAAGATTGTCTCGGGCAAAAACCGTTGCCAAAGTTTGTTGCGATCTTTGATCGTGGGGATACAACCTGGACTCTACAAACGTAGTGTCGATGTTGGCTAGTCGATTTAGGGCTTCTCACCCCCTGTGTTTCTTCAGAAGCCCTGTTTCATGGCTCTTGTCAACCTGGACTTGTTCTTTTAACAACGCCAGTTGCAGCCCTCATGATTCACAGATGTATATACACCGATCATGACGATCATGACGATCATGACGAGTCACGATGTCCTTTTTTTCCTCGGGCTGGTTGATTCCCAGAAGGTTCCCTCCATTCAACATCCAAATCCAAAAAACGTGGAACCCAAGAATCATTGACCAAACCGGCCCCGCAACGGTTTTCCCTAAAAGGACATAATCTTGTCATGAGTCTCTCAATATTTTTTTCCAGTCTTGGTGTTTGCCCAAGCTGCTGAGGACGGGTGGATTTCAAGATCCTGCCCGTTTCGTGCGCATTTCGCAAGCGCAGAAGCTGAGGGACGTGCAGGAACCCCTGGTAGCTGCCCACTTTGTGTGGGAAAAATGGGTGGAGTCAATGGGATGTAGCCAACATGAACCAAACAACTAATGATATGCTATGATATACTAATGATTGATATACGTATACGTTACTAATGATTGATATACGATGATGATATACTAATGATATCTAATGATCATCTAATCTCCCAAGACTCCTTTTCTCCTACTGCACGTCTCCCAGAGGCCCCGGGTTTCAATTTGATTTGTTGATTTTTGGGGAGATCCAGTGTGAGAGAACGAGATTCACGGTGATAGTAGCAAGAAAACTAGATAAAGTAGGCATCAGTTATTTGGACATGTTCGGATACCTTCTGGTAATTTAACATAGTTGTGGAAAATCACCATGCGTAATAGGGGTAAATCATCTATAAATTATCTGTTTTCCATGGCTGTGTCAAATTACCAGAGGGTATACTGTATGTGTTATCCATCAAGTTCTATGATGCCCCAGACAAGGATGACATGGGACGGAATACATGACATTACATGACCGGATCAGATCTGTGTGGTGTTCAAGTAGGTCTGATCTTCAGCCATGGGACAGTTGGAAACCAGTCCTGACCCTCTGAACAAACTTAGGGGTCATGCTTGAATTGTCCAAAGATGTCCTTTTCCTTACCTGTTGCTGGAAAAAAAGTGGTAAACCATGTCATTTTCCACAACACAGGGGTACTGACATTTTTGCATCATATGGAGCCATCAATTGTGTCCGAAACGACTTCATTGAAACCATGGCAGGAGAAGACCAATGCCATCCGACCCAAGTTGGCCAAGATTGAGCAAGAGGCCTTTTTTTTTTCAATGGCAAACACATGTCAACACATGTAAATACAATGGTAAACACAGTATTTTCCATGTATTTTTGATGTGATTTTCAGGGAGACATTCGCAAAAATCATGGAAACAAATCCATGACTTCCAGGCCGAAGCGGCTTATAACCAGCTGGATGAGCTGCATGGCCGCTGGGCCGGAGGGCAGGAATGATCCGGATGGGGCAAACAATGCATTTGGGGTTTGAGCAACAGAAGTGATGATGAGGGTGATTATTTAGATATATATATATATGATATTTTATAATCATACAATATCACATTTGCTAAATTGCTAAATTTCGTTGATTCAACGATTGCATTGTCATGGGCATGTCACACCACAAACATCCGAAGAAAACGACGCATCACATTTTGGGGATTGATTGATTATGACCTCCAAAAAGTTGCTGGGATGGTTTATGGTTTACCATGTTTTACCGTATCACTTCTTCGCAGCCCCATCAAAAATGCCTGGTTTGATTGGTGAAATCCATGGATAGCTCACTTGTGAGTTCATCAAAATCAATCACCATTCACACCACCTGATAAAATTGGAAATGTTTATCACAGGCTTGAATCAACATTCATCAAAACAAAGCACAATGAATCCGAAACAAATGACACCAAATACAGTACTGTGTGGCATTTTGATGGCATTTTCATGTTTTTTTTGGATGTTTATGGCTGGGGAAAGCCCACGAATCCCCACGTTGCAACCAACACACGTTGGTCCAACGTCCTCGCAAGGTCTCCGACGTGAGCTTCAAGACCAGCGCAGCACCAAGTTCGGGAGCCCTGAGCGACAATCCAGAAATCTAGGTAAATTATAACGACCTCACTGCGACCTCACTGGAAATCATGGTTAATAAGGGGAATCATCCCAAAATGGCCTTATTTCAGGTTAATTAGTGAATCATCATAATGTGCCCAGATAAATATTGAAGAAATAGACATCCCCTCTGGTTATTTAACATAGCCATGGTATAGATGGCCCATAGAAATAGATGGTTTACCTACTAAAAATGGTGATTATCAATGAGTGATTATCAATTACCATCAATTACCAATAGTGAATTGATAGTGAATTGATAGTGATTAATGGTGGTTAATGGTGCTTAATGGTGATTAATAGTGATATAATGTGGGTAAAACAATAGTAAACACCTACCATTTGGAAATGGTAACCATACCACCTATGAAGATGGTGATGACTGGGGGATGGTTTATTAGTGTTTTACCCACATTAGATCGTATGAAATATTATGTATACCCTGATTATAGATATCTATATTCAAAATGCTTTCATATTATGATCAAATATTTTTCTAAATTTAGATCTAGATTGATTAGTAATATATATACAGTATATATATGTATATTATAGCATAAATATTCAAATATTCTTGTATAATCTTGTATATATGTATAATATGTATATATATATGGGACATATACACCTTTCTTTTTGAAAACGATTTCAATACAATGACTATCATTGAGCATTTCTTTTCCGAAATTCACTTCATTGTTTGGAGATGATTTGCAGAAGTTTAATGGATTGTTCATGATGGTGACAAATTTCTGAAGGTACTTGACCTTCGTGACTTCGTACTCAATCATCCTGAAACGGAAGACCTGGATCAAATTAATGTTCAACAACCCTGACTTGGAATTATGAAAGACATCTCTTGTGGAGTGCGTTGGCTTCTTTATTTGCCATTTCTGTAGAATCTAGAAACTATTTCTTGCACAGGTAGAAACCATTTGCTAAATACTAGAAACTATTTGCTAAATACTAGAAACTATTTGCTAAATACTAGAAACTGTTTGCTAAATACTGGAAACCATTTGCTAAATACTAGAAACCATTTGCTAAATACTAGAAACTATTCTGGAAACCATGTGCTAAATACTAGAAACTATTTGCTAAATACTAGAAACTGTTTGCTAAATACTGGACACCATTTGCTAAATACTAGAAACCATTTGCTAAATACTGGAAACTATTCTGGAAACCATGTGCTAAATACTAGAAACCATTTGCTAAATACTAGAAACCATCTGCTAAATAAGTAGGATATGTAGAAGCCTTTTTTCAAGTAAAGTAGAACATGCAGAAACCATTTGCTAAATCATGTTGATTTTCCAGAACCCATTACTTGAATCAAAGGGGTAATATTTGCAAGTAAAAGTTGTTGTTGACCATGTTGTCAGGGCAAACCTGGTCAATCTTGGAACACGCATTTGCCAATGGTAGTTTGTGGTGAGAAAAAACTAATGTCTTTACCGCACATGCCAGTTTAATAGTACTAGAGCCTCCTTCACCCATGGCTCACCACACTGAAACTGTTGACGCTGGAAACTTGAAACCATCTAGAATCCAATTGGGTGTACTGTCGCGCCATACCAGTTGTAATGCTGTTTCAATCCAGGAAAGGGTGTATCAAACAGCAACATAAACACATACCCTGTCCCAATGCAATGTTTTGCCATACAACGCCGCGAATATCCAAAAAAAAATGTTCCCCAAACTTAACAAAACCATGTGGCTGATAGCCTTTGCGGGTGAGTTGGGGGATGTTGTTAGCAGGCCTTTGCCACATGGCATTCAGATGTCACATCCCCATTTATTTCCAGCTCCATCAAAAAAACCGCACCCTTGGAAGAGAATCACACAGATCTCTGTCCAATGTTTAAATCAAACATGTGTAGGCAACCCCTAACAACGCAAAAATGCGATTGTGTACAGAACTCGTTTCCCAGATATTCTCAGCCAGGTCCTAAAGAACAAATATGGTATGGCCCAAGCCATTGGAGGAAAACTCACAAGAATTAGCAGTCTGAGAAACCATTCCTCTTGGGCCAAAATGCTGAATCCATGCAATGTGGGAAATGCCATAAACAACTACCATTTGGGGATGGTTTATACCACCCATGAAGATGGTGATTTTGGGGATGGTTTATGATTGGGTTTACCGCATTATGCCACATACCCATCTTTCAAGAAAACATTGGCCCATATTCCAGTATTATAGAATCAACATACCCATACCCATACCCTATGAGCATCTCACCCACACGGTATTTCCATTATTTTTCACCCACAGGACGCCATGATATTTCTCGGTGAAATAGCTTGGTTTAATGACACTTAATGCTGACGACCTCACGTCGCGACGTCAGTGGATGATTTGGATTGGGAACACATTCCCATATAGTAGCCTAAGATCTAATGATTATTTATATAATTTCAGGTTGCTGAACTTATGAAGAATCAAAAATCCAGACATACGAGCAGTTCAAGAAATCCCAGTTGGTTGATCATTTGATCATGATACGGGGTTGTATTACCCTTTATACATGACGCTTATCAGAATCCATGTGGGAATCCCCACTAGCAAAATCCCTGGGATTCATCCCTAGTCTTGTTGCTTACATTCCCCCCGAATTATGATAAATTATCTAGAAATATCCAGACTAGATACTATTGCTGGTTAGTTCATGTCCGAAAGTTTGCTGCTTTTGTTTTTTGTTCTGACCATATTCCATCCCCAATATTCATTTTTTGTGGTAAATCGATGCAGATAGATGTACCCTTTGGTAATTGGCAATGCAAAACACTTTGCTGCTACGGAAACCATGGCCCATTTAGTTCGATGATTGACCTAAGAAGCATTGTGATTTTCCATAGCACCCTGTAACACATGCCCAGATGTTAAATTTCATCAATTGTTTTTATGACAAAAAACCCAAACAAATGGGGATAAATAACTATGAAGGCAACAAATCTCATGTGAAAATTACCAGATTGCCATGTTAAATTCTAATATCATCTCAAAAAATTGCATTATTTGGTTACTTCCCCAATAGGTAAATGGCTTAACATAGCTTAACTTGCCACGTTGCTCAGCATCATGGTGGAAAGATCGCGAAATCCGTGAGGCGCACGGAGCTGATCGCTGCCAGCGAGGCAGTTGAGGAGGCCGAAGGCGCGACCGATTTTTGGGAAGAAAAGGTAGGAGATGTTGATTTGAGTGGAACCATCATTCATGGATAATGGAGTCTCTTGGATTTTGGAACAATCACTCATGGATTTAGTGGAACAATCACTGATTCTCTTTGATTTTGGGCATTTTTTTTGCTAGAACAGAGGGGTTTTCATGTGATTATGAGAAGACGTGGTGCAGGATGTCTTAAAAGCAGGAGAGTCAGACTGGTGGCTCCTCACTACTGTGGGACTTCAGCGACAACCAGCAAGCACCAAGCACCATATTTTCCACATTTTTTCCGCATTCCAAGGGGATAGAGGATCACAAAATCCCATTTTTGGAGAAACCGAACTGTTCCGTGCACACAGCGCTGATGTTTCAGTCACTCTTCAGGCCGTGCCGCTCGCTATGATGATGCCATTCGCTGGGGTGCCGAAAGAGCACAAACAGCTGATGGTGAATCCCCATCCATCCACTAGATCCCAAATACACCACCGCAAATCCATTGGATTTCCCAGCTATAAATGAACTACACCAGATATCCACGAAATAGGTATCCATCAAATCCCCATTGAATTCCGTTAAATCACCATCAAATCCCACTAAATCCCATGATATAATTATTCCCATGAAAATTTCCCACGAAGATTTCATTAATTTCCCACAATTTTCCATGAAATCCAAACATCCCATTTAAATCCCACTACATCCCAGATACCCTCTGGTAAACTAACATAACTATGGAAAATCACAATTTTTAACAGGAAAATCCACTATAAATGGCCATTTTCAATAGCTATGTTAGTTTACCAGAGGGTAATCATAGCATATGTCAGGACATGCCCACTACATGCCGAGGTCAGAGCCAAGAACGCTGCAGCGAGTTGCAGAGTCATATCGCTCAGTACGAGGCACCCTGCGGGCCTTTCGCAGGGAGAATGATGACGCAGCCATTCATTTACCCTCTGGTAAACTAACATAGCTATTGAGAATGGCCATTTATAGTGGATTTTCCCATTAAACATGGTGATTTTCCATAGAAATGTTAGAAAACCAGAGGGTAGGATGATTTACGGTACTATTTTCAGACAAACCAATATCAAAAAAGGTAAACACACCCAGTAAACTAACACAGATATGGAACATCAAGTAATTTGCAGATCATTTCCCAGGAAGACCCATGGATTTCCATAGGTATGTTGGTCTACTGGAGGGTACAACATGGTACAACATGGTACCTGGATGGGTGTATAACTAGCATGAAACGAACAATGAGGCATTTTTGCTGTGTACATGAGCTGCAGCGCGCAATAGTAATGATGCACCGGATATTTTCATGGGTTTATAACTACTGACTGGTGGGCAGAACCATGATACTACTGGAAGTTGGTCACTTGCAGATCATTCTGAAACAATCAGGTATGTTCCCTTCTGTTACCTCACCTTACTATGTTTGGGTTTGTCTGCAAATAGGGTACACTAAAATTTGATGCGCAATATTGTGCAATCCTCTAATTTTCCCTAGCAAAGTTGGGTTTTTTCACAGGCGGCCATCGCCTCGATGGAAGAGGAGATGAAGACGAAAAGCCTTGGAGCCGGGGGCCGCGGTGTCCAGAAATGACGGCGAAATGGGTCAAAGTTTAAGGCCCAGAAGGGACCAGAGATTTTAGTTTTTAGGCTTTGTATTAACATGTATTAACCATCTACTTATTGGGGTACCCAATTTTGACCCATACCCACATTTATATATATATATATTCTCCATTGAATTCAGATCCACGCATCCAATGAAATACTTCATAATATGTCTCAATAATTAGTATCTCCATCGAATGGTTAGTTATATATTCATATATATATATTGGATGCACACCCCCGGCATTTTTGGTTGACGACTTGCGCGTCCAAACAATTTTTGAACACAACGCACCTGATTGACTCTTTCTGGAAATGCTCATGTTCAATGACGTGCTTTCAAACATTTTTCCGAAAACCCAATCCCCTCAGAATGTTTGATTTTTCTCCAATTTAATCATCATTAACTCCAATGAAATCCCATGAAAAAGCAGGAAAATCCCCACACTTCCCCGGCGACAGTCCTGAGCCGCAGCCCAGGACTTAACAGCGGAAGAGGATGCCCAACTGAAACAGCTTGGCGAGGTGCTGTGGAGGGGCTGGATGTTTGAACATAGGAGGGATCCCAACAAAAACCCAGTGGGTTTCACCTGGTTTCACCACGGAAATGTCACGGTCGAATGAGTGGATGATTTGGGGGTACCTCCATGGATTGGACACCTCCATGGATTGTGCCATGAACGAAGGGGATGATTTTGTAACAAGTGGATTTTGCCAACGTGTTCTTCTTTGCAGACTCACCAACATCACATGGAGATATGAAGCATCAAGCCGGATATCTCAGCCAACATTGAATCTACACGGTATCGAATGCAGAGGACTTTGAACTCATCGATAGGATAGATAGTTCTGGGGAACAGTCCCCATCTGTCAAATCCAGAGTGGCTGATAACCACAGAGAGCGCAAAGCGCATATTCATTGAGCTGACCCCGAACAGACATGGTTCACCATCACTGCTAACCAATCACTATCACTCTTGCTGCCCATGCTGATTCTGGTTTCTGTTTGGTTAGTGCAGACCCCCAATTCGTGTTGGCTATATACCTCTTCTGTTGGATAAAAAACATGGGTGATTAGATCGCACGTATGGTTGAGATTCCTAGGATGGCTATGTAGTTATATAGATGATTGGTGATTTTAAATATTTCTGTTTTCCTTCCCCAACGGGATGACTTTATATAGAGGGGCTAAAACCATGAGCTAGTTATTCCTAGGATTTCCTAGGGGAATTACAAGGATGTCAAAACAACTTCACCACAGATGGTGAATAGGTGGCCTTGAAATCATCGCATCTTCAAATTGATGAATTCTTAAAAAGTTAGCCAGATATGGGTATGGATCAATACCTATTAATACCATTTTTAGGGGAATGAACATCCATTTACCAGCTATTTTGATGTTCACCAGGGGTACAAGGTTTTGACACAATGCCATATCTCATTTTTATCTTCTCCAGGAGCTTCAGGAGCTTGAGAAGAAGTCAGGGAGCTGAAAGACGGGGTGGGTCTCGCGGTGCTGGAGCGGGGTGAAGCCATGCGATGTACTCTGCGAGAATCAACCATGGCAATGGAAAATCTGCGAGAATCAAACATGGCAATGGAAAATCCACCATTTTTTTCGACCAATTTCCCATATTTTCCAATAAAAAAGCCTCCATTTACTGTAGGATTTCCCAAAATGCCATGTTTGATCACCAGAGGGTACGGACTCTGTTCTTAGATTCCCTAACATGACTAATCCGCAAATGATGGGAATGATCATGATGGGGATTTGACCAACAAGAATGCTTGATTAAGCCAGCAATCTTGATATAAAAACAATTTCTCTTTGGTAATATGGCTTTGGTCAATGACGTGGGAGATCTCAAACCAGAAAATCTCCTTAGAAAGTGCTTGGTTTTCACATGCAATTTCAGCTTTATTTATCATCCCACCTATAGGAGAATCATGAACCGCATTTCTGGAGGATTTCCGGGGGATTAAAACCTATCATGCGGATGAGCATCTATTTGCCGGCTATTTGGTTCATCAGGGCTTTCATCAAAGCGGCCGTATGGGAAACCATCGCCCATGTTGGTGGGCCAAAAACCAAGGGCGGCTCCTGAGTTTCTGGCAACTTTTCCCAACAAGATCAACTTTATATTAATCAAATCCGACTATAATCCTTGGTTTCCATGTGGGAAATCTCTCTCTCTCTCTCTCTACGTAATTATATATATATATATACATACATACATACATACAACTGACTATGTAAACCCCTGACTGACCGACAAACTGGCTCACTAGAGAAGCAACACAATAGCTAAATAACTATCTATATTTCTGAGGTTTCCAGCTTTGATTCCCACCGGCTGCCAAGGTTGGCGACGAGTACCGAGAAGTGCCACAGCCTAAGCCGAGAGATTAAAGGCGGACGTTCAACGAAGCGTTGGAAGGTTTGGGGAAGATAACTGTCATCCCTAAAAAGATCCAAAAGTAAATCATAATCAAAAACTTTTGGGGATTTTAGAGTTTTCTATCTTTTTTTGGAATATGATTATGTTTATGTTTTTATGTATGATTAAGTTCAGGATTATGACGGTGTTTATGCTTATGACTGTCTATTTGGTGGTTTCAACATGTATTTTTTTTCCCATCCCTTGAAATAAGATGATGATCGCAGTTGACAAATGTTTCGTGTGGAAGTTGTGATATGTCTGTTATTATGTCTATGATTGTGACATGTTGCACGATTATGGTTATGATAGTGTAATGTTTATGAGGATGATGATAGGGGTTCATTGGGGATATAGTATCTGACTAGTTGGGAATTTCCATAATTATTTCTCATTATGTCTATTTTGATCCACTATGGGAACCCTGTCCGGGAACCCTGTCCTCAACCAACACATATCAAGGGATGCCAGCGGGTTTTGAAGCCAGCTCATATTGACTAATTTTGGGTTGCCATTCCAGCAAGATCCTGTTTTACTGTTTCAATTCAACTAGCAACCCAGTATATAGTTGGGACATATCAAGTAGTAGATCATCAAAGTTGGACCAATTTTTCGGGTTCCAGTTCCATGTTAAATTTTTGTAGGTGTACCAATGTCTACCCTGAGGAACAAACTACAACTTGTGCATTTTCCATGTCTAATTTGGTTTGCTGGGGTTACCATCTGAAGTTTGGTTCAGAGTCGACGAACATTGGGAGGAAACACCAGCAAACAGGGATATGCCATAACCCCAACACATGAGACATACAGGGTATGTCATTTATAGCATCCTCATTGGCGACCAAACCCCCGCAAATTAATTTGCACACGTACGAACATTGGATGACAAGCAGTTTCAAGACCCAAGTTTTTGTGTTATTTTTTGTTTCGTAGATTATCACAAGCAAACGGACACAACCAAACATACAGACATCTCCGCCCTCAATTTCATCCTGAGCCAAGAAGTTGTGGGATATGACTTGTAGAACCCCCGTTTGGCTTAAGACTGCTTTTGCCGTTTTGGTGCAGGAGGGGGGGGGTATTGGTGCACGGCTGGTGCGCGGAAAAGGAAAATAGGGGCAAGGGTGGGTCTGGGAAGGGAAAAATAGGTGCGGGAGTGGGTTCTTGCCAATCTATGGATCCAGTCAGGATCCCGTCGGGACCCAGTCGGGCACCAATTTTTGCATTTTTGGGCACCGCTTTGGCCAGTCGGGATCCAGTCGGGATCCAGTCGGGATCCAGTCGGGATCCAGTCGGGATCCAGTCGGGCACCAATGTCGGGAGGCAGCCAAATTCATAAAAAATAGCATTTTTGCAGTGTTTTTGCATGTTTTTCGGTGATTTTGGCTGCTTCCCGACAGGTCCAAACGTGGTGCCAAAAATTCGAAAATTTGCGACTGGATCCCGACTGGATCCCGACTGGATCCCGACTGGCCAAAAGCGGTGCCCAAAAATGCAAAAATTGGTGCCCGATTGGGTCCCGACTGGGTCCCGACTGGGTCCCGACTGGATCCCGACCCGGTTTCTTCAAAAAAACACCTATTTCCTTAAATTTGAGCACCTATTTTTGAAATTTTAGCACCTTGCCGTGCACCACCCCTTCCCTCCGTTTCCCCCTCCGGACCCCCCCCCCCACCAGTCTTAAGCCAAACACGGGCTTGGCAAGATATGACCTCTAGAAAAGGGGGGTGGCAAGCAAGAAGAACAAGACAGTGTAGATGAGAAAGATTCACCACATCCCCTCCAAAATCTCATCTTTCCCATCGCTTTCCACAGATGCCTGGCTCACAGGCAAAGAGCAGCATCTCAAAGACTTTCTCCGCAAACGTCTTCATGAACTAGAGGCGGGACCTGGCGGGCAATGCAGGGAGTGGCATACCGAACTGTTTAACCACATTTCACTGAATCGCTTTGCAGAAAAATGGGCTGGAGACCCAAGATATGGTAAAGATTCATGATGTTCATTGATGTTGTTGTAAAATGTCACATCCATTTTTCACAAGCCTGCTACTTGAATTATCTTGAATTTATATATATATATATAATGCTTAGTCACAGTCGCTGAAATCCCTACATTTCGTGGTAAAACATCCTCCTTTCCAATCGAAGAGACCAGGTACAGCTGCGAAGAGACTTGCCTGGGGATCATGACGTCAGAGAGCCAAGTCACTGGCACCCTGGGGTCCCTGGGGTCCCTGCTGTTCAGCAAAGATGTGGTCGTTTTCACCAGTAAAATAGGCAGATTTGTACCTACCCGGGTTAGCCCATGGAGGATGAGAGGTGAAAGGCATAGTTCACTTGAACACGATTTGTGAGATTGGTGATCTAACCAGCGAACAGGAACATTGTGATTTCACTGAATTTCAGCGACACAGGTCATTTAAAAAGAACATATGACCGAGAGATGATACTTTGTAAAAGGCGTTTGATCCTGGTTTGAGAACTGTTGTATTAGTAGAAAGGACTCCAATAGGTTCCCAAAATGCTTGAAGTATGTTGGGTATGTCTGAAAATGGGGTATACCCCCAATGAAATAGCCATAAAAAGTAGGGATAATGATCATTCACCAACCATTGGGTAAATGGGGTTTAGCCTATTTTCAGACAAACCCAGTTGCTTTCCGAAAGCCATGGCGCCATGCCACGTAACGCGGGTCATCCGAAAGCCATCCGAAAATCACCTGAAACATCCAAAGCGAGGAGCGGGTGCGTGAACGCACGAAGGCAGGGATACTGATACTGGGGGCAGGGGTGGAAGACCTTCAGCATATCTATATATATACATATGTATATGTATATCTATATCTATATATATATATATAGATATAAGGTCCGTTTTCTTCATTTCTAGCCCCTACCTGGGACAATGAACGCAATTGACCTGTGTTCTTCAAGGGCTTGAAACCATCAATCAGCAAACAGTAACTAGATTCAAATTTAGACCATTTCTTTTTGGTGCTTCATCCTTTTGCATGCGTACTTGCCGTACTTGGAGAGGTACATGGAAAACAGTCCTATTTCCGCTGCAAGTGGGTGGGAACGCCATCCTTCATGGTCGATTGTCCATTTTTCAGCAGGATGGGACTTGAATGTAGAAGGCTGAAGTAGCCTTTTAACCATGTTGTTGCCGTCAATCTGGGCCGTGGTTGCATTTGTTTGCCATAAATGGAGGTATGACTTCTTTTCGCCGTCCGGATTTTTGGTAACAGCCTCACGAGCTTCAAGGCAGTGGAACGTCTTCAACGTGCCGAGAAAGAGAGCGAATCATCTTTGAAGGACCTGCTGATAGCTGTCTCAAATTGTGGAACTAAGGGGTTGTCATTCGTCATTCCTTTACCAGATCAAACCCAGGGACTGTGCCGGAAAGGTAAACTTATAGCTTGTTCAGCATTCTCACAGTCAGGAAATGAAGCCAAACCAATCCTTGGTGGGGAATGCCCACCATCAGTCGTCATCCGCATGCTGGAAACCGGTGGAATTTGAAGCAATATTTTCCACAGGTCTTCACGGTCTTCAGCATGGATGTTTGTTGAAACGCATAGTGGGCCTCAAGCAGATATGAAGATGGGTTTCCCAGCTATTTTGATCCAACCATGAACTGGATTTCATGACTATAGATCTTGAACTTTGAATGGGCTTCCTCACGATTTTGACATATTTTGAGGATTTTCGAAGTGGTCTCCGATAGGGTTTCGCATGCTTCATCCATTTAAGGACTGATCATAGGTGTGTGAGTCGTTGCTCTGACTTTTTGAGCCATCTCAGCTCAAGCCTCACTGTCTTGCTGAGCCGCCAGCGCCGCGCGTTTCTTCAACATGGGAGGTACAGACCCTGTAGGCCGGACGCGATTTCGATATATTTCTATAGTGCCGACACATCGAGAACTGAGAAAATTATATGGGTTAGAACCCATTTGTATCCCATGTGAGGGCAGATACATATAGGATTCATTAGGATTCGAGATGTTGAGAGGGATTGATTTCAGGTGCCATGGAGCCTGGGGTGAGAGGGACAGGTTGCCACGACTTTTCAGTGCACGGGATGTGCAAAAAAGTATAGACACAAATCAATGTCCTTCAAAGTAGCAGATTCAGAATCAGCACCTTTTTCGCGCAAATTTTCTGACCAGAAAAGTCGTGTGGGAGGTTGGCGTACAGCAAGAACATGGGCAGCAGTGCTTGGTGCCGTTGCCACCCTGGATGCTTGGTGAAAAATCTTGGCTGGTGGAGAGAGTTTTTACCCATGGAAAACTATGGTATCCAGCTCAAAATTGTCAATTCTTGTGCTCTGGCACGTAAGATTGGCCATGTTGCTAGCTGGCTAGCTGTACAGATAGTTTTAGGATGGAGACTTTTCGATGATACTCACCATGTTTTAGAGGAGGCTTTGCTGTATATGGTGGTGACTTTTGGGATCGGAGAATTATGGATAATCCACATCCTGATTTATTCCATTTGTATCCCAGTGTGGCCCCATGTTTGTTGGATTTTGTCGCTTGTATATCCAATATTATATATATATATATTATAATATATTATAATATATTATAATATATTATATTGATATATTAATAGTAATAGCACAGATTTATTTGTACGTATATCCGCTGAATATAGCTTAAACGCCACCAGGCAACGTTGAGTACTCCCATGTCATCCCAGTATCGTTGACTGTCCCATGTCGGTTCGTTGGTCAATCATTTCCTGAGGTCAGCAGCGTCCTGATGCCCTTAAGGGTAGATGCAAAAATTGTCTTGCCGGGGAGCCTATCAGACCAGGGAGGCCATGGGTGAGCTTCAGTGATTTAAGCTGCTGCTGGGGTGCTCCATTTTCGATGGATGAAGAATTTTTCAGCTTGGACGTCTTTCGGAGACTCAAAGGACCACTTTTTGGGGATGGAGATGTGATCTGAGGATCTGCGACTTGCTGCTGAACGAGGGGGTACAGTTGTGGTATACTGCACTGCCGCACTGAGGATTCTTTACCCCTTGGCAGCAATCTTATGGTATTCCAGGCTTGGCGTGGTGGATTTAGGCTCAAAATGAAGAAACTCCTAGATCATGTTCAGATTTGGACACAACATGTTGGAGAATTCTTCGAAACTTTTCGCGTGTGTTTCAGCGCATGTTCAGACAGCAGTCCACCGAACACACCCTACCCATTGCACGCTTTTGATTTGACCTTGTTCGACTGTTTTGACCACAAAATGGAGGCTTAACACAGGTCATTTATATACAACCATTAAAACTCTATAAACAACAAGGGTCTTTGGGGTGACACCAGTGGCCCACCATGTTTGATGCTCAGACAACACCTCCATGACCCAGCAGGTGGCTCAATGAAAATCGGTGGCATTTACTGGATTTTGGCAGATTATACTGAAATCAGAACCCCATGCGAGCCCGCTTTTTAGTCCTTGGGTTGGCTCAATGTTTGAAGGAAAAGATACATCAAAACACAGAGTCCTTACCATGAACTTCTGGGGATCTGCCGTAAAATGATCCTTCATCTCATTCCGACGGGGACTTGTCTGATAATTTCTTTGAGCTACTGCCGCATAGTTTGGTTTGCTGAACATTCTTTTATCCATGAAAATCGCAATATGTTGGGAATAGATCCCCAGATTAAGACAAACAGTTATAAACATAATATCGGTTACACATCCCATGTCAACAGCCAGCAACTATATACCATTACAATATATCCCAGAGAATCCCATCAAATCCCCATTGGGCCGTGTGCAGGTGGCGCGTGGCCAAACCTGACGAGTGGCTTTTGGTGCTCCGCGATGGACGCCTGATTGGACAGGGCATAGGTCTACGCGCCTTCTGTGGGTGCCCTGAAGCGACGGGTGGCTGGTGAATGGGCTTTGTTGTAACCAAAGAGATGGTTGGTGAAGGTTGGTTGCCAGATCATGCCAGATCTCTTCATATTTTTCAATTGGCTTTTCATTCAATATATATATATATATTATACAATTATGTATCTGTATATGTATGTATTAATGTATTTTGAGGGGACTGTTCCCATAGAATGTCCAATGCTTCCGCCTGATTTTTCTTCACATTTGCGTCGTCCCCTTGCATTTTCTGGGTCATCGAGGTGGCGGGATTCGGTGGCCAAGTTTCCAGCCACCATTCAGAAGATCCGATTTCAGGCCGCACAAGTGGACAAAGAGATGCAAGGTGCCGTGCTGCGTGGAGATTTTGGGGATATTTTGGGGATTTTTAGGGGATTTTTAGGGGATTTTTGGGGATCCGACTGGAAAATTTGGCGCAGGGAAAGACAGAGTGGAGGGGTTTGGGGATGAACTTGGGACTTTCTGGTTATAGATGCCTTGTGAATAAGCCAAAGGGCAGATGCAGAAATGAAAAAATGCAAAACTGTGGAGAAGCAACCTTGGTTGCGTCTCCGAATCGGTTAGTACTATTCAACCAATCCTTTCCCCATAGTGGCAAACAACCCCAAATGTCCCAATTAGCTTAGTATGGGGTTCCAAGAATCCGGGTAATTATCAATCATTAAGGGGGATGCGTCGGACGGGTTTAGAAATCATCACTTTGTTGCAGGGTATCCAAGCTTTAGAAGCATCGGTTATGGTTTGATTCGCGCACTCCGTTCCGCCCTGGAGGGCTGGAAGTGAGTGGCTACCTGAGCTGGTCCGTCAACCGCACCGGAGAGGCTGACGCTATTTGTCTTGTTGCTTGGGTGTGCGTAAAAATTGCTTCATTTCACCCAAGTACAGTATATAATTCATAATATTATTGATCTTTTCCGGGTATGCGTAATTTCTTTTTCGACACATCATGACATCTCAAGACGTTGAACGTGCCCCTGTGGGACACGGCCAGGGGCCCTGGAATGCCTACAAGTACATGGCGATGAGAGACCTTGATGGGGACGGTCGGCCACTGAGCTCTCGCCAGAGATAGATCCACAGTTAAATCATCATGAATCGCACCGCGCTGTTTTAATGACAATGAATCTTGAGCAGATATCTAGTTGTGATGTAAATAGTAGTCATATGATCATTGTGGTGTTTATTTTTGTATGTTATAACTACATTATATAACTACAATTTAATTAGTAGCTTATACTAATATTATCCATTATTCTTACATATTGATTCTGATAATTGTAACTTATAACTACTCTACTGATAACGATTTAATAGTGATCTTATTACCAATGGAAACCGTTTTTTTGGTGATAGGGACGACCACAAAAAAAGTCGCCAAGGCACAGTGGACTCAGATGCGGGCTCCCAACACATTGCAGAGATGGCCAAGGTGCAGCTGTTGGGATGGTGACCCGGTGATGAAAAACGTAGCTTTTTGGAGTAGATGACCCATAGAAATGATGATTTACCGGGTTGGATTTTTCTAAAAAAGTGGTGATGTTTTATAGTCAACTTAGTACACCGTTAAATCAGAAGAGGCTACAATATATCTCGCAAGACTGGCAGGACTTTGGGAATGATTCTTTATTGTAATTATTTTACCACATTCTTGTGCAAAACCCGACTAAAGGTGACCAGCAGGTGATCGGTATAAGTTGGAATGCGCCATGACTTCGAAGCTCCACATTGATATCCAATGTCATGTAAGACTTTGCCGTGGCTGCAAATGATTTACCGCCAAAATTGGATGCCATCATATCCTCAAAGTTGACAAACCATTTGTGTGTCCCGCCAAGCCCACCCATCAGGTACAGTTGGACATGAGCCGCCCAGCAATTTCCAGCAACCTCACGCGATCTCAGCATATTTGTTATTCGTAGGGGGCACCCCGAAATAGGTTGACTCATTCCAATGTATGATTCCCTTGTCAACCCCATAGCTATCCGCAATATGCTGAATCAATAGCATTGAGCTGAATCAGATCTTATTGGTCTTGCAGGTTGCTCGCTTTCTTTTTCCACATCTTGCTTACTTTTTGGCTTGCTTCATCTTGCCTCTTGCCTCTTGCAACTTGTTTTTGCAGCTTGCTTTCCTCTTGAAGCCTTATTGCTTCATCTCTTGTCCCCTCTTCTCTGACGCGCTCCCCCTATCGGCAGGGGTCGGCGGATATCCCATGATCTGTTCCTAGGGTATCCGATTCTGTTCCCATTAGATCCCATGATCTCAGTTTGATAACTCCCATAGAATTCCATGGATCCTAAATCCGGGGACGCCCCAGGCCGTGGTGCGAAGCCAGGTGGCCAACAGCACGCTCTCAGAGGTGCGGTTTTCAAAGGTGGCGGAAATCTTCTGATAAAATATATGGACACATCATAGGAAAATCATGGGAAAATATGGATGTCATCATGGGAAAATCATGGGAAAATCATGGGAAAGTATGGACACAAACCTGTAAATCCTTAATGACAAAGGTTCCATCTTCCAGCAAACCATGTTTGATTACCGGCGGGTAAGAACAATGGTTCCATAGTTGAAAGTGTGCTTTCTATCCTTTCTATCCGATCTAACTGTCAGATACACTTAGGATTGCTTAACGTATCTCATAGTTGAAGAGGATTTCCAATGTCTGGGATAAGATGATGATAATGACAATACCAACACTATTTACAATAACTGTCATACTGATAATCATCGTTTTTATATTCCCCCTCAAATCTAGTTCCAGGGACCTGGAGAAGCCTTATTCTTACGAATAATCACACAAATTGTTATTACTGACTGCAACAATATATTACTAACAGTGACAACACACCCTGTCAAGAAGTAGTAGTTGTGACAGCAATTCTTATGATGATTGCGAATGAGGACAACAGTTAAACCAATAGCAACAAACAACATGACACCAGCGACAATAGTAATGGTGAACATAACAACGATAATAGTAATGTTCATGACGCTCATGGTGAGCATGAACATGACAATCATCGTGACAATCACAATGATAAAAGGATTATATATAGCAAGGACAGCAACAGATTGACCAACGGCAACTGACTGGGATCCCTCACCCGACCTGAAAAAATCACTGTTGCCAGAAGCTGATGTCGTTCGCGTCGTGGTCTTCAATCATTTGTGTTTCAAAAGAGCTCAGATAGTTGATGATTGTTGATGTCTTTTGCTATTAGAGTTGTTTGCCTGTGATGATTGCTGAACCTGCAGTTCCTTCGGTTCTCCATCACATTTCCTCCAATATGGTCATGTTGGTTGCTAATGAGATGAGTTTTTTTTGGTTGCTTAAGACCCCCCATGATCCTGTTTGATGTCCCAATTTTGCATGTTTACTGGTCCTCTCCCCTTGATACATTTTATCACCAGTTTTGTCACTTGAATGTATTTATTTTGTTTATAATGTATTGACTTTTGTGGGTCCAATATGTGTGTGTATATTTCTGAATGGACGTACAGTAATACAGACGTACACATTACCTAAACACATCACCAACATAGTGAGATAATACTACTACTTTGATCGTCCCAGGTGCTGACCCAGCGGGAACGCTTCCGAGATGCTGTGAAGGAGAAGGTGATGCAGCAGGTCCAGTTGCGCCGGAGAGTTGTGCCATGAGTTGCCTTTTTGTTTTTTTTGGAAGACAGCACCAGTTTTCATATTTTTCCATATTTTTTGCTGGCTCTGGAAGATCATGTGCATGGGCTAAATGGGTATGGACATTTCCAAATGGAGCCGGGAGGCTCCAGCTTTCCAGTGCCCAGGTGGAAGGCTGGGGCGTCTGGGTGGAAGCTATCGAGATTGCAGACGTGAGGATTTGCTCTTCCAAACTCTTTGAGGACCTGCAGGCAGCGACCAGGGGCGCTGAGCTGTGCGACAAACAAAAAAGGGCACCCCATTTATATAGCCTCTGGTAACAGTCAGCTATTGAACATGGCCCATTTATAGTTGATTTATGTTGATTTACCCATGAAAAATGGTAATTTTCCATAGTTATGTTAAATTACCAGAGGGTAAGACTGGTTGGTGGTTGGTGGTTGGTTGGTGGTGGTTTGACACGTTGTTCTTGGGAAACCCCAAAGATCTTGGGGATGACGATCCGCACCAAAAGACATCTGTCTCAGGTTTCCGCGGATCCCAAATTTCGATCCCCCAAAATCCACCGAAAGAGTCCATCACTGAAGTTCCAGCAGGAAAGGGAGCGCCTGAGAAGTACTACTAGAGTTTGCGTTGGTAAAAACTCGACCATCGGATTTATTTCACCAGTTGCAGTTGGGACATCCCAAGTTGAATTGGTAGGATTCTGATTTTGATTTATTAGATAGACTGTTCTCCCAACAGTCATTTTTTTTCCATTCCATACCAATCTTACCAAAACTCGAATTTTCAGTCAATTTTCTGCCCATTCTTTTGGCCATGTCAATTTGTAATGGAGATCCAAGAGAGCCGCCCTGTTGCACATCCAGATGGCTGATTTCCCCAGGCAGCTCACAGGCAGCAGATTCGCTTGCAGGCTGAGGAGGTGAGGGATGGTGGGAGACCCCGCTGGCGACAATCCCAAATGGATGATGAATCAGGGCTACTCCACGGTTTGGAAACTTCGCATTTTTGTCCGTTGGTTGGTTTGGAACCATGGAATTTTATGACTTTCCATATATATATATATATAATATAATATATATAATATATATAATATATATAATATATATAATATATATATATAATATATATAATATATATAATATATAATATATATAATATATAATATATATATATATAATATATAATATATATATATATATATATATATATATTGGGAATTTCATCATCCCAACTGACGAACTCCATCATTTTTCAGAGGGGATGTCATATATTTCACACACCGTTAATATACACCAGTTGTTGTTGTGGATGATTTTTTTTCGAGATTTTCCTCACGGCGGTCTTCACGAGGCGCGGATGGACACAGAGCGAAAGCTCCAAGAGAGGAAGCTGCAGGAGGGCACCTGGAGGTTTCCTGAGGGATCCCCAAGTCGTCATTCACTGGATTGGTTGTCTTGGGAAAATCCAGAGGACACCCAGTTTTTTACCATCAAATCTAGAGGTTTCCCGTAAAACTTCCCTTAAACCAATCCAATGAACCATAGGTTGTTTCAATACTATATAAATGGATTGAAATGGTCATCCATGACTTGGAAACCTTCGAAAAGCGGAACAAGACTTCAACAAAATTGAAAAAAAAACATGAAAAAGAGGGCCCACCCTAATTTTCCAGAACCGTTGTTGGGTGAGCCATGGTCTCAACTGCAACGAAATATGTGTTTCATTTGAGGACATCGTTGGGCAATGCCTGACTGGGGCTCCAATTGAGAGCGACTTGTGGCTATGAAAATGCTGGTAGCTTTGGCTGGCTGTTCTACCACTGGTTTGGTTCAGAGGTATCAGATTTCTAGTGAGCAATTGCAAGCTGACGCTAGATTTTTGTGATTTTCCCACTACTGCTGCTGAACAACTTAAGCGCATGTTTAAGGGAAATTACATAAACCCTACAAGAGGACCCCCTCCAGTTTTGTTTGTTTGTTTATTTATTTATTTATTTATTTATTTCACACATGTGCAGATACTATCTACATTTTGCAGCAACACTAAGTTAGTTACATTGCTTATACTAGTCCTATGATGAGTTACTTTACTTATACGAGTTACATGAGCTGATTCCACCAGTGAGATCAGACCAACGGACCTATCAGAAACTTATCTCCAGCCCATCTCGCATGGAATGACACGGGGCTTGGCAGGATGAGCTTGCATTCGCGAAAGCCAAGGTGTGATGGGTTGACAGTTTGGTAAAGTTTGATCGTAATGGCCATTGATTCATTTCATCAATTTATAGAACAAGCATGACTGGTTGGTGGTTTGGAACATGTTTTTTTATTTTCCATAATATATGGGATAATCCTTCCCATTGACTAATATTTTTCAGAGGGGTTGAAACCACCAACCAGATGATGATTGGAATTCCTGATCATGCTGGGATGACCATGAACCATACCATGATGACACATGTGAGTTATCATGGCCATTGACCATGACACTAATATGACATTTATCAAAACATGGGTGATAAAAACCCGGATAAATTTGAAATATAATGGGATATATGATGTGGGTTAGTCCTGAAATGTGGCATACCCTTGATACCCGTTTGAATGAGGAAAGATGCTAAACTACTGGATTTTGGGGTATGCTACTTAGCTACTTTCATACAGACCTATTTAAGTAACAATATCTGCCACTCATACTACATACATCTACATACCATAGATTCTGTGGGGGTTTCTAATGGTTTCTGGCCGCCAAGAGAGTGTTTCTCAGGCGAGGCATAACTGGAAAGCCCGGATAATCAACTCAGTGAGCATCCGAGTTCTCCAAACGGCAAAGTAGGATGGGACCAATGATGGGGCGATGAACTTCCAATTATCAATGTTATAACGGATACACAGATTGATGGTTGAACCATGCTACATCCAAACATTTGGTGGTGAGTCCTACAAGTTTTGATGGTGAAACCTGCCACGTGCCCCATATTTGGTAATTCATCATCGTTTTCAATTCCCACATTTTCCCTCGTTTTCCCTGTCAAAAGTGCCATAGATTGGGGTATGCCGCTATGCCCCATGGACAAACCCGGATGGTGGGGAAGAATCCCGCCGAACTCAGCTTGATGCTTTCTCCAGGCCGAAACCGATGCCGAAAAGCGCCTCTGCGCAGCGCGACAGCAGCTGCGGGCAGAGCAGGTTGCAAGGGTTGAGGGTTGTGGTGCTTCGCTGGTTGTTTGGTTGCAGAAACAGGATGAGCCCAAAGCAATAGATCGGCTGTGTTCAATTTCAAGGGCTCAAAGTCGTTCTGACTTCTGAACTTCAGTGGAATGACATCGATATAATCGATATAATCGATATACAAGTTATAAAGCATGATTTATTCGCTGTCAATAGCAAAAAAACTCCGTTTAAATATTGCAATTTCCAGTTTTGTTTGGTGAGTTCCAGTTGGAATGACCATGGACCATATTCCATTTATGGTTGATTTTTTATATCTTGATTACATTCCAATTTGTTTTGTTTGACTGCAAAATCCGAAATTTTGATTGGTAAAAACCCCGCATGTTTTTTTTTGGTCGGTTGAAACCCGGGCTTCTTTTCAAGATCGCAGTTCATGCTTGGTTTACACATTGCCGTTGATGCTCCGTTTAACATCCCTCTTTTTCCCCAACAGCGTAAGCTTGGGGTCTTCAGCCATAGTAAAGGTCTCGTCGGAGCAACCAAAATCCGGATTGCCAAAGTTCCCAGGTTCCCAGGAAGGGGTACCCAAGCAAGGTTCCCCAGCAAGGTTCCTAGGAAGAGGTTCCCAAGCAAGGTTCCCAAGCAAGGTTCTCAAGCAAGGTTCCCAAGCAAGGTTCCCAGGAACAGGTTCTCAAAGATTCCCAAGAACAGGTTCCCAAGCAAGGTTCTCAAGAGCAGGTTCCTAAGGTTCCCAAAGGTTTCCAAGCAAGGTTCCCAGGTTCCCAAAGATTCCCAAAGGTTCCCAAGAACAGGTTCCCAAGTGGCGAAAGGCTGCGAAAGCGCGGCGATAGGTTGGCGAAAGGTCTGACTACCAGTATTTATACGAAATATTTATACGAACTATGCACACGAAATTATTATCATAATTCCCTGTGCCGATTCTGCTGGGGCGCGAAAAGGCGAGAAAGGGTCGCGAAAGCACGGCGTAAGGGCAGTTTTGGGGAACCAACATTTTTGAACAACCCCCAAATAACTTCGTGAGTAGCCAACCGGCAAATGATCAATCAAAGGTTTATCTCGGTTTATCTCAAACAGCTCTCAAACATCATTCCGACAAACTTTGGTTGGCTTTTTCATGTAGTTGTTGCTGTTGGTCATATTCTTTGGGCTTATTGTTGGTTACGTTTTCTTGGTGCAACTTCAATCCTCACCTCCCCACGGTTGTTGCTTCATGTTGCTTCAATCTGAAATCGAAGATTCCCTCAAAATCCATCAGCAAATTTTCCCATTTTCATCAAAATCCCTCAAAATTCCATCAACAAATCCCCATTTTCCCGTCATTTTTCGGGCCAGGGGATCCCCCGGATCCGGAGCCTCCGATAGGCCGTCGGTCGTCCACCGTCCTTACGCCGCCAGGAGGAGGCGGAGCTCTTCGCGTTGCAGGCACAGGCGGCGAAGGCACGGCTGCAGATGGAAGAGGAGATTGAAGTGGCGAAAATTGCCAAGGAGACGAATGAGTTGACATGAGTTGACGGTTTTTGTTTACTTGTTGACACTTAGTTGATAAATGAACATCTGTCATCTTTTAATGGAAATTTGAAATTATATATATAATATAATCCTCCAACCCTTATCTGGCAGGGTCTATGTTAATTTACCGGAGGGTGTCCACACACACACACGCATATATATATATATATGTATACATACATGTATGTATAGTGATATTATGTATATATATATACAGTATTGATGATTGATGATTATGTACATATTGATGATTATCACAAATGATGATTGATGATCTAGTTTATGACCAAAACCCCTGTTGATTGATGATTAGTTGGGGATTCTACTACCCCACCAAAAAATGGCGATGATCAGAATCCATGTATCAACTAACCATTATGAGTCGATGACCAAAAGCGATTATACCATACTGAGCACTGGTAACTGATGATGAGTTGAGTACGATGTGGATATAAGACGATATAAGTGGAATCAACTCATAAATGATGGTTGATGGATGATTATGATGATTATGGCAAGATCCAGGGGTTACATAATTTCTTAATAATCCCCGATAGGGTAATGTACTGTTGAATTGATGATTCTAGGGAACTATACTAAGCAACATATTGGGGATGATCATTGTTGAGTGTTTGAGGGATGATCATCTGGGTTATACCCAGTGATAAGGATTCCCATTATGGTTGAATATGATTTATGGTTAAACTTTATAAACCCAGCATAATCTATATATTCCCAATATGGGACTATTTCATACTATTTCAACAGTAGATCGTGAACTCACCACAATATATTGAAATCAACCGCCTATGAACCATCTACTGGTACCTGTCTGTCTGGGGATGGGGATGTCGAGGGGGTGATGGACAGGGGGATGGAAGCATATCTCATCTTGACCGGTTTTAAACGGTATCTTATTAATTATATATATATGTTACATGATATTACTCTTTAAGACTTGGGGATGATATACCTCAATATTCAATCAGCAATCTGACAAAGAACCAATGGGAGGATGCCGTGATGGGAGGAGTAGGAGAAACGTGTGATGGGTCTCCTACTAAACTGGAATCAATGTGACAAATACTCGTTTCTTCGACTATGTCACTGTTTGCCAGCACATCATTTTCCAGCCCTCAAAAAACACCTGAGTTCTGCCTATTAAAAAAGGCACCTGAAACCAATGGCCTTTCTCCGTATGTCTCAAGGAGGCCCGGCTGGAGAAGCAAAAGTTGGAAGGGCAAAATGAGTTGAAGATGTTAACGAAGGAGGCAGAGCTCAAAAGGTGCCGTTTAGGGGGGAGCGATGCATGGGGGAGTTCAGCCTTGGGATTTTGGGATGCCAACTTTTCAGTCAAACCTGAATAATATTCAGCAGGGTAGCGCTAATCTATGGCCATATTATATATATATATAATTATATATATATCTATCTGATGGGGATCCGAGTGTTGATTCTTTTCCGAGCGAACCAGTTCTTGTGGGACTCATAAAATCGATTCTCCAGACTTGGGATTGTGGGAAGATGGACTGTTCCCTCCGAAGCTCCCCTGGCACTCCAAGATGGCAAACAGGACATCTGTTCTTCACTTGGTGGATGATGTTCAAATAGTGGGGCTAAACCAATCATAACCCATCCCCCAAATCAACATAAATAGGTGGTATACCATTCTCAAATAGGTGGTTTATGGCATTGTTTTACCCACATTATTTCAATTGATGGAGATTCGGAACTTTGGCACGCTGAAGTCCTCCTGGGCATACGCCACAGCTTTCAAAATGTTATTTTCCATGTGATCTTAATGATCCCAACATTGAGATTTTCAGTGATTTTACCGATACTTCAGAGAGATGTCTCTCAAATTTGGGCCCCTAAAGTCATCATGAAGGGTTTCCCCCTCTTTTTCCCATGTTTTTTCATATCTCCATTGGCGGTTCGAGGCTGGATGCCACCTATGACACCGAAAAGAAGATGCCCGAGGCGAGCCTGCGGCGCATGCAGATGGAGACGGCGACGAAGATCGCGGAGAAGTTGCCACTGAAGGCGGGGTGGTGCAGGCCGGTGCTATCTTTATAGGTGTAGCCATGGTGAAAAAACCACCATGTTTATTGGGATATCACCTCCACTTTTGAAAATGGCTGGTTACGGGTTGTGGATGACTTGTCAATGGGGGATTGAACCCCCAAGTTGTGGTACTTTGATGTTGGGAAAATGATGATGAGCCAATAGATTTAGAGGTTTTGCAGACAAAGCCAAGTGAAAGATGTGGCTGTTTTTTTGTAATTAACTTTTGATCTTGAACATTTGGAAGGTGATGATGTATGATGATGTTGGATCTTGAAAATATTGGAGGATTTTTGGTGCTTGAAACCTTGGAGGAGTTCTTTTTTTTTTGGTCAAACAAGTTGTTCACAGACTGCCGGGTAAATAGTGACCTCAAGGGCCATCGATGCCACGTCTGCACCGCAGATTTGGTCCTGAAATCTCCTATAATTGTATATAAATGGGTCTGTCTGATATAGGATCCCCCAAATCCATGGGATTTTAGTCCATGGCCCATCTGCCATTTGGAGACAAGGCGGCCACATATATATATATATATATATCCCCACTTTCACGCAAAAAGCGATATCACATATATCATCCCATAGGCCCATATCATATTCTCACTTTCACAGATTTTTAGATGATTTGACGATGAACTCTTGGAATTTTCCAATGGATACATGAAAAAAAACCCTCTGGTAGTTTAACAGTTTGCTATGGCGATTTGACAACCATAGGTAGATCATGAATACATGTCAACATGTTAAATCATTTTCATCAATTTTCCACAGCTACTATTAAATTACCAGAGGGTATCATTCCACTGATGTGTTGGGAGCCTCCTGCAAGGACCTGCGCTTGAACGTCTTCGGTGACGGCAGCCAGGTGTCTAAGCTGCTTCCGGCGCTGAGTGCGGCCACTTGGGATCTGGTGCAGGAACAGGAGCCGGAGTAGCCTTTGGTGTTTCAATGGGGAGTTGGGGATATACCAACTGGTGATTTAACATAGCCATGGAAAATCACCATGTTTAAGAACGGTAAACCATCTATAGATGGGCCATCTATACCATGGCTATGTTAAATAACCAGAGGGTAATGGGACAGCAAACCAGCAAACCCTCGGGTAATTTCTATCACAGTTTGCGAAGTGGAAAATCACCGGCAAATCATCGAACTAAATGGACCATGGCTTCCAGTTCGCTATGTGAAATTACCAGAGGGTAGGCTTGAGATAGTGGGGTATATATATATATAAATATTCAAAAGGAAATGGAGTAGTGAGATATTTGAGTATACTGGGTATACTCAACTGGAAAGGGCTGAAGTGGAAAAATTGAACGACCAACTTAAATGGCTGACTCATTGGTTGGGTAACCGACGGGTTCTTTGGTTGATCATCACTCAAAAATGGGTTGTTGTTGACCCACCTAAAAAAATGATGGTTTAGGACTTCAGAACCCAAGAATTGAATAAGAACCCAAGATTTGGATAAACCCAATTGCCCTCTACTTTGCGTTCTCCCCTTCTATTTGGGATGACAATACCCAGTGACTAGCATATTTTTCAGGGGTTGAAACCACCGCAGAAATGCTGTGAAACGAAGCAACCAGACATTTACCACTCTAACATGGCGGGAGGAAGCAGCAAACCTTGGAGGTATGAATCGGGAGTAGGAATATCAACCCAACCGACATTGCGGAAAGAACGATGTGTTTGCAAAGAAATGGTAGATACATCTGGAGGTTCAATGGGGGTACCTCCAAATCATCCATTTTATAGGATTTCCCACATTATAGATTATAAACCATCCAGTTATTGGGGTCCCAGTTATGGAAACCTCAACGCAAAATTCAAATCCTGGGGATCTAGCAACCACCATCTGACCCCAGAGGAGACCCAGAAACGTTGAGGACGTGCTGTGCCCCGGCCTTTGTCGAGAAATCTGCGACTGTTGGCGATGGGTCGGATGTCAAGGGGAAGGTCCCAAACCACACATTCTGATATTTTTGATATTTTGATCATGTTACATGTTCAGTAATGTTCAGTACCTATCTGGGTTTGAGAAGGGGGTTCCCTAAATTCGACAGTTGTAAAGCCAGCAACACCTCATTTTGTCCATTAAAGCTGCCACTTTCGGAATAGCATTATCGTTAGGCCGGGCCCATCAATGGTGGATGTGGAGCGTGTTGCAGGCGTTGTCACTTTCAAGCAGTCTTTGTACCAGTCGTTGCTAGAAATACCTCATTTTGATCATCCTTAATATCATCCCTAATATCATCCTTAATATCATCCTTAATCACAGTCACAACCCAACAAAAACACAGCTTGATTTAGCAATAAACAGGGCGTGCCTGTGACCTTCGACCGGTCGGTGTCTCTGAATTGGTGTCCAAGCCGGTGCCAAAATCGCGTTCCGATTGGCGCGTGGTAATCTGCACATAGCTATATTTCAATTGTGTGCGGAGATCAAGAGATTGGCCGTTAGTGCAGCTTGGCCATCGTTGATCGTTGATAGTGTTGCAAGGAACCTCAAACTGTGTACAGTACAGTCCTGCTGCGCTCTGAAACACGACAGAAACACGGCGACGTGACGAGCTACGTGGTGCCTTGAGACGTTGGGTAAAACAACTATAGAGTCACCAGAACTATCGAAAATTGATGAAGAAAGCATTTTTGAAGTCATGAGAGACTTTAAAGGCTGGACCCCTGGCTGAAATCTTACAGCACCTTGCACCCAAATTTTTGGTTGAATCCTGGATCCCGGCTTTGTCTGATAGGCTAGGATGCCTGAATCCATTGGCTCATCAATATGGAACCCAAAATTATACGTATATTTGCAGTCATTTATACCGTGATCAGCCAATATCCCTAGCCCACAATTGGATGGTCAACCCCCCATTTTGCTTGGTGAATGAAAAATGCAATAGATTCTCCGGCAGATTTTCCCGAGAAAACAGTTTCTAGGATTAGATCTTTCATCCATCAAAAATCAGATCAATTATACCTTTCGAAATCCATATCATGATCCGATTATAGATCCATAATATATATATATACAATATATACATAATTATATATATATACACATAGATTCCCTTGAATTTCATTTCAAACCTATGGGCATTTTATATCCATTGAATCATTGCATGGCGGCAGGAGCTCTTAAAGGAGCTGAACACGGCCGATCAGGCGAGGTCGAACGTAGCGTCCGCTGGCTGGTTGATCATGGAGGTTGTGGCAGGTGACACCGCTTTAACATGATCTAAGAGTTGGTGATGATCTAATTTCTGGTAATGGCTGACATAGCTATTGAACATTGCCCATTTATAGATGATTTACCGATTTACCTATTAAATCCTATAAAAAATGGTGATTTTCCATGGCTATGTTAGTTTACTAGAGGGTAGCCATTCTTTTAAGGTAGAATTTTACCCAGCAACTAGATTTTTTTACCCAAATGATTAGCATTATTATATGCAATGGTCAAACAATAGTAGTTTCCATCCTCCCGTCCTTGGCGCAGGCCTTAGCGCAGGCGCGCAAGGAGGTGGAACGGCTGCAAAGTGAGGTGCCGAAACGGCGAAACGTCGCGTCGCAGTGATGGCCACTTTTGAGAGGAACATATGGGGGTTTCTATAAACATGGGTACCCCAATAGCTGGATGGTTTATTTATGTTTATTTCATGGATTGTTTGTTTCATGAATCCTATTAAAATGGATGATAACTAGGGGTACACCTATTTTAGGAAACCTCTATATATGGGCCAACGAATGGGGCGATTTGACCTCCCAATTTACCTTCCGATTTTTTGGGGGTTGGAAGCAACCCTGTAAAAGGTTGATTAGTTGGCTGATATTTAAGACCCAAATAATGGTTGGCAGTGAGGCTCAGTTGATATAAAATAACCACACTCTGAAAATCTAAACCAAGAGAAGTTGGGGTTTTATGGAGGAACCCTGGAGATGTGACCCGTACATGATTATATATTTTTTGTTATTATATAATCTGTATCAGCTGGAGAAAATTGACGCCGATATTGGGATCTTGCGATGAAGCGTTGACATGTGTCAACCAGATGAAGAGGTTTCGTTGCCTTGGATTTTCATGGATTTTCATGGATTTTCATGGATTTCCAATGATCTTGTAAGATGTTTCAATATTTAAGGCTTTTGGGAAGCAACACTTGCTCCACACACAGACTGCGAGATGTGAGTTCCCATTTTTGCTCTCCAAAGCTTATGCACTTCTGTGGGTGACGATTTGTGCGTGGAGCCAGTGCAAAACTACAAATCTGAACTGGTTGGTGGTTTGGAACATTTTTTATTTTTCCATATATTGGGAATTTCATCATCCCAACTGACGAACTCATATTTTTCAGAGGGGTAGGTCAACCACCAACCAGTGAAGCCTGTCAGGACCAAAAAATTCAAAGCAATCTGAGTCAGCTGACTTCCAACTTGGATGACATCGCCTTGAAGGTTGACAGGGATTGCCGGGTGAAGGTGTCAGTTCGAAAAACCGGGTCAAAATGATGGGGCAAATTGGGGTATATCCATTGAATGGCCTTTTTTAATGGGGATGATATTAATAATCCATTGGAATTGGGGTGGTACCAGAATTGATCAACATCATTATTGGGTTGAGGCGTTTTTGGTTTGTCGCAGTTTGTCTGATGCCAGCCGCCCACCCACAGACCATCAAGCAACCACAGATATCTTCTATTGTCGAAGGAAGTTTAGAAGTCAACAATATGGACAGATGGAAAAGCAGAGGTGGGAAGAGTCAGAGAAGAGAAGAGAAGAAGAGAGAAGATCAGAGAAGAGAAAGAGTCAGAAGAAAGAAGATGCAGGTGCGCGAGAAGGTAGAAAAGTCGCGATTCACTGTGTTTTTCTAATGATTCGTGGCTCCGGAGGGTCGAAAAGTAGGCCCGCTAAAGCGGCGGGTGCGGAGACATCTGGTCAGATGAACACCTGGAGCACTTTTAGAAGTTGAGATAAGGAAAAGTGCATGCCATTGTGGCGCGAAGCACATTTCGAAGTCAAATTCAAAACTGACGGTCTCGGACCGCTTTTGGAAGTTGAGATGTCGAAAAAGTGCACGCCGTTGTGGCGTGAAGGAAGTCAAAAATGGAAAATTGAGGGCTTCGGAGCATTTTTGGACGTTTGGACGTCGTTTCGCGTGGCAGGCGCAAGGGATTCTGCACCTGGCCAAAAGCGTTGGCAGGCGTGTGACATTTGAAGAGGATCCGTAAAGATATAAGATGCAGTTTCCGTGGTAGGCGCAGTACAAGAGACATGTTCATCAGAGATGTTCGGAGGTCAGGGCGCTGATTTCCTCAGAGGGGCTGCATTTTGGAGCATGAGATCTTCAAGTTTGCTAAGATGATTTTGCGTGACAGGTGCAGCACTTTGTATGACCTGGCCTCCCTTTTTCGTGGCAGGCGATGCTTTAAAGACACGGACTGGAAAAATTGCAAAACGCATTGGCACGAGGCCGTCAGCTCTGCACTCAATTTTTCATTATTGAAAGGAAGTCTCGCAGAATTGTTCGTTTTTGATGTTGCCAACTTCCAAAAATGAGGAAGTCTCGCAGTATTGCTTGTCAAGCGCAAAAATTGAGGAAGTCTCGCGGAATTGCTGCTTTTTGATGTTGTCAACATCGAAACTTGAGGAAGTTTCGCGGAGTAGCTTCGTTTTCCAACTTGCAGATAGACAGATAGATAGGCAGATAGGTAGATAGATAGATAGATAGATAGATAGATAGACTACAACTGCAACTACAACTGCACTACCACTACCACTACAACACAAATACAAATACACATGTACTATGCTTCGATACACACTAATTACACCACACTACACCAATTACACTACACTACGCTAATTAGAGTACACTACGCTAACTACACTACAACTATAACTGCAACTACAACTACTATTACTATTACTACTACAGCTACAATGACAGTTACACTACACTACACCAATTACATTATAGGTACACTACACTACACTAGACTACAACTACAACTGTAAACTACAACTACAACTGCAACTACACTACATTAGACTACGCTACGCTAATTACATTGCACTACACTACGCTACACTAACTACAACTACAGCTACAACTACAACTACAGCTACAACTACAACTAGACTACTTTACACTACGCTACACTAGACCACACTACAGCACACTACGCTACACTACGCTACACTACATTTCATTTCACTACAGTCAACACCACACCACAACTACAATTGCAACTACAACTACACTACTTTAATTACTCTAATTACACTACACTACAGCTACATCTCCACTACGCTACAACTACAACTACAGCTACACTACAACACACTACCCAGCAGTTGTGGGTGAGGTGACCACTGCAACCATTGCAAGCACTCCAAACAGCACAACTCCAACCACTTTTCCGTCCATCAGTGGATTCGCTCTGCCATCCATGCATCACGTCCTATCTTTGAAACTTCCGCCACCGCCTTGCGCGGTACTACTGGTAATTGACTACTGAAGAGATGAGAAGAATAACGCTATCCAACTTTCGGTCCACAAAACCAATACATATGTATATGATATATATTTATATATATTTATATATATATTTATATATATATTTATATATATATATATTTATATATATATGCGATATATATATATATATAAATCATTTATATAATATTATATTACTGTAAATAAATCCATCCTTCGTGCCATGCAGCTCACCACTCCAGGTGGAACTTCCGTGGAGTTAGTGCTATGCTGGCCATGTTTGCTCCAGTGGTTCGCACCCATGGCGTCCTGAGCCAATGCCCAGACAATCCTGGTATGACCTTGGACCCGAGGAGTTAGTTTCAGGGACTAATATATAGCTTCATGACAAATGGCAAAGCCTGCAGCTTTCAAACTGACAATTTAGTTCACCTCAATAAATTTTCAGTCAATTGAGGTTGACCCTGGAACTTATAGGTACTTCACGTTCGTCAACCATATTTCAACCACAGTACATCTAGTCGGAATTGAGTATGGTCAGCCAATTTCAAGGCAACTACAGGTCAAACCTAAGTTTCAACTTGGTCGTGCTCAACCGGCTGAGCCTATAAATTGTATTAAACTATTATATATTTCTTTATAAAACATATACTGTAAAATATCATTAAATATCTAGAGGTGGTCAACCATTCTCAAAGGTTGCTCCAAATTTCAATCCACTTGGACCCCCGTTTTTTCTGAGCAGCGCTTGGGCCATGGCGAGCTATGCTCCTCTGCAAGAGGAGCAGCTGACGCTGAATCTGCAGTTTTTACGCTCCGTCAAGGACTTGAGTATACCTGGTTGGTGAGGTTTGAACATGGGGGATATATACCCCCAAGTTCTTGCCATGTGAATGGGGAAAACGAAGAAACATCAAGTTGGGGGGTTCCCCTTAGACAAACGCAGGGTAAAGAACCCGAGCGGCCGAGCGGGTCGGGCAATAGATTGCTGGATTATGTAGCCATGTGTTGAAGTCCCCCAAGTTCTTTTTGGCAAACGTGCTGATTTCAATTTGAACATCCCAAGTATACGAATTCTAGCTTGTGATTCCCAGTCAGCGCGACCCGTTGCTCCTTGATTTCTTCCCACATCACTGCACTTCCTTTACAAACAACTGTCAGCCATTTCCCAATCATTTTGTCCCCTAATTCCCATCACTTCATTTCCAAACAACTCCCAAAAACAAACAACCAGCTATATGAAATGGGGGATGATCTATATGAAATGGGGGATGATCCGCCTTATCAACCAGCTCAATTTGGCAAAACTTTGATGTGGGTTCAAAAATCAGGGACACCTATATCGAGTGTATAATCATCATTTGTCAGAATAACCGCATCTAGGGGTATGCTCCTCTTTTTTCGCACAACTCCAAAAATTTCCAACAAATTGCTGGTGATTCTTGAGGAATTGCGGGTGAAATCCCCTATTAGTCTCACAGCCATGTGATTGCATTTACTACATTAGGGTTTTGTAGTATGCTCATATATCCTTTTGATTGTTGAATCACATCATTGTGTTGGTAAATCAGCATAGCTGTATGGGTAATGACTCCATTTTTGATGGTTAACATTCGGTTTTTCACTGATCGGCAGGAAAATGAAATCACCGGTGCCATCAGCGCCCTGGACGATGGAGCTGAAGTGGACTGTGGTTTGACGGAGGAAGCGGTGAATCTGCAGACGCCTCTGCGCGCGGCCTGCGCCAAGGTTGGGGTTGGGAGTTGGGTGTTGGGGTTGGGGGTTGAGTCGTTTTTTTTTGGTTTCTTCAGCTACTGTATATGAATTACATTGAAGAAGATCAATGGTAGCTTAAGTGTTTCTTCTTTGATTTTGATTCGCCTCCAGCTACAAGAGAACATTTTATGGCAGGGTATCGAAGATTCGCCATGATCCCCTTCTGTTTGGGCAAAGTCGAATTACCGCCCAAAGAACAACCTGTTCATCCATAGAAGATCCTGAACGACCGCAGCTTTAAGGGTACCCTCTGATTATTTAACATAGCTGCTGAAAATCATCATGTCTAATAGGTACATCATCTGTAAATGGGCAATTTTCCATATTTTCCCCATAGCTTTGCTAATTTCTGTGTGAGGATTTCTCTCAACTCACCCCGCTTTCGTTGAAGACCCACTCGCCAAGGCCAATGTGAAGATGGCGCGGCTGCTGCTCTTGCACGGAGCGGATGTCTTTGCGCATTTTTCGGTGGATGGTTGGACTGCCCTGCACAGTGCATGTCATGGGGGCCATGATCACATCGCCAAACTACTGCTGGAAGAGGTGCCAGGATGGATGAGAAAAAAGGATGGGGATGGGTCAAACCATTTCTGCCAAAGATGTCCAAAGAAAGTGAAAATCCCATAAGATCCCATTAAAGGCGTATATTCATCTCTATTCTGACTGTATTTGGATGTCTTGTAGCGTTGAGTCTTGAGCCACATTTTTCGGCATGGCCGGCATGGCTCAACTTTTGGGATCATCCTTGGGATGAACCGCCGGGTTTCGGCTGATCATTGCGAGTCGATTTTTTTAGAGTGACTGCAGGCCAAATCGTTGCACGAGAACACCTTCCAAGAAGGTTGGAGCTTGCTGCATTTGATCGTGTTCCTTCGGCTATATGGTGAGATCACACGTGTGTCCCAGCCCACTAAAGTCAGAACAGCATATATAACACCCTCAAGGGGGCCGTAAAACGCCTGACCCCATCACTATCGTCACTAATTACTCCAATATTTCTTAATGGCTCGGTTTTCGAGGGTCTGCTTGCTTGGATTTCGCATCACTGTTGTGACCATATTTGGGTGGACACTCTGGCGACCCCACCTAAAACAAGATATCACATATTATATGATATGTATATGTCTATGGCATATTAAAACATGGGAAATTCTGGATTTCACCATGAAGTTCAACCATGTCCAACCTTCGGCCGAGGCTGGCTGCCACTGAGCGTTTGTTAAACCGCGGTGCCGAGTTGGTTTGCTGGGTCTTGAAGCAGATGCCCAAACTGGAGGCTGGTTGCGCTGCCCAAGACGGAGACAGCTTCGCAGCTGCGTTCGACACCCTGTTGGTGATGATTGGTTCGGAGTTATTGACCTACCCTTCATACTTCAAATCTCAGGGAACATCATAACCCATTAATATCCATTATACATGGGAATGAGTACAGTATGCATCATATCCCATTGATATCCCCATTGATCTCCTCCTTGAAGGTGGATGCGTCTGCCACGCGTCCGGGGTATGTGAACTGGACGCCGTTGCACCTGGCTGCGGTGCGGGGATACACCGAGATTTTGCAGGTCTTGTTGAAGGCGAAGGCCTGCGTAGGGGCTGGAAGTTTGGAAGTTGAGGATCTTCACCAGTTAAATGAGGCTTAGAAAGGAATGGTAAACTGGTAAATTACTCCAAACATGGTGGTTGGTTCAGATTTGGGAAGGAATTTGGACCTCTGGGCCCAGTGAACAGTTGAACCAGTGAAGCTACAAGCGGATAGAATCCATGAACTTTGAGGGACGAGCATTGAAAAAGCCCACCATTTTCCAAGGGACCATGGGAACAGCGCCGTCTAGGATGTTGCTTTTTTAAGTACCCATGTTGATGAGAATCCACTGTGTCGTCAAATCCCAGTCTTCGCTGGTTAAGATCACTCGTGTGAATTTTATCACCAAAACTAATTTACTTAGTAGACCGGGTAGACCTTTGGTTGGTAGGTGAATAGAATTTTAAGGCCACATATATAACTGGAACTATTGTATGTATCCAGCTAGAGATGTTATTTGCTTTAAAGGTTTCTACGTCTGGGATTCACCTGTTGCTTGATATCACCTGCCAATTAAGGCTTTGTCTATAGAAAAAGAAGCTTAAATTCACTGGTGAATCATCATTTTCCCAACAGACAATTGCCAGTTGAGGGTTCTACCCCATTTTCACACATCCCTCTTTTGCTGGTCACAAGATATTAATCCCTTCCACCGGAATATTGAACACGCACCAGAAACCACGGTTTAGTAGAGAGTTGACATATATCTGGAAACATTTAGGGGGTGTTTGACATAGGGCGGAAGGGATTAAGCAATATTATTGCTGACTGAGTACTAAGTCATAGCCGTGGCGTATATCCCACTATAACCCTATCATGTAGCCATTATATCCCACGATATTCTCCAAGATGTGAGGCTAATCCCTTCGAAATCACTGGGGAATTCTATGTGAGCTCGGTCCAGCTCAATAGGCCTGGGCGTTTTTTTGGGGGGTTGGGTTGCAGATTTCATGGCTCATGTGGGAACCTGGGAAATGGATGGTGACTGGATGGACTGGATGGACTGGATGGACTGGATGGATAAATCTTTGTGAACTGTTTAATTATGTTTGATGATGTAGCATCTTGGTTCAACCTAAAAGACTGGATGTTGAATGGTTAACTATTTAGGAACTGACGATTTAATGGTTTGATGATGTTTGATCTTTGCCATCACAGTAAATAGGGGTATCCAAGTTTTGCCATGAAGATAGGGGCATCAAATTGATTTTGTAAGCATGAGTCAATCAGACACACAGTGAAGAGAATCTCAGCATCTCCAAAAGTCAGAGGCCTTTACAGTCCACGACATCCAATCTTGACCCGTACCATTTTTGTTGGGGTATGAAATACATGAAGCAAAACGTCGAGATAGGTTGGATTTCCTGATGGGTCACATCAAATCACCAGATGCCTAGGATAGTGTATTCCCCCTCTGGTCGTGGCACGATTGAAACTCCTCATAAATCCGAGATATTGTTCGTACTAAGAATCAATTCCTCTAGAAATGATGATATTCCATGGGATGTCCCAAATTCCTCTAGAAATGAGGATGTTCCATGGGATTTCCAATGGTTTTCTTCGATTTTGCAATCTCCTCGCATCCCAAATTGGGGTCCTCAAAAACCGAGGTTGGCTGCTGGGGATGAGTCTGCAGTCACATGCGTGCAGAAGATCAGTGCCACGAAGGATGAACTGGATCAAGGTCAGCTTCACCATGGGGCGGGGATAGACATGGGATATTCCATCGGATACCCTCTGGTAAACTAACATAACTATGGAAAATCACCATTTTTCATGGGAAAATCCACTATAAATGGCCATTTTCAATAGCTATGTTAGTTTACCAGAGGGTATTCAGCTGATAAAATGGGATTTTTGAGGTGCGAAATGGAGGAGATTTGACCCGACACGAATTGGGATTGAGGGATTTCACCAGGCAAAATGGGCAGAACGGACGGTCCTGGTAGGTTTCAAACCATGCGTTGGCAGTTTATTGACTACAAATCAGGAGTCAACCAACATCAACCAACAAGAAATGGGGTACAACCAAGATATAAGCCGGTAAAAATGGATTGACATTTCAAAGATAGAAATAGAGAGGCAATTGAGAGGCGATATATTTGCACACAAATATGTACATACGTGGATAAACAGTACATACAAAGCCAACAAGCAGTGGTATCTGTTCAAGCCGAGGATTTTCCAGTGAGTTTGCAACCCACTGCTTGGCTTTCTGGTCATTTTCAGAGAACCAGAATACCAATGCCTTGGCCGCCTTGGCCCTTGCCCCCGAATATTCGAGCCCTCTAACACTGTGTGGATACAGTTTCTGAGGTGAACATTCCAGTGGCAAGGGAGGTGAAATCCAGTTAGTAGGCGGAAAAGAACCCTGATTATTGCTCTCCTCTCTGGTTTCAAACATTTCAAACATTTCAAATATGTCAAATTTCATCTTTCAAAATTATCTAGAATGATATAAAACCATCAACCAGTGCTGATTTGTTCTACAGTATCCTGAGAAGATTGCACGTGCAGGCCTCACGCCTCTACATCTTAGCGCCTTCGGCGGACATCTGCGGACGTGCAGGGCCCTGCTTCGTCGCAGCAAGAAATCCATCAATGTCATGACGCAAGGGTGGGGGACTCATAGCGTACACTCCTGTGTGCAGCGGGTGGACAATTTGATACAATTTGTGGGTCCCCACTTGGAGTGGGGAAGGGTGATGGTGTGATAGTTTGCACTTTCAAACTATTTTGTTTCAACATGGCATGTCTGCTGATACGCGCTGGAATGTCTCCGTTTCAGGAGTGGTGCACACATGGATGTTTGTGAGATTCACTTCAACATGTTTAATTTGTCAGGAGAAACCATTTTCAAGAAACAAGAAAATTGTTTTGCATTGAACTAATTCAATTATACTCACGCTTGCTGTTCTGTAATAATATGTAATATTTACTTTCTCATTCTCACCATATCTCAACTTTTATCCCCCACTATTCTTAGCCTTCGTTTTTCATCATTGTTCATTGTTCTTCCATCGTTTGTGTACATTTTTCCCTCGATTTTCGCAATTTTTCACCCAGCGTTGACTCGCTGAGTCACTGCTGGACCCCTTTGATGTACGGCGTGTGGAGCAACGACGTGGCGCTGGTGCGCGAGCTCTGCCGCGTGGGCGGCCGCTGTGCGGTCAACGACCTGGACCGCCGGGGCAGCGGCACGACGTGGTCCCCGCTGGCGCTGGCGGTGGTGCGCAGCAGCACGGAGATGGTGAACGCGTTACTGGAGACGCTTGGGGACCAGAAATGGGGATTTCCAGGGTGATGTGAATGGATTTTCCAGGGTGATTTCATGATCATCGTCATTTTGCCCTTGGGTTAATCTGTTAATCTTCAAGGTTTGGACATTTGGCAACCCCAAAGGTCGATAGTTGGAAAATCATCTGACTACCATCGTCCTGGTTGCACACTTTTCGGGGAATCTTTTGAGGGTTGCAACCAGGTGATTTTAATCATGATTTCAAGGTGATATTTTCACCAATAAGGATATTTAGCCATTGAACATGGGGATTTAATCATCAACCGTAGCAATCCTCTGGTCTCCTCAAACATGGCTGGGAAATTGCCGAACTAAATGGCTATTGAAATGGGAAACTAATATAGCTATGGAAAATGGCTCATTTATAGCTATATTCAAGTACCAGAGGGTAGTACATATGTATATGGGAAAAGGCCCCCCTTTGGGGAAAGGCCCCTTAGTAAGGTAAGTCAGTAGATACAGGCTGACTAGTTATTGTTATATTATGTTATGTTATATTAATATACAACGGTGGTGGATATATCATGATATATTTGTGCAAGTCGGACTTTGGGTTTCTTCTCAACCAACTAAACCAACAAATCCCTCACAAACACCAATTTTGATATTGACTGGGTACCACAGTTTTCTGGTTTCTGGAAAAATACCTTTCTGGTTTCTAGGGCATTGTCAACTAAAGCAACATACGAAAGGGTTATGACACTCTATAAGAGTATCATAACAACCATATCTATATATTCACAGGTTCCTGACAAACATATCTATTGACCCAAAGCCTAAATCTAGACCAACTCACATATCTACCATCTGGTGATTTAACATAGCCATGGTATAGATGGCCCATTTATAGATGGTTTACCTATTGAAAATGGTGATTTTCCATGGCTATATCTAGACTACGGAATTTCTTATCACTCCGTTGGGATCCCGAGGTACGCGGCGGATCCCTTGGCCCGTTACGCTTCCTGTGACTTCCCCGGCAGCGCCCTGGTGAAGCACTGCTCCCTGGCGCTGCCCGATGCGCTGGAGAATCTGTGGAGCGGCCGGGATCAGTCGCCTGGCATTGGGAGATTGGAGAAACAACTTGGTAAAATATTATATATATATTATCCATATTATAAATAAATAAATAAATAAATAAATAAATAAACACATATATATATATATATTAATTTTCCATATTATATGTATGTATATATATATATATATTAATTATCCATTATATATATATTAATTATCCATATTATATATATAGTTATATTATTCGTTATATTCTTTGTTTATTTACTTTTTTATATTATTTATCTATTTGGTATTTGAATTTATCTATTGATCTATCTATTTGTATAATATTACTCACGGTGTGATCGGGTCCAGGTGCTCGGATCCGGCCGGTTGCGGATCCTTTGATTTGGCAATGTCGATGTCCCGGAAATAAACTGAATGATGGTGATGATGATAATGATGATAATCATTGGTATAATGATAATGAATGATGGTGATAATGATAATGAATATAATGAATGATGATGATAATTATTATGTTTTGACGATTATTGGTATTATGATTGTGATAATGATGATAATGAATAATGGTAATGATGATATTGACAATGATGGTTTTGATAATTTTTGGAAAGGCGCCTGCCGCGCAGACACCCCACCGAACTGTTGTTCTTTACCACTGGTTTATGGCATTGGGCTTACCACCTTAGTGCTATTTCAAGATAGATATTAGTGTGTTTATCCGTATCATTGTATTACCATCTAAATCTAATATGCAACGATTTTTTTAGATTGTTTTTAAGCACATTGTGCCTCTACAAATCATTTTAGAATTGGTCATGAAAAGGTCCTTGTGGATCTCATCATCAAGATTTCCGAGGCGGATCTCGTTGCTACACCTGGCCATCTGCCGCGGTAGCAGCGCCATGCTGTCGCTGCTGCGGCCGGCCATGCTGGCGGCGCACCAGCGCCCCGCGGCGCTCAGCACGCAGCGGCCACAAATCGAGGCGTTGCCGTGGCAGGATGTGACGGGAACGCTGAAGGAGAAGTGCTGCAAGAAGCAGGATCCGGGGCTTGGGGGAGAATGAATGGGAATATAGCTGATAGTATATGGAATAGTTACATATTATATATATATTATATATGTATACGTATACGTTATTATATGATTTATATGTATATACACATATTACATTACATTGCATTGCATTGCATTGCATTGCATTACATTACTTTATGTTACATGCATTGCATTGCATTGCATTGCATTGCATTGCATTGCACTGCATTGCATTGCATTGCATTACATATATATATATACATATCACTAGTACCGCACAAGGCGGTGGCGGAAGTTTCACTAAGTGCTCTTCTCGCCGGTAATCGCACAGCGCGAAAATTTGCAAAACTTTTCGCAAAAAGTCAAAAAGTCAAAAAGTTTTCGACTTTTCGAATTTTTCGATTTTTTCGACTTTTCAAGCAGAAATCTCCTGGAATGTGAACTTTTCGACTTTTCGACTTTTCGAATTTTTCGAACTTTTCGAACTTTTCGACTTTTCAACTTTTCGAATTTTTCGAATTTTCGACTTTTCGAGCAGAAACCTCCTGGAATCTGAACTTTTCGACTTTTCGAATTTTTCGAACTTTTCGAACTTTTCAACTTTTCGGGTGAAACTTTTCTACCACGGTTGGAGTTTTCAGCGAAAAGTTGCGTTTGAACCACCCAAACAATACACCAAACTGGGTACGCAAGGGTTCCTGTCTTATCATCTATCCTCCACCAGAAGGCAAGCGAGATCCAGGTTTTGTGGGTCGCGAAAATGCCTAGCCAGAAACCCACAAAAAGGCCGCATCGATTTGGGTTGAGATGGGTAGTTGTTAAATGGATGTGTAAATAAAGTAATAATATCCCCGGTAAGGCTACACATATAATACTATACCATGTTATTTTATATAATTTGACATTAAGTTGCATTATGCTACATTATGAAATATTTTTCTATAACACACAACACATCACAAAACCATATCATTCGGTATGACATCCCATGATGTTACCGGTATGTTATATTGCATTATTTTATATTGCATTATTTTATATTGCATTATTTTATATTGCATTATAACTAAAACATATTATGTATAAACATATTTTACCTATGATATTATATTATATTGTATCAGATGATATTTTACCATATTATATTATACTATGCTCTATTATAATATTTTATATTATATTGGATCTTATATTATTTTTTTTTAATTTTATTATGAAATATATTGTATATTATTTTATTGTAGCATAATATGTTTTAATATATTATATTATATTATTATATTTTATTATATTATATATTATATCATAATATATTATTATTTACTATATTATACTATATTATATTATATTACATTATATTATATTACATTATATTATATTATATTGTATAATATTTTTTTTTATATTGTATTATATTCTATTTTATTTTATCATATTGTATTATATCATATTAAAATAAATAATATCATACTATTTTATATCATATTTTTAAATATATGATATTGTATTATATTATACTATATTTTTTTAGTGCTAGTCAATATATATATATTTATTGATTTATATTTACATTATCAGTATCATGATAACTCAGAACTATGCAACTGTTCCTTACTTATTTATTGTTATTATTTTATCAAGAACGCATACATGACTTTCAAAGTCCAGTTTTGTTGAATATGAAGTGCATTGCACATGTCATGTCCAACCAAGATCAGTGGACTTTTATATATGTTGTTATTCTTTTTTTGCCACGCTACTGAAATTTCTCTTGAACTTTCCACGCATACGTCATGCTACGCTACTGTAAGTTCTCTTGAACTTTCCATTCATGCGTCATGCTAAGCTACTGTAAGTTCTCTTGAACTTTCCACTCATGCCTAATACCACGCTACTGAAAGTTCTCTTGAACTTTCCACGCATATGTCATGCTACGCTACTGTAAGTTCTCTTGACCTGTAAGTTCTCTTGAACTTTCCACTCATGCGTCATGCTACGCTACTGTAAGTTTTTTGAACCTTCCATGCGTACGTCATGCTACGCTACTTTAAGTTCTCTTGAACTTTCCACTCATGCATCATGCTAGGCTACTATAAGTTCTCTTGAACTTTCCATGCATATGTCATGCTACGCTACTGTAAGTTCTCTTGAACTTTCCATTTATGCGTCATGCTACGCTACTGTAAGTACTCTTGAACTTTCCATTCATGCGTCATGCTACGCTACTGTAAGTTCTCTTGAACTTTCCATTTATGCGTCATGCTACGCTACTGTAGGTGCGCTTGAACTTTCCATTCATGCGTCATGCTACGCTACTGTAAGTACTCTTGAACTTTCCATTCATGCGTCATGCTACGCTACTGTAGGTTTTCTTGAACTTTCCATGCATACGTCATGCTACGCTACTGTAAGATCTCTTGAACTTTCCATGCATACGTCATGCTACGCTACTGTAAGTTCTCTTGAACTTTCCACTCATGCCTCATGCTACGCTACTGTAAGTTCTCTTGAACTCTCCATGCATACGTCATGCTACGCTACTGTCAGATCTCTTGAACTTTCCATGCATGCGTCATGCTACTCTACTGTAAGATCTCTTGAACTTTCCATGCATGCGTCATGCTACGCTTGTAGGTTCTCTTGAAGTTTCCACTCATGCGTCATGCTACGCTACTGTAGGTGCGCTTGAACTTTCCATTCGTGCGTCAGAAGATGACGCAAAACATGCCACATCGAATTAGTTTCAGAATCGGCCAAAAAACCAAAAATGCTGGTTTCGTCTAGGCGAAATGCCTGTTTTTGAAAATCTTGAACTTTCCATTCGTGCGTCAAAAGATGACGCAAAACATGTCACGTCGAATTAGTTTCAGAATCGGCAAAAAACCCAAAAATGCTAGTTTCGTCTAGGCGAAATGCCTGTTTTGAAAAACTGCACCAGAATAAGGGGTTAACGGCCTTAAATATCACATCAAACAAATTCCTATTTGCACGAGCACATCATATATGATCCATGACACCCCGTTGATCACAAAAAACCCACGGCCTCCTAGAGGCCGTGCTCCTAGTTAGTAGTTGTAGGCAAAACCCATCAAAACCCTGTTGGTTGATCAGGGTCATGCTGCCCCATCCCTGTGGAATCCTTGCGACACAACCAGAAAGCCTCAGTTTGGCTGCGCCGAACACTGTTTCACTCCTCAAACCGGCACAGTAGCTGGAAACAAATCTTGAGACGCTTGGAGAGTGCTATTTGCCCCCTAAACTGGTAGCAAGATGTTGCAAGATGAGTTGCATTGGCCTCTAAATTGGTTGCAACTCAAGACAGTTAGTGACAGTAGTGGCCCTGGTGGCCCTGAGCCAAATACCTGCTCAGCAGTTTTGTGGGTTTTCAGTATCCAGCTTTCAAAACCCACAAAACCAACACAAAAAAATAGAGAAACCCACTAATTACATGAGCAACACAAAATCTAATCTTGATACACTGATTGCAAGTTTCCTGCTCCCCTGGAAAGTAACCAACCAGTCGACCGGGAAAGAGCAACCAAACAACCATAAAAAGCCCTGTGCGTGGATACTGCCTGTGCTCCAATGCCTCCAAAACCCCACGGGGTTTATCACTCTTCCAGGGAAAATTTTCGCAAAAAGTCAAAAAGCCAAAAAGTTTTCGACTTTTCGAATTTTTCGAATTTTTCGAATTTTTCGAATTGTTCGAATTTTTCGACTTTTCGACTTTTCGACTTTTCGAATTTTTCGATTTTTTCGACTTTTCGAGCCGAAATCTCCTGGCATGTGAACTTTTCGACTTTTCGACTTTTCGACTTTTCGAGGGCAAAAATCGTGATTTTCACGGTGTGACCGATACCAGCCAGAAGAGCACACAGGAAGTTTCAAAGGTAGGACACTATAGGAGAGGTGAGTTGTTGTGATGCATGGATGGCAGAGCGAATCCACTGATGGACCGAAAGGTGGTCGGAGTTGTGTTTTTTGGAGTGGTTGCAATGGCCGCAGTGGTCACCTCACCCACAACTGCTGGATGTAGTGTGGTGTAGTGCAGCTGTAGTTGTAGCTGTAGTGTAGTGGAGTTGTAGCTGTAATGTAGTGTAACTAGTGTAGTGTAGTTGCAGTTGTAGTTGTGGTGTCGTGTGGTGTAACGAGTGCAGTGTAATGTAATGTAGTGTTGTGCTGTAGTGTGGTATAGTGTAGTCTAGTGTAAAGAAGTGTAGTTGTAGTTGTAGCTGTAGTTTTAGTTGGTGTAGTGTAATGTAGTGTAGTGTAGCCTAACTAGTGTACTGTGGCTTAGTATTTTTGCATTTGTAGTTGTAGTTGTAGTTGTAGTGGTAGAGTAGTGTAGTGTAGTGTAGTTGTTGTTGCAGTTGTAGTTGTAGTTGTAGTATCTATCTACCTATCTCCCTATCTACCTATCTACCTATCAACCTATCAACCTATCAATCTATCAATCTATCAATCAATCAATCAATCAACCTATCTATCTCTCTATCTCTCTATCTCTCTATCTCTCTATCTCTCTACCTACCTACCTATCTATCTATCCATCCATCCATCTATCTACCTACCTATCTATCTATCTATCTATCTATGTATCTATCTATCTATCTATGTATCTATCTATCTATTCTATTCTATTCTATTCTATTCTATCCTATCCTATCCTATCCTATCCTATCCTATCCATCTACCTATCTACCTATCTACCTACCTATCTATGTATCTATCTATCTATCTATCTATCTATCTTTCTATCTTACCTTACCTTATCTTATCTTATCCTATCTTATCTTATCTTATCTTATCTATCTATCTCTCTATCTCTCTATCTCTCTATCTCTCTCTATCTATCTCTCTGTCTGTCTATCTCTCTCTCTCTCTCTGCAAGCTTGAAAAGTAGCTATTCCGCGAGACATCGTCAATTGTTGAACTTGACAACATCAGAAGCGCAGAAATTCTGCGAGACTTCCTCAATTTTTGAACTTGACAACGTCAAAAACGAAGCTATTCTGCGAGACGTCCTCAATTTTCGAAGTTGACAACATTAACTAATCGAAGCAATTCTGCGAGACTTCCTTCAAAAATAGAAAGCTGAGTGCAGAGCTGATGGCCTCGTACCAATGCCTTTTGCGATTTTTCCACTCCATCTGTGTAAAGTGCTGCGCCTGCCACGAAAAAGTGATGCCAGTGGCCAGGTCATACGAAGTGTTGCACCTCTCACGCAAAATCATCTTAGCAGACCTGACGAGCTGATGCTCCAAAATGCAACCCTTCTCAGGAGATCAGCGCCCTGACCTCCTAACTTCTCTGATGAACATGTCTCTTGTACTGCGCCTGCCACGGAAAATGCATCTGTGCAGATCTTCTTCAAATGTCCCACGCCTGCCATTGTTTTTGAAAATGCTACAAAACACTCATGTTTTGATCAGGTGCAGAATTCCTTGCGACTGCCCCACAAAACCACATCTGAACCTTCAAAAATGGTCCGAGCATGTGGTGTTTTTAATTTTTTGACTTCCAAATGTGCTTCGCGCCACAACGGCGTGCACTTTTTCGACACGTCAACTTCCAAAAGTGGTCCGATACTGAGGTGTTTTGTACATTTTGACATTGAAATGTGCTTCGCGCCACAACGGCGTGCACTTCAAAAGTGGGCTGAACTATCAGTTTTTTTGCACTTTTGACTTCGAAATGTGCTTCGCGTTAGAACGGCGTGCGCTTTTTCGACATCTCAACTTCCAAAAGTGGTCCGGAGCTGGTGTGTTTTGTACATTTTGACTTCAAAATGTGCTTCGTGCCACAACTGCGTGCACTTTTTCGACATCTCAACTTCCAAAAGTGGTCCGGAGCTGGTGTGTTTTGTACATTTTGTCTTCGAAATGTGCTTCGCGCCACAACGGCGTGCACTTTTTCCGACATCGCAACTTCCAAAAGTGGTCCGAACCTGGTGTGTTTTGTACATTTTGACTTGGAAATGTGCTTTGCGCCACAACAGCGTGCAATGTTTCATCTCTCATCTGGCCAGCTGGCTCCGCACCCGCCGCTTTAGCAAGCCTACTCTTCGACCCTCCGGAGGCTCAAATCATTGGAAAAACACAGTGTTTCGCGACTTTCCTACCTTTTCGCGCACCTGGATCTTCTTTCTTCTGAGACTTTCTCTTTTTTGATCTTCTTTCTTCTTTCTTCTTTCTTCTCTTCTCTTCCCTTCCCTTCCCTTCCCTTCCCTTCCCTTCCCTTCCCTTCCCTTCCCTTCTCTTCTCTTCTCTTCTCTTCTCTTCTCTTCTCTTCTCTTCTCTTCTCTTCTCTTCTCTTCTCTTCTCTTCTCTTCTTCTCTTCTCTTCTCTTCTCTTCTCTGACTCTTCCCACCTCTGCCTTTCCATCTGTCCATATTGTCGGAAGTTTGGCTTCTAAACTTTCTTCGGTAAGTACAAATCTATTTATATATCTATATAGACATATATGTGTTGCAAAAACGATGATGATAATTATACAGTAATATATATATACATACAGATATTTAAATTTATATTAAATGACAATGGTAGCGATATCAAGAAGAATGGTTTATAGCCATGAACATGATGCACAAGACACATGGCAGTCATGATCAATCATAAGAAATGATGATTGTTTAATGGTTTCATGTACCGTGGTGAATAGACATGTTCTGGGGCGAGGAAGATGCGGATTTAACCATCGTAAAATGGAATTTCAACCAAGAAACGTTGGGATGGGGGATGGTGAGAGGTTGGAAAAATAGGGGATTTGAAGTAACCACAAAACCCAAAACAAATGGATGATTTTCGCATCCATAAGCAGATCGTTTCCCGCAACAAAAATGGAAGTGAACAGATTTCGGGTCAGCTTCCAACAAAGATCATTCAGGATTCAAACAGCGCCGTTCGATGGTTGCTGGAGATCTCCCAATGGTTTGGGGGGCCAAACAGGAAATGCCAGATAATAAAGGCGGCCTCTAAAGTTTCCCAAAAAATATGGACTCTTTATTTATATTTATTTCCACAATGTTGAAAAGGAACATCAGTGGTCCATTTTCAGGCCTATCTTGGGAAAACAATTCAGTAATTGCCAGGGAATATGTCATACATCTGGACCCCCTATCTCCTATCAAGGGCCACCAACAATAGCCATCTTGAAGAGCAGAATGATCCAGGGGACCTCACGTTATCCAAGTTCTTGGTCAGGACCAAGCGCGAGAGAGGCTCCTTGCGAGTCCCGCCTCAGAAACGCAAAGTGGCGACCCCGTGACCTTTTGCACGGCACAGGTGCAGCGTTTGATGTAGAACAAAAAACAAACTGAAAAAAACCGGGAACCAAAGGTTTTAAGATGGTTGAAGATGGTTTGATTGGACCAGGATCTTTTTTGGCCTAATAAGTAATCAATAAGGGGGATGTAATTTGTGCTAGTCCATCATGAACAGGCAAGTCCTACCTCTGGCTGAACTTTGGTTTGGTAGGTTATTGGATTAGTTGTGTGCATTAAGTGGAGGAACATACTAGTGCCATCCCTACTCAAAATCGACGTTCTTTTGGAGAGAATCTATAGAAGGGCAGACACCTGACGAAGATGTTGAAAATGGGCATTCCGAAATCCAGTCGTTTCAAAAAGGCGTTGTCAAGAAAATGGGCATGCCTTAAGTTTCTGTACATTTATTTTTAAAGGGGAAAGGATGCTTTAATTAAACCGTAAAGTTGCGTTTTACACTCAATTTTCATAGGAATCCCCTCTAGTTCTGACCCGTCCCCGGATGTTTCAGAAACACGTGGCCGTACCAGGGATGGTCTCCCGCGATTTTGGCGCTGTTTCTGCACACCGTGGATCCTCAGCGAAAAGTGTGCCTTGGCGCATCAATGCTGACGATCGTGTTTGTGTTGGGGTTATATGGGATATGAGCAGTGAAGAACAGCAAGCAGGGAACTCAACTACCAAACCATGGGGTATGATTTGATGATGATGATGATGATGATCATGATCATAATTTGGTGGGTGAATCATTTGAAGAGATAGCGAGAAAGATATGAAAGATGAACAGGTTAAGCAAAACAGGTTACGCCATATTTATTTCGATGTTGATTTTTGCTTTCTATTTATTTGGGATCTTCATGTAAATACTGACACCAAGAAGCCACTAAAGATGATCTTTAAATCCGCTTTTGGTGATCAATGATCCTGCAATCATTGTAACAACAGATCCCGTGTATGTGGGACTGTCCAGAATAGATGACCTCCCTCGAGCAAAGTCCAGTGTGGTGACACATGTATTGAAAATAGGTGTGTCTGAAAAGCGGGTATAGCCGCTACAGTATAGCCTCAAACTTGCCATTGAAACGGTGAAACATATGTTTGATCAGTGGATGTAGAGTCCCCAATTTTGGCCAGGGTCCCTCCGCTTTTTGACCGTATCCCCCCAACGGTAATTTCAATTTCAATCCCAGTTTCATGATTCGGATGATCCCATTGACCTTTTTTGTTCGGATGCGAAGAAACCACTAACCAGTATCATCGCCAACAACCAGTGAACATGCAGATCATACCAACAGAAACTCTTCGATTCCGTCAGCAGAGGAACAGGAGTTACACGTTTGATTAGCACGGTGCTACTGCTCATGGCGAGACCCCAATGACCGAGGCGCTGTTTCCCACTGACCCAAGCCTTTCCAGATCCACCCGGAGCCTCGCGGGAAGATATTTTTCTGCAAGTGATCGATGGACTACAGGAAGAGACCACGGTTCCGCAGAGATTTCCAGATGTCGCTGAATCGTTGGTTCCTTGACTAATCAAGGAACACGTGTTGCATCCTGTTGGTGGAAACCAACAATGTGACCATGTCTCGCTGGAAATACTGCATTGATGTCCCCTTTATCGAAGAGTTTTCCTATAATACGGCAAAAATTCCCAGGCCATGGGGGGATCTGGAGGCCCCACCAGCCGCTTATCACCGCAGGTGATGATGACGTTGAACGAATTCAGCCGGCTCTGCAAAAAAGCCGATGCCACGGGAATCATGGAGAAGCTCCTGCATGCGACCTTGTGTCCCTAGCCTTGCCCATGGGTGTTGAGATTTGACTGTGTGGTTGGGAAGCAGCTGCCTAGGATTAGAGAAGGCGGAAAGGCTAGAGTCTTTTCTTGGCATGTTCCCCACTTCCAACCATTGAATCTGGCTACGTGGCTGCGTCCAACAATGGGGGATCCGGAAATCATGGATTTTTCGCCTGTCACCAGGTTTTGCAAATCCACTGAAGACTGAGTATAGTTGTGATGTCCCCATTGATTGTTGCTTCAATCAGCATGTTTAGATCATTTTAGATATTTTTAGAATATGATTATACTATATTATACTTATTTATATCGGTTTGTTAGTAATTGACCGCCATGTTTGGTGGATAACTTGGGGATCCCCAAGTTCGATATACCCTCCGGCAATCAAACATGGCTGGAAAATCGCTGAACTTTATGGGCACTTGAATGGACACATCAGCTATAAATGGGGGAGATCCATTGCCATGTTTGATTACTAGAGAGTACCCAGAAAAAAGCACCTGCCTACTGGAAACGATCAAAAGCCAGGCATGGCTTGCCACTTCAATCGTCTCAACGTGGTTCGACATCTCTTGGCAGTGCACCAGTGCGACCCCCGATGCTTGGCTCTCTATGTTCAACCAGCTTTTTAAAGGGAATCTTCACTTAGCAAAACTGAATAACCAATGACACAATTGTTTTACTCCCGATTCCCAATGGGTTCCAGGCTATATTCTGGTAATTGTGATGTAGCTAGCCATTTTTGGGGCACCCAAGTTTGACCCACATCCACCTCAATCATCATAGCGTGGAATCAGTTCCCCATTCGCGTTCGCGCGAACACGACGGCCATCTCAGGTTGCAGCTTTATGACTTCCATCGAACGACGGCCGCTGCATATCGCTGCCAGCTGTGGACATGGCGATGTGGCGCAGCTCCTCTTGGATTTCAAAGCAGATCCAATCGAGGCCGCCGCGAAGCTGTGGGCTTCAAAAATGGTGATTTTTCATGGAACAATATAGGGAAAAAATAACAGGGGTATCATGGCATGATGTACTGTAATAATTACTGTCATATCAACCATCCAGTGAATAGAGGGAGCTGTTAGGAGCTATGCTTGTATCCATATTCCCTACTATTACTAAATGATCTAAATGTGAAGCGGGGAGTCAAGGGGCTACTAAGAGTTTCCCAACCACATGACCACATGATGTGATGGTCAAGTTGAGACAGTGCGACTGGGGCAAAGAAGAGTGAAAAGATCCTGAAAGAACACTGCAGGAAGGACCATCTACATTGGAATCTACATCTCATTTGGAAGGTTAGAGGTAGAACATGGGAATCGCTCCCATTTTTCATCATTATTCACCTAAGGGGTCCCCAACTCTGTGTGGAAAATCTTGGGGCTTCGTGCCCAGCTGAGCTTCGTAGCCCCAGGATGATGAAAACCAGGAACGTCCAGTTCTGAAGCTGGCCCGTGCCCTGGAAGGCCCCAATTGGTTGATGGTCATGTCATGACTGCAATCACAGAGATCTCTAAGATGATTGTTGCACTCCGCTTTTCCATACTGGGAATGCTGGGAATGGGCACCTCCACAGCCACAGTCGCTGCCAGGCAAAGCCAATGCCTTGCAAGCGCGCGTCGCCCAGCTAGAAGCAGCGCTCGAAGGCTTTCCTGCAGCCACTTCTCCCAAGCTCTCAACCGGGCCCCCACGGATGGGTCGGAGGTCCGGTGGGGGCCCGGTGCTGCTGGCGCGCTATGACTCCTTGTTGCATGACTCGAGGATGTGAGATTTTTGGAAGAAAAGGTTGGAAAAAAACAGGGAGAAGGGGAGTTGGAAGTAGCCACAGATGGACGATTTCACGAAGAAAAGGTGCGAAAAGTGGATTTATATCGAATATGTAACCCAAAATGGGGATCCAGTCAGGCCGTGTGATGTAATTATCCAATACTGTAATTGCTTGACGAAGTTCGAAGAATCCCTTGCTCCTTGGTGAGAGCGACAAGAGCTCTCCATGTGCAATACTGTGGCCAACATATCTCCCTTTGAGAAATATGACTTTTCAGAGTGTTGACGGACCCCACACCGTTAGATTTTTTGTTTATGCAGAGATTTGGAGTTGCAAGCAGCTGTTGCGGTTGGCGTTTTCTCCAAAGGGCGTTTGCTGGTCTGTGTAGATATACATACAAGCTTGCCTTTGTGCCGCAGCCCTGCTCCTGCACGGTTGACAGAATCGATTGCTGGACTTTGAGGGCAAGCGTTGCCAATGACTTGTGCTAACGCCAGCGAATGACAGGATGTTACAGTGGTTCTTACAGATGTTTCTGGCTCTCGGCAGGTGTTTTCCAAAGAGACACCTCCCATGGCCCCTGCGAAATGCATTTCACAGACTCGTTTGAAAAGAAACATCCAGCTTGCAAAGGAGGAGCTCCTAGGTCACCACCCAACCATGGTGTTTTTTTGAGACTATTTATACTGGTTGGCGGTTTGGAACATTTTTATTTTCCATCATATATGGGATACTCCTTCCCATTGACTTTCATATTTTTCAAGATGGTTAAAACATGTTAAAACCACCAACCAGCAAATACAATTCCTATATTTTGGTGGTTATCATCAATCACTAGCCATTCTTTACCATGGGACTTCAGAAAAAACACCTCAACTGAGGGCGCCCAACCACAGATATGCGCGCGCTTAACGCGCGCTTTCGCGAGGTGAATAACCTGGTCAAGCGCAAGGGCGACGCGGATGAAAAGCTTCGAGGTCTCACGGTGGTCTCCACCGAGATGGCTAAGTGCGCAAGGAAGACGTGTCAGCGGTGAGTCCGGTGATGGGGGTTTTAAGATGGGATCAATAGCCTCTGGTAATGGCTGACATAGCTATGGAAAATTACCATTTTTAATGGGTAAATCAACTATTTCGACTGGGCCATTTTCCATAGCTATTTGTATGTTTACTGGAGGGTATGGGTTCAACTCACCACAAGATGGGATCAATATGGGTTCAACTCACAAAAGATGGGATCAATATGGGTTGATCTCCGCCAGGAAAGGCGATACTGAAAGGATGTTAGAATCTATTGGATATGAGCAACAAAATGTGGGGAAATCACCCAGCAATATACAATAGCAACCCCGTATCGAGTAACCGTGAAAAGCAATAAGTTATTTTTATCTCAATCGAATACGGGAACATCATGCCTCAACCAATATAATACGAACAGAAAACACGGTACGGTTGACTTTTCAGCAACCTATGCAGGGTATCGACATTTTTCAGACCTGGGGGACCACAATTGATTCTATGTTTAGTATTAGCCATTCAATTCTTGGGGTATCCAATGATCCAATTCGTGGCAGGTACAAGGAGATGACCGTCAAGCAGCTGATGGCTCAGCTCGAGAAGACCAACAAGGCTGCGGTTTGAAAATATGGAATGATTCGTACAGGTGGCTTAAGAGAAAATCCACCCAAGACCATGACATGTGTAAACACTCATATGGGCATATGTAAATGTTGGGCATATGTAAACACTCATTCATTATATTATCCAAAATGATGTTTTGGGCATATGTAAACACTCATGGTTTCCTGTACATTTGGGCTTAAAATCGACCCATTGACCTGAAGACACTGGGTGGTTTGGTGTTGACACCAACATATAGCCAGTATAGCTGGATTGTTGTACGCAAAAACAATGGGACATGGCCAATGTTGGGTTCTGGCAGCAGGATATGGGGTGGATATGGAGACTTGGGGAGATGGAAATTGGCGGACCCATACTGCAGATATCTGAGTCAGAGACCTTGCAGTTCTACGGTTGCCCTTCTGGGTTGCCAGAGTCAGCTCATGCATTCGATTTTGGATCTCACCTTCTTCTCAAACATGTGGCAACTATTGGATACACCGTATTTAAACAGTAACCAACCCCTGTAACTTATCACAAAAGCGGTTCATCCATGTTCCAAATCCAAGTCGTCCTTTCAGCGCGGCAGGGGCTTAGCAAGTTTGAGCATGTCAACAAGAAGGCCATCGATCAGTGGACGCCTCAGGGCCTGATTTTTCCTGGGGATACAGGGAGATCTCTAGTGAACATACGTTGTGCGCATATCAACACAATACTGCAAAAGTATAGACATGATATAGAACACATATAGATACACACACACATACACACACTGCAAGTTGGGATGAAATGCTTACATGACCAGCAGATGGACTGTGGGGGCTCCATGGGGGCACCAAATGCCAGATGCTGTCGCACCAACTAGTTGCAACGGTGAAGTTGGGCAAGGGAATTTCCTGTGATTTTGGTAGACTGCTGAGTGTTTCCAACAGTGAACATATATTGAACATATATTAAACATATATTGGCCATATAATGACCATAGAGTGAACATATAGTGAACATGTTAGAATAACTTGTACACTTTCCCAACCTTAAAAGGCCATAACATGTCTAAATCGACCAAGTCTTAGACGGAACGGATGCAGGACATACCGACCCAGTTCCGAAGGAACTGGCCCCGAGGTACACGACGTTTACCGATCAGCTGCAAGAGCCTGGAGCCTTAGAGCCTCAAACGGCTGCGGAGTGCGATTGAAAATTGCCATGGAAATAGTTGATGTACCCAAGATACCTAGAAAAAATATATCACCAATGGTGATTGTTCATAGTTATGTTAGAAAAAACCAGAGGGTTTTTGAAAAGTGGAGAGGTTGCGAAATCCTGCATTACTTGAGGTCGGTGGTTTATCCCATTATCTTGGACCGGTTTCAACCATCCTTTTCGTGGTGCAAGATTGGTTCTGTTATGGAAAACCCATGGGGTTTTGCTCTACAGGCCCGATTTGGACGTTTTATACCAGATTTTCGCTGGAAACTAACGACTCCAATTCTGGGAGAAGCCGCACACGGAGCCACGAATAAAAAAAGGGGTATGACACTACCTGGATTGGCTGAATGATAATTTGTTCTATTTGATTATTATAATGGATCATAATGGTGGATATAATAATTGCATGCTGAAGGTTCTGTTTGTTTGATTTTCCCCTGGATTCTTCTACTACGGTGGCAATCCTGATGGGAAAACCCCTCATTGGGATAAGTTAATGATAAGTATGTCACTTCACCGATGGCAGAAAACAACTCTTAAATAGTTCAAAGTCCCAGAAAATCAGATAAATCAGCTTCGATGAACCAGGGAAGCCAAGGTAGCATTCATTTACTAACCGGTGACAACTAAAAAAAAAAACCAGGGGACATGCCCCGGAGGCTTCAAGCCAAGAAGACCATCATCGACGAGTCAAAGGAAGCTGTGGAAAGGCCAGTGACCGCATCCAGGGAAAATGTGGCGGTTCTGTCAGCTGAAGGAAATGATATGGAAATGGGAAGAGAAATCAGATGATTGCAAGCGCTATTGGTAGGTCCAGTCTGGTTACCGTTTTATCCCACTGAGTCGTGACAGGTTCATCGCTTCTGTGGATGCACAGAAGGTGCATCCGGGGGGCTGCTGGGATGGGGTCACTTGGGTGTCGCAGCAAGTCACAGCTATGAACCCCCAAATGGATGGTCAAATAGTGTAGAATACTAACATGACCAAATGCAATACAACCATATACAAACTTACTCAGCTTACTAAACATGAACATGACCACATTTGAAATTTCGATTGGTAGCCAGTTCTGATCCATCGTTTAGGAACTTGGCATGCATCCTGCTGTGCATAAGCAGTGGCCAACCCCACTAAAATATTCCCCGAATGATGGTGTTTGTTTGTTTTTGTTTGTTTTCCACTTTCATTTTTGGGAGATTCATACATACAACCATACATATACATATATACTGTCATTGTGTATATATATATATATGTATTGTATATATATATATTATAGATATATACACACATATGATATGTATAACTGTATAACTGAGTACGGCTGGGTAAGTTTCACATCAATCAACTTTCTCAATGGGTCAGGATGAGACACTGAAGCAGACCCTGAACCGAGTGGTGCTTCACTTAGTTTCTCGAGGGAAAGATAGCATCAGCTTGGCGAATTTCAAGGAAACTCGATACAGGAAAGCGTGGTTTGAGCAGATACAAGGCATTTTTCCGAACAAGTCCCTTCAACCACCTTGTGGATAGCAGAGACAAATTCTCCAAAAGGGCCGGAATGGAGGATCACACAGACTACAGTGAATACAGTGACTATAAATTATACTGGTGACATACCAATCCCATACCCGTATCATGTCAACCACACCCTGATTTTTGGGGTATGGAGGTGCTCCACCGGGTCTCATGGCTCTCATGGTCGATGCTGTCCCTCGAACACAATGTAGTCATGACCAAGTTCAGAAATACTCCATCACAAGTCACAAGACTATATATATATATAGATAGATCTTCCCTCCTGATTTAATGATCTTCCATGTTTCCATTTGTAAAATGCAATATATAGGTGGCTGCTTTCCTATGATTCTCAGCAAAACAGTGGATGTTCCAAGGATGCGCACTTTCGGGACGTCTTCGCTCACCTGGTGGTGGCCCCGGTTGTGACCTACACGGATCTGCGGTCCACTTGTGTGGTACGTACCGTAGCCCAGGTCTTTATTACTGGGGTATACAGTACTGGTATCTGGTATCCACAATTTCCATATATATATATACATATATTATATATATATATACATATATATATATACATATATTATATATATACATATATTATATATATAAATATATATTATATATATACATATATATTATATATATACATATATATTATATATATACATATATATATATATTCATCCAACATATCTTGGTGGAAGCCACCCAACATGAACCGCAAACGTATGGTTTGATGTGTTATGGTCTCCCTTAAGCAGCACTTGCCCTCCATGTTTTCAGCCGAGGTCCCTGGTGGTGTGGGAAAGCTGCAAATGTTAAACACCAACGACCAGGTGGATGAGGCCATCCCCAGGATGGAAGCGAAACGCGGCGTCAGTGAAAGGAAGGTGGCTTTTTGGGAGAAAAGATGACAACATCTGGGAAAAAATATGGGAAAACTATGGGAAAAAGGCATAAAAAGTGTCAAAGAAGATAGGACCTGTGTGCTGAGCATTTGCTGAGCCAGGATGGAGTCCGAAATGTGGAGGACGTTTCAACATGAAACCTGAGGGTCTTCTCATGTCCATGGGAAGTAACAGAGAAATGGTCCTCAAAAAGAGGCTTTACTAAGCAGTGTAACCAGAGGCCGCCCTCAACCAGCGTGACAGTGCAACCACGGCTGGATGAAATCTAAAATGGGTTTGAGATGGTTTGAGTGTTGTTCCAAGAATTGTTCTTTTTTGCAAAGTCACTTTTTTCGGGCCTCCCTTTCACAGCCACATCGACGATGGCTGAATAATCGGATGAATGCAATCTTCAAGCGGCAACTCAGCACAACTCGAATGATTCGAATGGAGTAACCGTAGAACAAAATTGCATCGGGGGGTGGAGCTTTTTCTCGGAGTACACATATGCTTTGGGATCTTTGGGATAGGTTGAAACATTACTCTCCTAGATCTATACTATATAATTCAAATCCAATCATTCCAATCAAACGAACTTTCCAACCATTTCTGATAGACTATGATACCATTTAAGTCCGCAACGGACTTGTGATGGCCTGATGAAACATGATAAAACCATGAAACTTTCACCCTGGGATAGGTTGAATAAATGGATTGAACCGTTACTACTTAGATCTGATTAGACATGTTTAAAAGAAACACATCACAATTAAGCCATCAATGCCATCAATGCCATGGTCCCTTTATGACCAGCCCTGGATGTTTTTGTTCCAGGACGAGGACGCGACCCGCGGGGTGCGCATTGAGGTCTCCTTCACTGGTTGGAGGGCCTACAGGATGTGAGCTGTGGAGGGAAGGAAAAAGATGGGTCTGAGAACGTAATTAGGATGCAGGATTTGATTGATAGATAATAGCTGGTTAATGGAAGGTTATTCCAGTCATATGGTAATAGGTTTTGACCCATAATCATATTACTTCAACCAAACTGAAATCCAACAATGAAGCGATGCCGCTGATGGAGCTGATGGAATTGAGGCCAGCAGACCTCCTTCCTCACCATGAACCAACTGTCTGGAGGGCAGAAGACAGTTGTAGCCGCTGGGATCGGTGATGGGCGACCCGGAGGCGACCTGGACCAGGACATGACATAGGAATTCCCATGGAATTCCCATGGAATTCCTATGGAATTCCTATGGCTTCCTGGATTTATGCTCCAATCAAGCCCAATGGCAGTTTGAATGAAGAACATCATGATAAAGATGCAATTTGGGGTACCCGATTTTTAGACATACCCTGAAAAGAATGGAATTTCACATGAGTTCACCAAGAACCAAATTATTCAACGGCCAAGGTCATGTAAAGAACAGCAAGGGATGCCTCCAGAAGACCAGTCAAAACTGGGGCGAAGGTTGTCAGATTGGTCAGATGATGTTAGATGTATTTTTAGGAATATAGTCGGTTGTAGGCGGGAAAGCGATCCTTGGTTTGGGCCTGAGATGCCATGCTCAGACGAATAAGAATATAGTTCAGAAATGTTCAGAATGAACGTCATTTCCGGTTGAGTTCGTGACACTTCTCCAGCTTGGACCATTGTTGCAAGACTCCGAGGACTTGGAGCATGAGATATATGGGATATACGGGAACTGACCCTGCCCAAAACATCTACGATTCTCGGGGCAGAGCTGGTACCCTCTGGTAATGACTAACATAGCTATTGAAAATGGCCCATTTCTAGATGGTTTACCTAAAAATGGGGATTTTCCATAGCTATGTTAAATTACCAGAGGGTACCCACTGAACCCTGGCATTTTTGTCCCAACCACCACCAGCACCCATCTGAGGCCATTTCTTTGATCTTCGCCATCCAACGTCTCGAGCCGGTGCAGAGGGGGTGACCTTTCAATTGGGGTTCAAATCTAGCAACTTGTACTAGCCATGGATGGTTAGTCCATGTCAATCCGAGTTTCATGATCAATCCAGCTTTGGCATTTGGGGCCCCCAGATTTATTGCTCATGTTCCTACAACATTCTCAATTTGATGGTGAAATCTCCTTGTTGTTGGTTACTCTCTTGTAATTTCACTTTGCGTGCTGCGTGCTCGAAAACCTCCCAGCCATGTAGAGGGGTTACCTATCAGAAACATGTGATTTCCGTATTTCCAGCCAGCATGTTAGATTGCCAGAGGGGATACATCAAGATACTTTACTTCTCTTGAGACACCCCATTTCATACAAGGGTGTTTTGCTGATGTCGAAGTTCAAGCCGGTCTAAACCCAATCTTCGGTGCGTTAGCCCAACTTCTTCTGGAAGTTAATTCCAATCTTGGCTACTACAAGTTATATCATGTTATATCCCAAATGTTGACAGTGATTCATCGTGTTTGCCGATGGTTTAATCTCCCAAAAATGGTCCACAAAAACAGAGGACTTTCCCAGCGCTTAGCTCCGAGACCTCGGGGATTTCCCAGCGATGCCATCGCTGCAGGCACCCTTTTATCTCTTCGATGAGATCGATGCGGCACTGGATGCCCAGTACCGCACCGCAGTGGCCAGGTGGGGCGGAGGTTTTCCAATGTTAGTTACATGGGGATGGGTCAAAACCCTAGTACCTAGTGAACCCCAAGTCATAGCTGGGATTTATGGATGTGAATAACCCACTAAAAATGTATCTATAGGTATTGACCCATACCCACATATTGGGAAAATGGTGGAAAACATCTAGATATCTTCAATGGACTGGCTTCAGGGAAAGAAATTCTCACCCTTTTGATTGGAACATCCGCGTGGTTTCCAGTTTCGATGTTCCCCTTCGATCGAAATTTCGCCAGGCTCATTGCACGAGACGCCAAAAATGCTCAGATGGTGTGGTGCCCCATCGACTTCTCTCTGACATCTTCACTGTTTTTTGCAGGGGTTAACAATGGCTAGCACCTTGCCGCAAGCCTCTCCCGTTCTGACGATTTGGGGATGTCCCATGATGTTCCAACGTGAGTCGGAGCCCCCAAAAAACACCGAGGTCCTCACTACCTTTCGGCCCGAAATCATTGAGACGGCCGACCGCTTTTACCGTGTGTGCGCCGCAACGCGGACTGCTGACATCTGGGAGGGCAAGGAGATTTCCGATGATTTCCATTGATTTCCCAAGGATTTTGAGATCTTTGCATCGTTGATACTCTCCAGATCTCTCCAGTGTGACGGAGCGATTCGGTGAGCCAAGGAGCGACTTTCTTAATCATTCCTTTGCCCTATCTTGCTTCGTGGCTGAAGCGGGGGAATGGGCTCAGCTATGGCGCGCCCCGGAAAGGTACCAAAAGAACCGCGTGAGCCGCATCGAATGTGTCAGAGGACTCAGATTGCAAGCTTTCCGGGCATGGTGCGCTCTGTGATCTGTTCTGGGCATGAGAAGCTCAAATTTGACCTGACCAGAAACGATGGCTTACAATGGTTCACATTGAACACATTTGAAAATCATCAAAGAAACGGAGTCGAGTTTTTGTCTCGCGTGATGTTTCTTTCAGCCATGGCTGCCATGGCTCAACACATCTCATAACAATGGATAACAATGGTACAATTGATGCTGAGAACCCATTAGTAACCAGATATAACCAGATATAACCAGTGCAAACTGTGAGTCCAGGGACTAACCAGTACAGCTTTCAGCCTGTGCATCTCGGTTAGTGGTCGTAGTTAATGCGTCGGTGAGCAAGTGAACAGCCTTAATTTGACAAACTGTCGTATGGTGAAAATCCCCCAACCTGGCGATATGGTGAAAATTCCATGATATTCCTCATACTTCTTGTAATTTCAATTAATATTAGATATTAGATAATATTAGATATTAGATATTAGATATTCCAATTTCATGTAATTTCTACAGTTTGACTAGTTGATGATTAGATCAAGGGTTGTCATTGACCATGATGCCTAAGTGCAGGGATGATCGGACCAGGTGCCTCGTGCTGAAGCCAAGCGAGTGATCGAGGAGGGGCTTCCAGTCGTGGGAAGGGAACTGTCGGACATCCGACAAGAATTTGAGATGTTGTTCAGTGTGCCTAACTTCCAAGGTCCAGCCTTGTTTTCTGCAAGCCAGCATGCGTACTGCGACCAAATGTGCAAAACTTGGTCGAAGTTCTGGAAGTATGGCTCTTGTTGTGCTTCCTGCCCTTTGTGTTTGGAAGCAACAGTGGCGTCCCTGAAGTTGCGTAAAAACCAATGGCATGGAATTTTGATCGAACTTGAAGATTGTGGATCCGCAGGGTGCGAACACAGCAGTGAGACACCAGTTGTGGATGTACCATTCTTACTCCGACACTTGCGCGATAGGATTTCAAGATGTTTCAAGCAAACACAATTACTGCATGTATTCGGGTTGGTATGGATAAATGTTTCCATTCAATTTCCATCATCAGAGTCCTCAAGACGACACGCATCTTCCCCAAAAACAGACAGTGCACCGCATGAGCCGCACTTCTTTTCCCCTCCGTTCTTGATTTCAGCCGCCACCATGTTGTTTGACCCTCTCCCAGCCCCATGAGTTGTCACAAAAAAGGTGACCCATATTATACATACCCCGACATCCACAGTTTCATCATCAATGAGTGTGGTAGGGATTGTGAATTGAAATCCACTGTTATTGCTAATTTAGTATAGTAATACACAGTATTAGCAATTCACTATCCATATCTATCTTCATCCACAGTTTCATCATTTTTCCCCTACAATCGGAATCTTTGCGGTAGATCCATGGTGAACCGCCACCCGTGCCAGGAGCAAACGCGCCGTGAACAGCTCGAAACGTAGCTCCTGAATTTCACTCATGAGGGCTGCGGGGGTGGCAGACCTGGGATGGCGCCTGGCACGGGTGAAAATGGACGCTGAGGCAGCTGGGACACTCAACCATCAACCATCAAAAACTTGTTCTTTTTTGGGGGGAGACTAAGTTTCGAGGAAATCTCATACTGACAGCAGGTCGAATTAGTATTTCCTGTTGCAAACTTATGTTGTGAATGGCCCATGGATGCTCCCATGATTTTAGTGAATGGTCATGGCTTCGTTTGCCGTTTGGCTGAAGGATGCTGAAGGGGCCCTTTTGGGCGGAGGTCGATGGACGTGTTTCGTTGAACCTCCAGTGATGGGAAAGAAGAGAAAGAAGAGCTCCAGCTCATCCTCTGAGGTGTGGTGCAGTGCGGTTGAGAACGTTTCAAGTTTTGATTCTTGAACTGATAGCATTGATAGTATGATAATGTATGATAATGTATGATATATCATGACTTTTTGAGATTTTAACATATGAATCTGACCTATAAGGTGACGGCCCAAACAAGTATGACGTCCCCTCAGTCCCCTCCCAACCAAAATCGGGCTGACCTGAAGATCCTGACGCTTTTTCCAGCGGTCGCCAGTCGGAAGCCTCGGAAGCCTCCGAGAAGAAGCAGAAGAAGGCGGCGCCCAAGCCCAAGGCGGCGGGAGGTGCCCCAGCTGCTGGGCGGCTGGTGATTGGCGAATTTGGAAGTGAACCCCTGGGGGTGATCCCTTCCCCAAATATGAAGAAACATGAAAAACAATCATAGTCCTGTATAGAAACCTTGGTTTGGGATCTATTCAATAGTTGCGAGACCCACGCGGGGTTCATTCATATTATATGACATTATATGACATTACATGACTTATCCCCATTTCAGGATGGTCGAACCATGTTTAAGCCCCCCATTTTTGCTGGTTATAACATGCTGAGACCCTTCTCAATATGCCAATATATTGGGAAATCTTGGGGATATGGGGTCCAGGTCCTCGCTTCAATGCCTTCGCAGACTCAGATGATGAAGGAGGTTCGGAAACCAGACCAGCTGAAGATTTTGGGTTCTCACCTATGGGTGCGTTAAAAACATGGGGTATACCGTAGTATACCTGAAATTGCCCTTGTAATGAAGAACATGCTGATTAACCGGGTATCCTATTTTTGGACAAACACATAATTAATTATATCATATATAAATTCTATATGATTATCCTCGAAAAACAAACGCAACTTTTCGCCGGACTTTTGGTGATCCACTGACAGATTTTCAATAATTCGTTAACAAGCTAGATTGTTGGTGAGACCCCAATTTGTGTGGCTTCGTTCCCGACGTTTGGGGTTTCATATGGTTTCATTCTAGTTTTTTTGGAGGACCCCTACACTTTTGGTCTGACGTCCCGGTGCCGAAATCGCTAGGGTGATGGGTCAATAGTCAATACCTATGGGACCATCGTGGGGATGGACATCCATTGACCAGATATCTTGGTGTTTAAAAGGATATCAGGATACGGACAGGGTTTGGACGCATACAGATATTTGATGATTAAATTCTACTGACTCCTCATATCTCCTCATGCTGATCATATTTGGTGCATGTTCTTGGTGAAATCTCCAGCATTTGTGGTGAAATACCTTATACTTGTTGAGTCAAATCCCTCAATTTGACGAGTTACACCTTTTTTTTCCTGGTCAACTCCAATTTGTCCACGGATTTTCACGGATTTTCACGGATTCTCATGGTGAATGTCCCAGTTTTCTGAAACCCTTTGCGTCGCCGTTGCGCGTCGCCGAGGCGCCGGGGCCTCCGCGGCGCCGGACGGCGTGACGTCCAAGGCGGGGCTCAGCACGGCCACGGCGGCGGATGCCTTCACCAAGACGCTGTGGTCGCGGTTCCAGCGGAGGGGTGTGTGTGGTTTATTAGGGATGGTTTCCTTAACCCATTCATGCTGATTTTGGGGATGGTTACCGGATGGTTTACTATTGGGTTTACCAGTTTACCACATTATGGTATAACTATAACTGGTTGCTGGTGAATGGAACATGACTTGTATGACTTTCCATTCAGTTGGGGATTTCATCATCCCAACTGACTTTCATATTTTTCAGAGGGGCTGACACCACCAACCAGTAGTGGTTTGTACAATGGCGATTTAATGGTGATGGTGATTTTTCATGGTGATTGGGATCATTTTCAATTGGGTATCCCATTAGTGGTTTATCAATAGACTAGGTTTATGTCTAATCAATGGTTGATTTAATGAGATTATTCACACTGGGTATCATTTATCCCATTTATTATTGGTGATATGATATAATGTTCCCATTTAATAGTGGTATTATCATGATCATGGGATGATTTTCAGTGAGGGATAGATTTCCAATTGGGTATATAATAAACTATGGGGTGATATCCCAACTTGTGATTGATGGTGGTTATAACTCTGGTTTGTATTGTCCTATTATGATACAAAGGCGATTTAATGATAATGACGTATTATTAACCACTACATAATATTAAGCATACTAATTGGGTTTATGATAACACATAACATTAATATTGGAATAGTACCCTTCCCTATCTGCAGGCTGGTTGGGTAGGGGCTTTCAAAAGAAGCATCTGCAGGTGTTCACACTTTCTTTATTGTCCCATTGTGATGATACAGGGGTGTTTTTTTTAAAACCAAAAAATCATACCCACTCCGGTACAGGGTGTAGACCCTGGCAGATAGGGGTTGGAAGATTAGTTTCCACTAAAAATTGGTCATTTTCAGGGTCTATGTTTATTTACCATAGGGTAGTGCTTGCCTTCTACATCTGGGGATATATCTGGTCGGGGAGAATTGGATGAATGCTTCGCAGGATGATGAGATGATAGTGGAATGATACGGCTGGATACCCTCCGTCATCAAACATGGCTGGGAACTCACGGAGCTAAATTTTGTGGGAACTCGTTGGCTGTACCCGCTGGCAACTCAACGGTTTGCTACGGAAAATGATGATTTTCAACGGTAAACCATCTATAGTCTGACTAGGCAAATTGTCCATAGCTATGTGAAATGACTAGAGGGTAATCCTCATATTATTATTATTATCGATAACGGATATAATGGGACAATGCATGGATATTAATGGGAATGTTTAAGCGATGGGCATTGTATTTGGGGGTTGATGGATATGAATAATCTATGGGTAATGGGATGGTAATGGCATCTACTGGGTAAAGGATATAGGTGTGATGGGTTTTTGTTAAGGTTTTTTGATGTTTTTTTTGTTGTTTTTTTTGTTTTTTAAGGGGTTTCAATTGGATATATATATAATTATATATACATATGTATATATGTATATATACATATATAGATATTAATGGGATATAATTTGATATAATGGACATTAATGCATATGAATGGGGATCTTTCAAAGATGGGTGTGCGCATCGAATCGCTGCGGCACCTGTTTGGACCCACATATGCAGAGAATCAACCAGTATTACAATGTATAAATATGGAACATCATTATATAATATTAGAATACACAGATATGTAGATAATACTATATTCATATGATATGATATTATGTATATATATATATTATTTTGCAGTGTCCTGGAATTATGGCGTGATATGACTTGCACCCTCTTGATGTAAAAAAGATTAGGGGCAGGGCTGACTCCGGGCGAACCCGGCACCGGCAGAGCTTTGGAGCCTTTATTTAACACTCAGCTGCCTCGTTGCCTCAGGAAGCAGTGGGAGGTTCCTTGTTTGCAGATATGGTGATGGGTCAACACCTATGAAATACCAATACATAATACCGGATCTTTGGGAATATCAATGGGAAGATTATGGGATATATACCCTCTGGTTATTTAACATAGCCATGGAAAATGGCCCATTTATAGATGGTTTATCTATTAAAAATGGTGATTTTCCATGATTTTCCATGGCTATGTTAAATAACCAGATGGTAACCAATTATAACCAACTTGATCTTGAGGGTGATGAACATCCTGGAAAAACCCAGCTATTTTCAAGTGAGAAGGGTACCAGAGTTTTGATTCATAGCCATAAGGAAAGAGACACAAGAAACACACAAAGACCAGGGTCATCTATCTAAGTCGAATTTTGAGCCTGCTTCTAAGTGGGATCCATGGTGCACAGCGTGCCTTGAAATGTTAAAGCACTAGCAAAGTTGAGAAAATTGGATTGCAACATCTGCAGCACAGGCACCTTCTGAACTGAAAGGGCTCGGTGGGGGCTGCAGATGGGAAACTTTGCGAGGTGGTGCAGAGACTGAAGATCAATTACCAGGACCAAGTTGAGCCTTGCCTGGGAATAGTCCTCTTGGCTGTTGGACATATGGTTGGAGCATGGGTCTGTCTGAAAATTCGGAACACGCCAACTCAGCTAGTTGATCATCAGCTTTCCTATTGGATTGAAATTTATGGGGTTAACTCTCGAATTTCGCACACCACCACATGGTCAAATTTGGAAACACAGATGGGGATATCACAAGCCATCACAAGCCGCAAGCCGAATCAATCAGAATGTCACCAAGCTGGGTTGACATGTACTGAGCTGCCGAGGATAAGAAAAACAAGAAAGAGGAGAAACTGAGGTGCGGAGTGTGGGAGATGTATCCTTCAATAAAAAAAGGTAGATGTGAGTTACCATCAAAACATCGAAGCTGATAATGGACCGTATCAATTTTCCTAGGAAAATCAATGAAACAAACGCTGGGGTGTCCAGTGCAGGGTCAGTAAATAACCCTTCACTCACGTCCACAGGAGGAAGCTTGAGAAGAAGCACCGAGAAAAGGATGCCGCCAGGGGCAAACTCAAGAAATGGCTTTGGGTCAAACTGAATCCAAGGCTACAGCGAAACATACCAGTACCACCCATTTGGCTTTGGTTTCTGGGATGAAGCAACGCAACACTCCCAAGCGATGCTTTCTTACGTTGGTTGCAGCTAGAGCTGTTTTTTTATTTTCCAGTATTTTGACTCGACATGATATCAGCAGTATGAAATTTACCATCCAGTCAGGGGATTTCCCAGGAGCTCAAGAAAGCCAAAGAATTGGCGGAGGAAGAAGAGGTGCTTGGGCACCAATCAGTGATCTACACAGCAACCAATGAAGCAAACAAGACGGCATTTCTGCTTAAGAAGGTGGAAGGATTTGTGACTAAACGGTGCATAGCCAGTTCTTCATGTTTTGTTTTCCACTTGCCGTTTCCTCTGCAGGACTTTTGAGCCCTTCAACCTTAGATTTTGACTGGTTTTGGTTGTTTGGGACAATCACATGAAAAGCTGGGATAAGGCCATATTTCACCAAGTAGTACCGGAAAACCAACGGGGATATCGATGAAGCAACAGGCCCGAAGGGTGTCCAAAAGTATGTCTTTTGTTTCCCCAAGAAATCTACTGATTAACATCATACTCCCTATTAGTGACAATTCCAGGGTATGCCCAATTTTAAGACAAACTCTGATCAAACGCCCCATGTATGACATGTGTATAATATATATATATACATACATACCTTATGATTATGTACGATATATATATAGATTATACCCATATGATATCATATAATCCCATATACAAATCCAACTAGTTTTCTCTACGTATCTTAAACCATGGAAGACAAGTACATACCCATATACATATCATATATGCAAACGTTTATATATTGTCATTATCATTTGCAAAAAGAGTATACTCTGATAAACTCAATGCCATAAACTTGTACACTATTTTGGGAGGATATGGAGTACGGTTTCTGGGTTTGGGTTTATTATAAAACAATCATTATCATTATCACACCAAATATATTACAATGAGAAATATGTTATAGATCTATGTTTTCTATGACAGGTTCTTCTTACTATCTCACTCTAACAATACTCCATCATGATGGATCACGATAAGTTATCGTAGATGCTTATTATTACCTATTGTTATTATTATCTATAATGATTTATATTATATAAACAAGGAAATCATCTAGATAATAGTACATATATAATATCCATAAACCATATAATATCTATTATGTCTGATCCATACTATGGCAATATTGTCTTGATCCTTATCATATTCCACTTCTGGTCATTATAATGCTTATACAATAAATAAATAAGTAGATAAATAAATTTATAAACACATAATAAATAAATATATATATATATATATTCATAATATGATTAAGTGATCAGGGTCATATCTATGTCTATAATCATGTTATACTGATGATCCATTCTTACACTATAAGATAACGACTATTACATATATAATACTAGTAAAGAAAACACATATATGCATCATAACGCATCATATAGAATATATGTTCCATAATATGCTTATATTATTAAGAATAGGGATCTTATATTGCTATGGTTGTATAACTAACATGGGTATGGCTCAATACCTATTAATACCATTTTTAGGAGAATGACCATCCATTTACCAGCTATTTTGATGTTCACCAGGGGTACAAGGTTTTGACACACTGCCAAATTACTATGGTTGTATAACTAACATGAGTTATGTAACATATTGCTGTGGCTTCACCCACGGATCAAACTCCGTTCGGCGTTTTCTGCCGCCTCGAGGCCGCGGCCGAGGCGGCCGCCTCGGAAAAGGCGATGATGCTGGAGCAGTGCCTTGGAAACTCGTGCAGTTTCGAGAGATGGCTGGGGATGTTTACTGAGGTAAGATATCGAACATGAATAATGAATACTATATAAATCATGAATGTATATTGTATATGCACCTGAATAATGCGTGTATAAATTAGTGTATAATATATATATATCTATTGTAAGATGATGTAAGATGTATTTAATGCATGATCAATGCAAAATGTATTGTTTTTACTGTATGATGTATGCTATATGTGTGTGTAGGTTTATAACTCAGAACTAACATGAACTAACAATATGATAGTTGGGTTAAGATGGCCAAGTGGGTATGTCATGGGAGAATGTCATGGGACAATGGCCATGTGGCTCATACATCCAACCACTTCATGGTCGTCAACCATACTGGGGATACGGTGGGGATATCATGTGACATTGCTATGGAAAGTCACCATCTTTCATAGGTAAAACAACTATAAATGGGCAATTTTCAATAGCTGTGTTAAATTACCAGAGGGTATCGGCAACAGCATTATTTTTAGGTGTGTCTGGAAATGGGGGAGCAAAAGCGCCGCAAGTTATGCTCAGTTTAGACCGAAGGAGATTTGGACGATTCGCCAAGGGATGGAATGGGCCACTCTATTTTCAGACCCGGAGACGGCCAGTTCGGTGTGAAAAATCAAGATGATCATTATTTACCTCAGTGAAATGGCCTTACATTGGAGGGTAAATCCCCCGTTTCTGGAAAACAGCTTGTTTTCTGGGACATTTTATCGTACAACATTAGAATTTCACCATCACTCGATTTTGACTTGCGAGATAGTCAGCAGGAATGTATGTATGTGTATTGGTTGTTCTACCCAGGGCCAGAACCATTGCCGTTTCAAGCTACCATGAAATAGGGAGAGAACCAAAATAGCAAACTAGTCGGGAGTCTTTGGGATTTTACCACCAATCAAACATGATAAACATAGGGATTTAAGAGCCAAAGAAGATGAACCAACAAGAATGGCCGGTTAAAGCAAAAAAACATTGCCGGTTAAAGCAAAAACACATCGGAATGTAGGGGTTTCACCTCCACTAAGTGGCAAAACCCCTGTTTGATGGATGTTTTCGCTGAAGGAAACAGGGGGTTGACCCATCAACTTGACGTTATTTAGCTGGCGAAGTGATGAGTATGGGCGAACATTAACCAAAATTACATGGTTGCAGTTCCTCAAAATATTCGCAAATTTGCAGGTCTCCATTGTGTTTTGCACAACAGTGTTTTGAACCAGACGCCAGACTGGCCACACCAGACGTTGCCTGGCGCCCAAGACTCGGTCAAAAACTCCCTCGGTACCCGAAGAACTGAGGCAAACCAAAGAACAGAAGGAGAAGCAGCGCTTGGAGCAGGAGAAGGTGATGCCGGTGATGCCGGTGATGCCGGTGATGCCGGTGATGCCGGTGATGCCGGTGATGCCGGTGATGCCTCGACGGATCACCTGGGGAGGAAAAAAATGAAGTGGGGCACATTCTCAAGCGTTAAACATGGCATGATTCATGGATGTTGATGATCATTGATTATCCAATCATCATCTTTTACGTTTTTTTTTGGTTCTATCATCAGTTTTGATGCTTAAGATCAAATTTTATGCAGCTTTTCCCACGGCTATTGACTCGGATGGCACATCCAATCGGTATAGTCAGGGGGAATCTGACACTGTTGGATGGTTCGTATCTCCAGGCGGCGATGCAGAGGAAGCTTGGGCCAAAAGGGCCCAGCATGAAAAACAACAAGGCGGGGAGAACTCTGGGATGAGCGAAGGGATCAAAGAGCCGATGTTGGGTCAAGATGAGTTAGTCTTTCTTTCCAGATGACAAAGAACACAGCCCTTGGGACCGGATCCAAATTCAAGACCCCGAGAAGGATAGCTGAATAGCTGATGCATTTTTAGTGGTGAGCCATCCCATTCTTGAAGTGCCTGAGTGTGCGAGAGATTGGTGATTTCTTTTTGCCAAATCAGGGCAGGGTCCCATTTGGGGATTTTAAACACTAATTATATACTTTGAAATACTTTGAAACTGGAGAATCTGGAGATGGTTCCACCACATTCCACCACTGGTCGTACTGGGAGTTGGGCGATGTTCTACTGGGAAAGCCATAGCTGCCATCGTCATCACCTCACCATCCCCTTGGCGTTTCTAAAACCGACCCATGGGACCCTTGGCGAACTCGGAACTTGGCCAACTTGCCAGGCTCCGGGACAGGTGCTGTACAGTTCAGATTTGCAGATCGGTGAGTCTCATGGGGGTGGCGCTGGAGCCAATGTTTGAGGCCCGGCATCAGCCATTCGTGGCTTCTCCAAAACATAGAGGTGCCAGGTACCACAAATATCCACGAATGAGATTCATTGTTAGAGCCATAAACAACACAAACAACATCAAACAACGACTTTGTATACTTTTAAGTGATTTGGTGGATTCAAAGTCTTCTATATCAAGACCACCATTTTGATCAGCATCCCTACAGGCAAAGTTGCTGAGTCATCCCCTGTCAGGAGATCTCCGTGGATTGGCGTGCGGCCATTCGCTCAAAGACCTGACTCTGCTGAAACATGCGTCACGACGCTGCGACGCTCCGCTCCAGGCTGTTTGGCTGTTTGGCTGGCTGGAATTCTTGGTTCTTCATGAAAAGTTCCGAAGCGCGGAATTTCCCATCGATCCCCATTCAGCGGACCTGTTCTGGACTTGCCCTTTCTCTTGACTACATGTACGATATTATAAGATATTATATATAAATATCTACACCCAACGCTGGTTAAGGCAGCGAGCAGAATTCTTGGGTTCTATTCTAATCCTTTGCCGTCCGTCATCAAATATCCAGAAACACCTAAGTGTGCACAAGTATTGACAGATGCCCACTTATAGGCCTGAAAGACATTCAAAACACCAACTGGACAGAATATGATACAATAGTTATTTTTGGATCCTGGGACGCGCCGTTGAGGTGTGTCAAGTTTATTTTTTTGAGGAACCCCAAACATTCCAACAAGTTGTCTTGTTCTGGCCTATGCTCCAACTTCGGGTTGTACCTTTTGCAACGGTCTTGCGTGTCTTTTCCTGGCCTCCTTCATTTCAGACCCTGCAGAAACTTCAGTACTTGCGATTTTTCTGCAGCTTTTGAGCTTATTTTCCAGCCACATGCGGAAGTCCATTGATACCTGGAGATTCCATCTCCATCAAATGCAGCTTCTGGTTTCTTTTGAACTGCTTTCGTGGGCTATATGTTGCCTCTTCAACGGTGACGTCAAAAGATAGCCAGTCATGGCAGCAATGACACGCAGCACCGTGATGGCAGCTCTGTAGGCCTAGGCCTTAACGCTCCAAGCCCAGCCTTTTTTCGCCATGGGGCAGCTTTTTGCCAAGAAGCACAAGGCCAGAAAGCCAAGGTAGGTAAATATACCTCCCCACGGCGATTTCATCGGGATAATCCAGGAAGATCCAGGATGATGATGATGATGATTATGATGATGATGATGATGATGATGATGAATCAGTGGATGGAATGGTGTAGCCTAGTTTCAGACAGCCATGGCGAGGCTGAGATTGAGATGTTCGTCTCATTTTAGATTTTCGGGATCAACATGGCCGACCCCCAAAAACACGGCCAAGCGGGCTCAGGGGTCCGTTGCTACCCCAACAGCTTGACCAACAACTTCATGTTTCCACATGGATTTAGTTTGGGAAGATCTACAGGAGATACCAGGGATATTCATAGATTATTTGACCCATTTTTACCCCAATATGCTGGAGGTTTCTTTTTATTTCTCAAGATTCTTCGAAGGCGCTGATGTCCATGGCATTTGACCACCGGTGCATCAGGCGGAGCCACCTCCAAATGTCGATCAGGATGATATGGCCCTGTGGGAAGACCCAGCGAATCACTTGTGTTCATTTCGGTAGTTTGAACATGTGTGAATCATCCAATTCAATTCGAGTTCTATAATGGATACTGTCCCAGCATGTCCCAGCTATATATTATATGAATCTTATATAATCTTATGATATACTGGGATAATCTGTATGGATATTATATTCATTACTCTCTGGTAATTTAACATAGCTATTGAAAATGGCCATTTATAGTTGATTTACCTATTAAAAATGATGATTTTCCATAGTTCATGTTAATTTACCAGAGGGTGCAGTTCTTGACCATCCGATTTTTTTTGGAGCTATGACTGGGGCGCATCTTTCAGCTGGTTGTGACTGACAAAATGAGGTCTGTGACCTACCTTTTTCATGGGGGTCAAAATTTCCACTACCAAAAGGCTGTGCTTGAGGGCCCCGGCGAGCTCAATTTCAATAAGAAAAGTGCTTTCCCAAACCGAGCTTGAGCACATACTTTTGTAGGTGGGCTGTGTTTTTGTAGAACTTTTGAATCTTATAAAAACCAAGAGTACTTTTGTAGGGAACATGTTTTTTTTGTCATGCAAAACAGTGACCTCAAGAGCCCCCATTTAGTAGGAGACATGTTGTTCAATTGAAAAAGGGTCAAAATGATCCTTTTGGACTTGGGCTCGCATTTTGTAATGATGTAAACTGTTTTTGCATTTGGTAGGCATTCATGCCCGTTCCTACAGTAGCCTTTTTTTTTGGCTTAGGGATTTTCACAGTTGGGCTACAAAATGCCTCCCCCTCCGGGGCTTCCTGCGGATTGCCCTAATTGTGGACAGCCATATGATGATGCGTTTTGAAACACATGGGCATAGATCGAAACACATGGGCATAGATCGAACTCAGGGCGATGAAAAAAGTCCGCATTGAAACTCAGGGCCATTCCCCGGGGGAGACCGGTGGTTCACTACCTTTTGTTTTTTTTTCAAGTTCAGACTCAAAATCAATGAAAAATGGGCTCCCTACAAAAAGGAAACCCGTTCTAAGAAACATCAACAAAATGAGCCATTTAGAGATCTATATAGACATCTAAAATCACATTGTCTTTCAGTAGGGGCTTTAGAAGGGTTGGGTGCTTCCTTTTGGTAGGGTTTTTTTTGGTTGTTTTTGAGGTCAAGCACCCATTTATGTAGTAGGGGGGGTTGGAGCAAGGCTTTGTAGCTACAAAAAGCGGTGGCCAGCCCACCCCCTGGAATTTCAACCCCCATCCTTTTTCATCCTTTTTCCGTCTTGGAAATTACCACTACCATTTGGTAGTCAAACATGGCCTGCTGGATTTTCCCCCATTTATGTCCATTTATGTTCATTTAGGTCCATTGATGTCCATGTAAATAATCATTTAGTTCAACGCTACAGGGAAGTTCCAACCATGTTTGATTATCAGTCCAGCGCGGCCACACCACGGTGCTTACCTTGCCAGAATTGGATAAATGGGGATTCCAGTTGCGGGAAAAGTGGGAAAACACCGGGTTTTACCGTAAGAATTACCAAAATCACTCCATGAAAATCCAAATTCCACTTGGTGACCCCACATTTTTCACGGCTAACTGATATAATCCCCATTTTTAATATTCAGTGAAACATGTCATCCCGGAGGGTTCGTGGGTGACAACATGGTTTTCAGGTTGGACCTGAAGACCCACCGCGACAAGTTGCAGCAGTCCTCGAGGAAGTTGGAGCAGCGAGCTTCGAAGTCCCACGAGGTCGCCCGGACGCTGGTGGCAGAGGGGAAAAAGACGCAGGCGGTGCCGGAGCTCAGCGGTGATGGGGTTGGGGATGTTTTGAAGTGGAACTGGTAAAAGGTGCATGGGAAAATGCCAATCTTGTGTCATTGTTGATGGGGATATAATAGGACACACATATATATATATATACATATATATATATATACATATATATATATACATATATATACATATATATATATATACGTTTATTATATATATATATACATATATTGATATATATATATATACACATAATATATTATAATATATGATATATAGTATAGATAGTATATATATATAGTATACACTCACCAGCTAGAGAGGAGTATTTTCTTGGCATTTCAAGGTGAAGACCCGTGCCATAGGCCAATCCGGTGAAGATGGTCAACTTCAAGGGCACCATCGGAATAATACATTGAGAGCCCACATCATAGTGCATATTCCAGTGTTGTATATATAACTCTGCATTACTGTACTTGTTATATATATATATATTATATACATATTATATATATACACATATTATATATATACATATTATTATATATATTATATATATATGCATATTATATATATATACACATTATATATATAATATACACACGTTATATATAATGTAATATATATATATATATATGTAAATACATGATGGCAGCCAATATTTTCACGTCAAGTCAACCGGTGATGCCGGGCCGAGATGCTGGCACTGCGGCGATGGGAACAGCAGAAACGCCTTGGGGAGGATTGTCAGAACCACATTGCGCGTTTGCAGGACTGAAAGGGAATTTGAATGGGATTTGAATGGGATTTGAATGGGAATTTGAATGGGATTTGAATGGGATTTGAATGGGAATTTGAATGGGATTCAATGTGTGTTAATCACGTTTGAAGCGGATTTGAATGGACTGTTATAGAACAGTTTATATAACGTTCAACAATGGGGGATAATGGGGATATAATCTGGATCCATGGGACTAGGACAATCTCTGAAATCTTTGCGGAACACTAAAAATGAATAGGAACAAGATTTAGTTCCTAGCTTTGGGTTTGAACATAAACCCAGACATACGGCATGGGGGAAAATACAGTGGGATGCAGTGGGATACAGTGGGATATCATGGGTTTCTCTGAAGATAAACTCAAATCAGCGATGCTCAATGCTCAATAGATCTCCGGTGGGGCCGGGCAATGGCCAGTCGGCCAGTTGTTGGTGGGTAAAAAATGCGATGGAGAATCCTTGGGTCCTCTTCCAGTGGGCTGTGAGACTTAGACCCAAGAATTCATCAACTGATCCAACCAAGCTCAGCTGAACCGAAAAAAAAAATCTTCGCTGGCCAAATACTGTGGAAGATGTGATGATTGATTTGCTGCGCCAAATCTGCGGAAGGCAAAAAGAGGCCAAGAACGAATGGGGATGTGGGGATGGGTCAAAACCTTGTACCCCTGGTGAACCTCAAAATAGCTGGTAAATGGATGTTCATCCCCCTAAAAATGGTATTAATAGGTATTGATCCATACCCATGTATGTACTGGATGTTTAAGGGTACTTCACAAAGTAACTGCTGAACTACGCCTGATTGGTAAGTCCGGCTATCCGGCATACAAATGGACGGCTATGACCCCAGTGGCTAAGAATTCCAGCTGCTTTTTTCAGTTCCTGATCTGTGAGATGATCTTCCAGGTGGGATGATTCGAATGTTGCCATTAGTTTATATCCACATAAATATGGGGCTTTCTTAAAATGGGCGAAAAAGGCGATCCCCAAGTCACCATGGTTTTCAATACTAAGTCATGCTCCAAATGGCTGGATACAGACACGCACATATATATATATACATACACATACATATACACATACATATACACATACATATACACATACATATACACATACATGTACACATACATATATACACATACATGTACACATACATGTATACATCTAAATAGGTATATATATATATATACGGTAACGACATTTAAATATGTGGAGGGCGGGCATTGTGAGGCCCCGGAGGTAGTATAAGATACCAGTTTGTATATTTAAATGTAGTTACCGTATGTATAAATGAATGGGATTCCGCATGTTTAAATGGCTGGGCGGGCCAAGGAAAACCTTCCCGGAGGTAGTCTAAGATACCAGTTCGTATATTTAAAAGTCCGTATATTTAAATGTAGTTACCGTATATTATATATTATATATATATTCCACCTTAGCTCTTCATCTCAGATCCCCACGGAAGGAGCTGATCGCCAGCATCGAAATGGCCCAACTGACCAAGGGCACCGTGGATGCCCTGAAAACGGGTGTGGCAAGGGCGCCCTGGAGATGGAGATGGCGATGGATGGGGGACGTATTTACATACATACCCTCTGGTAAACTAACATAACTATGGAAAATCACAATTTTTAATGGGAAAATCCACTATAAATGGCCATTTTCAATAGCTATGTTAAATTACCCACAGGACGAGGGGTTGTCCCGAAGGGACAACCCCTCGTCCTGTGAGCGGGGCTAGCAACCCATTGGTGCCAGGGGATTTCCTTGTCACAACAACAGTGACATCCTACGCATACTTCTATTAGGGGTTGATTTAGGGTTTACGTAAGTTATAAAACCTCCCGGCCCCATGGAACATATACGCATACTTCTATTAGGGGTTTCATTTAGGGTTTACGTAAGTTATAAAATCTCCCGGCCCCATGGAACATATACGCATACTTCTATTAGGGGTTTCATTTAGGTTTTACGTAAGTTATAAAATCTCCCGGCCCCATGGAACATATACGCATACTTCTATTAGGGGTTTCATTTAGGGTTTACATAAGTTATAAATTCCGGGCTCGCCAAAAAAGTGAAAAATATTGAAAAAGTGGAAATGGCCGAAACGTGTGAAGTCCGCAGAGGGTTCACTTTTCTGACTGATTTTTCTAAAAAGTCGTCTTAGACAACGCAAACCCACAGATGTACCAGAGTCGTAGAACACTGCGCCTGCGCAGAGAAATGAGCTTCCCACTGACGTTCATACGACCATTCCGGGACAACCCTCAGTCCTGCCCGTTAAATTACCAGAGGGTACATTACATTACATTACATACATACATTATACAATGTATAATGTGGTTGTAGTATGTTTATATGGCAGATTTTTCACCCACCCGAAAACAAGACTGTAGAAATAGGCAACTTTGTTGCATGTTGCTTTAGTCCGCACCCGCGGCCGGAGGAAATGCATTGGTGCATTGACTTGTTTTGACAAAAAGCTAAAGTGATGTGAGAAGAATTCATTTGCCACTTGTCTTACTTTGTGTGCATTTCTTTTAAAGCCATATTAAAAAATACCTTGGATTTGGGGTATCATTTGCTGGCATTTGCATTTACACTCTGGTAAACTAACATAACTATGGAAAATCACCATTTTTAATGGGAACACTCACTATAAATGGCCATGTTCAATAGCTATTTCATTTAGCATTTATTCAACATCCTGGGGATTTTTGAGGCCATGATGAAGCGGATCCAGCAAGATATCGGAGGTGCCTGGCAGGGAGAAAGATGCCGGAAGAGCTGTGAGGGTTTAGGGTCATTTGTTTACGACGTTTATGTTTGAATGTCTGAAGGCATCATGGGGTGCTGCATGGAATGTCTGTTTTGTTAGTTTTGCTGTTTTCGAAACGGTTTTTTCAACTGCATTTTTTTGGTGAACTACACGAACTACACCCCCAAACTTGGAAGTTTGCCTCAAAATCCCTCAGGAGTGGATCAAGTCCAACGATTGCTGGGTGAACAGGAGGAGGTGCAAAGTGGGCAGCAGGAACTAGTTAAGTAAGGTAAGTAGATGAAGAGTGCCCTGAAACAATCATCATTTCAGGCTTGCAACAGATTTCTATCATATATCATATAGTTGGGAAACTCTGATTGTCCAACTGGCTTCCCTTTTGTAATATGGCATATCCTGAGTTATATATTTTGGTGTCATCATCTTGAGACAATCTGGTTGGCTGTTTCGGATGCGAAGCTCGTGGTTCTCCCGGTCAAGTTGGATTGAAATGGAGGAGGTTATAACATGTTATAACTAGAGACCATGGAGGATACAGCTATAGCAGGATGGATTTTTCCTTACATATTCTAAGACAAGCTTCTAAGATACAAACAATCCCCGTGGATTCTAGATAAACTCCAGTTGATGAACCAATGCGGAAGTGTCAGGTGCAAGAAGCGCAGCAGGAGATTGCTGCGATGCTGGCAGGGGAAGGCCTGGCCGTCACCAAGAATCATGGGACTTCATGGGAATGGGAATCATCCCAACAATGGCGAAGCTTTCCGAAAATTCCCGAGATTTTTGGAGTGTTTCCTGAAAGATCCTGAAACCAACTGTGAAGGTGTAGGAGAGAAGAAACATCCGCGCAATTGTGAAAGAAACCACTGGTTCTGCACTGGTTTCACCTTCAACAGCATTCCAGAAATCCTCCCACCTCAACGATGTCCCCATGGCTGGGTGATTCAGCAGTGTGCTGCACAGGTGGAGTCGAAGATGCTGAGATGTTATCGGAGTTCAGTCGACTGCAGGCTGGGGATGCACATCTACCGGGAAGGCATCCAGACTTGTGGATTTTTGAGCTGTCCTTTGAAGCAGCAAAAGCTTGTCCTAAAAGAGTTTGGGGATAAAAAGGTTTCCTGTAGATTTTCCCTTCACCATCCTTCACCCAATCTATTGAAGATTCAATCAGAAAAGACTGATCCCAAACATGTGGAAACATATGCGGATGGGTCAAAATTGGTGAACCCCCCAGCGGATTCTCAAAAAACAAAGGTTGGAAAATTATCCCATGGCATGGATACTTGAAACATCACCTGGTGATGTTCAATTGGAACATTTCACCATGCCTGATCCCCCACAACCTCCCATTTCAGAGGTTCAAATCTGCGTGTTGGATGCTTCGATCTCCGCTTCTGCTAGAGTTGATGATCTAAGTCCCCAGCTACAGTGGCTGCTGCAGGAGGAGGCTGCATTGAGCACCTTGACCAAGGCAGATGCTGAGGCTAGATGAGATGGGGAACTTTAGAGAATACATAGACATTCCCATAGGCAACATATATTTATGTATGGATATATTTCACCACATATATATATATATATCATAATTATATATACATATAGTGTGTATATATATAATGTATTTGTACATAAGCAGCGCAGCATGATTGCATTTTTTGTTTTCTTCTTCTTCTTCTTCTCCTTCTCCTTCTTCTTCTTGTTTTATTATTTGTTGTTGTGTTATTATTGACATGTTTTTGTAATTTACATCTCGATGATCCTTACTTGGTAGCACTGCTTTGATCAGTTTTCATTGTTTTTCGAACGTGGTTGTATAATGCCTATTCTTTGTGTCTGGCGACATTGGTTGGATTTTGAGGATAGTAGTTGCACGTTGAGACTTGGCATTGGTCGGAAAAGATTGGATAGGAACATTCTCCAGTTCGCGTCCTTCAAACGCCTTCCTTCAGCTAAAATGAAACCAAAGAATTGCTTGAGCTGCGTTGATGATCCAATCAGATATAATATCACTGGCTAGCCCACAACCTGCGATGATTCAGCTGTGACTCACTGGACGAATCTACGACATATACCCATACAATTTTGGGAACGCTTGTTGAAGGCCTGTACTGTTGTGGCTTACATTCAAAACATCAAGAGGGTTTCTGAAAATAGGGGGTACCCGTAAATCGGTTGATCGATCACCATTCCGCAGTAAAATTGCAATTTTTGGGGTATGCCATCCCATTTTCAGACACACCTAAGTGATTGTTCAAACATGTTGAACACCCACCCCAAATACGGAAGTTGGAGATGCTATGCTTGGACCCTACTGTTGCAGACAGTGATGCATAATGCAATTTTGAAAAATCACCAGGCATCCCAGAAACAATTCAAATTACAGGAAGTAAACTTGGTCAAAACCCATTGGCTGTAGATTTTCCCTCAAATCAACCAAGTGAACCACAGATCTCAAATGATCTCAATCTGAAAATCCACATGAAAACCCGAAGTTCCAAGGGTAAATTCAGCTTCTTAACCCGGTAAACCATGCTAAACCCCAACAACATCACTTGGGAAAAAGCCGTCCTCCCTGCGACCTCCGGGAGGCTCCGGCAACCACCGAGACCCTGGCTCCAGACACAGTCCCAGTGGAGGTGCCAGTTGGGAGGGAACGCTTAGGGCTATCCAGGCTATCCAGGCTATCCAGGCTATCCCAAAAAAAAACTGCAATCCCAAGCCCTGACCATGATAACATATGATAACTATATCCCAATCAGTTGGGGCTTCCCAACAAAATATGATAACTACATGGGATATAGCTTGGGATTTTTGATGTGATAGATCCACATGCCAAGAATTGATGAGAAAAATAGGGGATCTTCTTTTTTTTTGGCTGGCGATGTCCCAGTAATTAAACAAAATCTTCCACTAAACAGCTAATTCTTGATCCATTGTTAGGGTTGACATAACCACATACCACATTATACCACATTATACAACATTATACCACATTATACCATATTATATATTTACTTGGTTTTGATCCGCATGATAGTTTTACATTTGGCTATGAATGGGCATTACAGTATGAACTTCTTTCCAGGGTAATCATATAAGATCAAACTGCAGAATCACATGTTCTGAGCTTGCTTTAAAGTTCATTGGACTATAAGACTATAAGATAGAAATGCTTCGAATTCTCCAAGATGTATTGACATGTATTGATTGCATTGTCCAATATGGATGCCTAAACATGTCTTCCATTGGCGCCCAAACATCGGATCGTCACTGCCTGTCCTGAGCCCAGGAGACACCACAGCCAGTCTCTGAGGCCAGTGGCATTAAGTGGGGATAGGATGGGGGTTAGGGTGGTATAATGGGATCTAACCATCAAAACTATGGTGCTATGGATACAATTACTGTACTTACTGGTGTTTTTCTTGGGGGTATAATGGGGATGATTACACCCGGTAAATTGGGGAGGCACCCAATTTTCAGACAAACCCAAAGCTGGCTTTATTTTGTATGTCCTATTTGATTTGGGAACCTTTTTTTCCACAGGTAGAGATGGTATAGGACCAAATGCACGATCCACCTGTTTACTGATCTTCCAACTTTGGGAGTAACATCCTATACCCTCTAGTAAACTAACATAACTATGGAACATCACCATTTTTAATGGGTAAATCAACTATACATAGCCATTTTCAATAGCCATGTTAGTTTACCAGAGGGTATTCCATATCATTCCAGTATGTTCCCATGTTGGTTTCAAAGACCTGTCTAGGGATTAAGTCCTCTTTTCACACGTCCTTCTTGGCGGATGTTGGCGGTCCGCTGTTGGTGAAACTTAGCGACCCCAGATGACCCAGCTTTCTGGCAGAGTTGCTCCAAGCCATGATAGGCCAAATGAGATTTGGTTTAGTATGATCACACTAAATCTCCATCATAGTAATACGGCCACATTACCTCTTCATTTCGCCAATTCGACCCCAAATGTAACAGGACAAGGTTGAGCTGGTGGAGAAAGCAACAGTTTCTGGGACTCGGGTGACTCGTTTTTCGTGACTCGGGATGTCACTGGAATGATGGCGAATGCGAGGGGAATCATCCCCAAATGATTGATGATGTATGTATATATGTATTCTGTGAGTTTTGTTTGGAAAAAACCATGGTCAGGATATGTGTTTTTTGGTGTGTATATATATATACATATGAACAGATGGGTTTGTGGTTTTGTTAGGTATACCCACATAGAATATGTAAATTATAATCCTGGCATATCCTGGCCTGTACATGTGGGCCCATGCACCCTCCAGTCATCAAGCTGGTGGCCATGGAAAATCCCATGGCATTTTGAAGCCAGGTCAGCTGGTTGGTTGGAACAGGGAGCGATGAACCCATCATCATTGGGGCATTTTTCGTGATGAGCGTTCTGCGAACATTTCTGAGGCAATATCATATATATATACACATATATATATATATATGTTAAGTTTGGGGACTTATGTGAGACAGATGAGCCGCTCAAAATATTCGATTATATAGGTTTATTCGCAAGAAACCATCTCTACATAACATGAGTTTAGAAAAAAATGTGATCCTTCAAGGGAGAGTTGTTTTCCGTAGGTTTCGCCTATAATGCTACAATTGCAGCCCGAATCACTTGAGGAACCAAATGGCCTGGGCCTTTTGAAAGGAAACATAATGGCAAAACTTCCAAAAGGATCTGAAAAGAAAGTAGTCATCTGAATAGGATAGCAAGCAGATCCATGGTTAGCTTTGGACATTTTGCTGGGAGCATGGACTCTGCAGGATGGATCTTGTGTCGATTTCATGGTCTTTTTCTCTGTTATATCCCCATGTTCACATGCTCTCTGCGTATAACCCCCCAAAACGGCCATTTTAGCAGCGAGAATGATGATAAACCCTGCCCGATTTTCAGACAAACCCAAACTAGTCCCCCTAAGCCTGAAAGGTTTCGGCTAAGGCGGCAACGCCAGCCCTGGTGCCTGCTTGAGGCATCTTGAGGCATTTCAGGCCGACCAGGGCGAAAGCTTGGCATTTTTTTGTTGCTCTTGATGCCTCTCTTAGACCTTTTTTGGTTGGCGGTTTCAGTGATTTTCAGAATTTTCAACCCTGAGGATGATGATCGAAATTGACAAGCATATTAATGATGGGTTGAAAGCACAAACCAGCTTTGGAGAATTCCTGAAAAATCACATGGACACCACAAATATATGATAGGAAGGACAATTCTCCGAGTGGACCTGGTCATGTTTGGGTGCCATTTTGGATTTTCAAGGGGATGTTAGACTGTTAGACAGTTGAGAAATGGAAAGCGGGAATGTGAACCTCTGGAGATGATGGGTTTGGGATCCGAATCCCCAGAAATGGGTGGCCTAGGGTGCTGCTGAAATGGGTGGCGTTTTCCTACGAAACCTCTGGTTTCATCAGGTTTCAGATACCTATGCCATCCAGAATCAACATTCACATCGAGAGAAGCATCTACCAAACCCTCTGGTCCAATCCATGTTCCACAGAAATAACCCATAGAATCCACTTCGATCGTAATTTTTTCCAGAGAGCATGTGAGATGACCATGGCACAATTTCGATGATCATTTCCAAGAAGTGGTGATGATAAAACTGGTAGCGGGTTCTTTCCCAATCACTGGAATTGACCTATGTCATAGTGGTTTACATCCATACGAACCTTGAATTCTTGACTATCTTACTCTGAAGGCGAAGTTGCATCCTCGTTTTTTTTCCATGTTTGTTTGCTCGAATTGCCCACTTATTTTTGCCAATATCGCCTATTTGTTTTTACTGGGAGTATGCCCATGTTGGTTGGATACACTCCCATTTTTGCTGGCTACATGCCCATTTGTGCTGGCTTTTTAACTGTTCTTTTTGGTTGGAATCCTGTCCTTTTTGTTGATTAATTACACAATCCTCTTTTTGTTGGTTTATTCTATCCATTTTTTTGTATTCGAAACATCATTTTTCCTCAACCCTAGACTTTCATATGTGGACTATTTTGGACTGACCATGGCACAAGGGGTTTTTGGTGAAGGTCCTCCATCGACTGCAGACTGCCAAGCAGATGCAAAAGCTGTGGTCAGGGACCAGGGACGGTAATCTCCGGATATGTTCAACATGGTGTGGAGATGGGTCAGCATGGGACAGCACCTACAGGGGAGCATTTTTGGGATTCACGGATGCAAATCCATTTACCAACTATATCTCGGGCTTCTGCCTAGATGATAGAAGGGACCACATCTTGTTTGGAGATTTCCTAGTTTCTGATCACTGGTTTTAGGAAGCGCGAGGGGCCAGGGGAATGAAGGTTTCAACGTACTTGTCATCGTCAAGAACAGAGGCTTCCTTGGTCGTGGATAGTCAAAATCACTATATTGTCACCGGGAAGGAGCGGCTATCACGTACCATACTCATGCTCAAACAAGGTTTTTGCAGCAGCAGTTCGGTTTCTCTTCAGGTTATATAGTGGGGTCGTGATTGGCTGACTGTGCAGCACAAGTCCACACTCACACATGGTGCATTTGTTGCTTTGATGTCGGAATTGCATGGACCAGAGCAGTGTTTTTTGGTTCAAAGCAAGACCATGTTTCAACTGATTTCGGATACTTCGGCCACATTTGCAAATTTCCAGGCGAGTTTCAGCAAGACAAGCACGCCTCAGCTACAATGAAAGACATGGACGTGCCGCAATTACCAGCAGCCCAGCTATGAACTATCCTTACTTTCAGAACACAGTATATAATGTGGATAGACTCTGAGCTGGAGCATCGGATCTACCGACGAACCAGCACTGTGGAATCCGAAACTTATCCCATTGATGATCAGGACGAATGATCCCAGATTTAGTATCAGAATATATGAACATAGAACAACATATAACATCATATAACATCATATATATAACATAAATTAACTATGACAAATCACAGTTTTTTCAAGCTTCCCCGACAGCCAAGTCCCAGCAGAGTCAAGTCCCAGCGGTTCTGGTGGCCGTCCTGGCACTTTGCGACGGGCAGAGGTGACGATGGCGACGGATAATCCGTGACTCCTGTGAAGACGAACTGTGGATGGAGATTTCCTAAGTCATGGTACCCCAAATCATCCAGTCGTCATGGATGACCATCACTTGTGGAAACCATTGGGATCCTGGGCCCCCATCTCCAAGCATCCAAAGAGATTGGTTCAAAGTTTCGAAGACCTCTGTTTTTTTCCGGATTGGACATGGTCATTCCCTAGCTATCGATGGACATGTGCCGCATTTACCCCTTGAAAAGTAGGAAATTAATTCCATTTTTATTTTTTTTATATGTAGATTTCCTTGGAAGCCGCTCTTGTTGGACATCGTTCCAGCATTTTTCATTTGCCAGCTGGTACCTCTTGCTACTTTCAGGTGGAGACTAGCCGAGAGCTTCTTCTCTGACGTTTTTTCTGGCATGGTCTGGGTGCTGAGAATTCGCCTGGGTGGGTCCAGCAATCTGAGACATCCGAAACAGGTAGATGAACATCTCAACCTGGTCCAAAATGGTTTGTTCTGTCCACTTTTTATCCCATATTAGTATTGGTTTGTTGTGGTTTTCCCAACATGTTTCAACAAAGCCATTTGGTCAAGCCTCATTTGAAGTCTCATTTGAGATTTTGAGTTTGTCCAAAGAAAGGGGTAGCCAAGATCCGGGCGGTCATCATTTCCCCTGCAATTTTTGGGTATACCCGGGTTTCTGAGCAAATCCATTTCCATCATGCTACCGCTTTGTGAACTACAGTAATTTGCGCAATGTTTGGTTTGTTAATTGGCCTTTACCCCTTGGACAGAACTTAGGATATATTAAAATTGATGCATATGCATACCCCATGTAAGAACTGAGCAAGTTCCATTCCATAATATATATATACATATATATATATGTATACATATGGAGTTTGCCCGCGATCTCAACATCTACGCAATCACTATTCCTTTCCGATGCTCAAAATTCCTGAGCTTCCGAAACAATAAACCCTAAAAATTGTAGTGCCTTACAGCTCTGAGGCCACAACACCGATGGTTCTTGTCTATGTGTTGCTTTAGTCTTGCTCAGTCGAAATTTTCCTGTTTAATCGACAACAAATCTGTAAATAGATTGCTAATGTTAGATTACCACGTGGTACCACTTTTAAGCCTTGACCACTGCCAGTTGACCTCTGCAACTGAGGCGCTAGGAGAACGAAGGCGACATGGGAACTGTAACAAGACTGATGGAGGTAATGACTGATCATGGGGATATACTGGGGAGACAATGGAGTATGATATGATATGATATATTTATATGATATATGATATGTAATTGGATATAATATATATATACAGTATACTGTGTATATACATATATATATGTAGATTATACAGTACATGATTTCATGTGTAAACAAGAGAAACCAACGAACCCGAATGCAATCACGTAAAACACTTTTGTGAAACAAATTTTTGAACAGTCCTGTACATGTTATCAATTTTCACCTGTTACCGTACCAGTGCACTGTAGACAGTGGAATGTGGAAGGGGTTGGAGTGCCAAGTGCGGAGCGTGAAGAAAGTGGAGTGTTGAGTGGGGATTGTAGTGTGTCGAGTGTGAAGTCTGAAGTGGGGATTGTGGAGTGTAAAGTGTAAAGTGTGGGGAGGAAAGTGTAAAGTGTAGAGTGTGGAGTGCAACCTGTAAAGTGAAAGGTGTAAAGTATGGAGTGTGGAGTGTCAAGTGTCAAGTGTGGAGTGTAAAGTGTAGAGTGTAGATAAAGTGTCAAGTGTAGAGTGTGGATTGAAAGGTGTAAAGTGTGGAGTGTAAAGTGTACAGTGTAAAGTATGAGGTGTGAAGTGTAAAGAGTATAGTGTGGAGTGTAGAGTGTAAAGTGTGGAGTGTAAAGTGTAAAGTGTAAAGTGTAGAACGTAAAGTGTGGAGTGTAAAGTGTAAAGTGTGGAGTGTAAAGTGTAGAGTGTGGAGTGTAAAGTGTGGAGTGTGGAGTGTAAAGAGTGGAGGGAGGAGTGTAAAGTGTGGAGTGTGGAGTGTAAAGTGTAAAGTGGGGATTGCCGAGTGTAAAGTGTAGAGCGTGAAGCGTGAAGTATAAAGTGTGGAGTGTGAAGTGTAAAGTGTGGAGTGTGAAGTGCAAAGTATAGAGTGTGGAGTGTAAAGTGTGGAGTGTGGAGTGTAAAATGTAAGATGTAGAGTGTGAAATGGAAAAAAGTGTAGAGGGTGGAGTGTGATGTGTGGAGTGTAAAGTGTAAAGTGTGGAGTGTAAATTGTACAATGTAAAATACGAGGTGTGGAGTGTGGTGTAAAGTGTGGAGTGTGGAGTGTAAAGTGTAGAGTGTGGAGTGTAAAGTGTAGAGAGTGGAGTGTAGAGTGTAGAGTGTAAAGTCTGAAGTGTGAAGTGTAAAGTGTGGAGTATAATGTGTAGAGTGTGGAGTGTAAAGAGTAAAGTGTCAAGTGACAAGCGTGGAGTGTGGAGTGGAGAGTGTGGTGTGTGGAGTGTAAAGTGTGGAGTGTGGAGTGTAAAGTGTAAAGTGTAGAGTGTAAAGTGTGGAATGTAAAGTGTAAAGTGTGGAGTGTGAAGTGTAAAGTGTAAAGTGTGGAGTGTGGAGTGTAAAGTGTAAAGTGTAGAGTGTAAAGTGTGGAGTGTACTGTAAAGTGTGGAGTGTGGAGTGTAAAGTGTAAAATGTAGAGTGTAAAGTGTGGAATGTAAAGTGTCAAGTGCCGAGTGTGGAGTGTAAAGTGTAAAGTGTGGAGTGTAGGGTTTGGTTTCTAAAGTCTAGAGTGTTGAGTTTAAAGTGTGGAGTGTGGAGTGCAAAGCGTAGAGTGTAAAGTGTGAAGTGTAAAGTGTGCAGTGTGCAGTGTGGACTGTGGAGTGTAAAGTGTAGAGTGTGGAGTGTAAAATGTAGAGTGTGGAGTGTAAAGTGTAGAGTGTAAAATCTGAAGTGTGGAGTGTGAAGTGTGGAGTGTGGAATGTGGAGTGTAAAGTCTAGAGTGTTGAGTGTAAAGTGTGGAGTGTAAAGTGTGGAGTGTAGAGTTTGGAGTCTAAAGTCTAGAGTGTTGAGTTTAAAGTGTGGAGTGTGGAGTGTAAAGCGTAGAGTGTAAAGTGTGTGGGGTGTAATGTGTGGAGTGTGGAGTGTGAAGTGTGGACTGTGGAGTGTAAAGTGTAGAGTGTAGAATGTGGAGTGTAAAGTGTAGAGTGTCGAGTGTAAAGTGTAGAGTGTAAAGTCTGAAGTGTGGAGTGTAAAGTGTGGGGTGTAATGTGTAAAATGTAGAGTGTAAAGTGTGGAGTGTAGAGTGTCAAGTGCCGAGTGTGGAGTGTAAAGTGTAAAGTGCAGAGTTGAAAGTGTAAAGTGTGGAGTGTAACGTGTGGATTGTGAAGTGTGGAGTGTAAGGTGTAAAGTGTAAACTGTAGAGTGTAAAGTGTGGAGTGTAAAGTGTGGAGGGTGGAGTGTAAAGTGTAAAGTGTAGAGTGTAAAGTGTTGAGTGTAAAGTGTGGAGTGTAAATTAAAGTGTGGAGTGTAAAGTGTAAAGTGTAGAGTGTAAAGTGTGGAGTGTAAAGTGTAAAGTGTGGAGTGTAGAGTGAAGTGTGGGGAGTGTAAAGTGTAGAGTGTAAAATCTGGAGTGTGGAGTGTGAAGTGTGGAGTGTTCAGTGTGGAGTGTAAAGTCTAGAGTGTTGAGTGTAAAGTGTGGAGTGTGGAGTGTAAAGTGTGGAGTGTAGAGTTTCCAGTCTAAAGTCTAGAGTGTTGAGTTTAAAGTGTGGAGTGTGGAGTGTAAAGCGTAGAGTGTAAAGTGCTAGGTGTAAAGTGTGGAGTGTGAAGTGTGGACTGTGGATTGTAAAGTGTGGAGTGTGGAGTGTAAAGTGTAGAGTGTGGAGTGTAAAGTGTAGAGTGTAAAGTGTAGAGTGAGGAGTGTAAAGTGAGGAGTGTAAAGTGTAAAGTGTGGAGTGTGGAGTGTAAAGTGTAAAGTGTAGAGTGTAAAGTGTGGAGTGTAAAGTGTAAAGTGTAGAGTGTAAAGTGTCGAGTGTGGAGTGTGGAGTGTGGTGTGGAGTGCACAGTGCCCTGCGAAATGACGATGGACACACCCAAAGTGCTGCCCCTGGCACGAAACATGCAACTCGTCTTCTGAAAACGACGCAAAAGTACTGCGCCTGCCACACAAAACGACTTTCGACGCTTTTGCAGACACGTGAGAATGTCAGGAAGTGCCACGCCTGCCACGCAAAAAGGACATAACAACTTGTTTGAAACCTATGAAAATGAAAGGTTTTGCAGCTTCCCCCATAGACACGGCGATGGCAGAACAAGACCAGAGAATCCAGACAAGACATGTTGGAGCCTCAAGACGAGCATTTCGTGCGAGACTTCCTCACATTTTCACAGTTCGTAGCTTCAAAATCGACATTTTCCTACGAGTTTTCTCACGAACCTCAAAATTTACTACCTCAAAATCGATGTTTCGTGCGAGGCATCCGTCAATTTTCATCACATGTCACAAAATGCCACGCCTGCCACGGAATTTGCACCTTGTCACCTCTTCGCGCAGCCCTGACAATGCAATTCGCAGAAAACACGCAACGCGATACATCTGAAGTGCTGCGCCTGCCACGCAAAATGACGACGCAAAAGTATTGCGCCTGGCACACAAAACGACTTTCGACACGTTACATCACAAAGTGCCACGCCTGCCACGTGAAACGAGGCTACGCGATGTCCGAAGAGTGACCACTTTTGCAGAACTCGCCATAGACACGGCCATAGCGACCCCATGGCGAACGCTCGCCGACGGTTGCGAACGGTTGCGGTCGCAGAAGCCCAGACCCCCAAAGTAAAACGAGAACCCTTCGCTACGCATTCAGGCAAAAAGAAAACCTACTGATGTGGGTGTGTCCGGTAATCTGGTAGCAAATCAGCAGCAACCACAATGGACATTGCAGTGAGTACAATGACGGGCAAACATAGGATTCTTTGAGTACCACATTTTTTGATATTTTTGGACATCCCCGCATTGGTTGTCGGTGGATTCTGCTACGGTTTATCACCTGTTTGTCGCTATGGAAAATTCAATCATCCCGACTTAGCACGCTAATTGCAACGGAATTGGACATTTTTTTGTTACCACTGCTCAAGTTGCTATTTCGGAGGATTCGGAGCACCACACTTTCTCTGTTTCACTCGACTCTCTAATATACAAGAACACCTCTTGGAACCGCAAATGTGCATTGTTTGATTCTTCTCTGTGGTCAACTACACGTAATCTTGAATCTGTGTTTGTGACATCTGTGCATTCTTGGGTGTGTCCTCAAGATCTGTCATGGGCTGAAAAAAATAGTTTGGTGTACCACTTAACTTAACACATGTGGATCTATAGTATTCACGTCTACATTTTGATATGTTTTGGCCAACAAAAAACTTTCTTGGTCCCTGAAAAGGGCAATTTTTTTTGGAATCGAACGGGTCGTAAGTTTCGTAATTTGGGCCCGTCGCAGGGGTGACCCTCCAGTCATTTCCGAGTTGATGGTTCACCTGTGAAAGACCCTTTTGCTGCAGGTTGACTGCGTGCCACCACAATCTCATTGTGGCGACTTGGTAGCAAACACTTGGGGAATCACCAAAGACAGGGTCCAAGTCAGAAGGACACACTATGACTATGACAACGTATATAACTTATATAACTGTTCTTGGTTTGTTTGCTTAGATTGTATATTTTTTGACCATCAGGAAATCGGAACCCAAGTGAACCAGATTTTGTTTCTGAAAATGTGCGGGAATTCCACCAAGACCAGCAAACCTCCCGGAAATGAAATATCTCTAGAAAGGATCCCCATGTTGGTCCCCGCCATTTAGAGTGGAATTGCCAACTAATGACGGATCAAGACCTATGAAATTGCATGGTTTTCCTCTTAAGTGGCGGGATTGAAAATCCATCTAGATCCGCCATTTTGAGGTAAAACCAGGGCAACCAGGTTTTGATACATTTACTAGGTCCTTACGGAAGGCAAACAACAACACATCATCAATATCTTCGATCCATGGAATTGGGACAGTGAACCAAGAATCACTATGTTTCATATTGTACATTGAGATTGGAAGACTGATAGCAATTTTAGCGCTCCTTTTGAGGTATGCCTTACTTACCTTAGAGGTATTTAAAGCTGGTAGGAACCCCCTTCTACAATAGCTGTGACGCTCCTGTGACAGAATTGAATGGACATTTTACAGGAAACCCCTATTTCTGTTTTGATGCTAACAACCATTGGTTTCCTGTAGATGTTCCTTTTGATCAATTCATTGATGTTGTCACAATGGTATTGATTTCTAACGTAGTGGTTAGTTCCAACGGTGTCCTCAGATTTTTCCATCAATCCTGGACTCAGCTGCAGGATGTCATCGATAAAGAGTTGTCCAATCCTGAAAGCAGGAGCGCCTTTTAAAGGGCCGCCCATCAGAGCTGCTGTTTTGAGCTCTGCAGAGAAAACAAGCGCAACGATGTTTCTTTACAGGGAACTGTATTGCTGTTCGTAGAATATATGTTTCACTCCGAAATTGATTTTGCCCAAATGTGCCTTGGCAGGCAATGCTTGTTGCCACTGCTTGTTGCCACTGCTTGTACTTGGGATAGATTCTACCACGAACTGGTACGGATGATCACCAAAGCCCCAGAGTCTGACAGGACATTCTCACAAATTGTGCCGCTGCCAGGATACACTTCAAGCGACATCCGGCAGAGGATAAGACACCTGGCAAGGTGCGCTTCACTGTGACTTGCGCTCTGATGTGTGTACGGGGTTCTTTGCATGGTCCTGCCACTTGAAGAGGCATCAAAAGTTCCGGCATGATCATCAGGATGATGATGATGATGATGATGATGATGATGGTGCTGGTGATGATGATGATGGTGATGATGATGATGATGATGATGATGATGCTGATGCTGATGGTGATGATGATGATGATGATGATGATATCATCATGTTCTTCTTCACCAGCACCGCCACTGCCACCCCCACCCCCCTCCTCCACCTCCACCTCCTCCACCTCCTCCACCTACACCCTCACCTCCACCCACCTCCACCTCCACCACCATGTTGATCATGCATGGTCATGATGTGTTTCTCACCATGTTTCATCATTGGAGAAGGATCGCAACTTGGCCACATTTGCCCCTGTGAAGGTCTTGGCTCTCTGGGGTGATGAGCCAGAGGAATCCGACTTCTTCGCGTGATGCTCGGGTGGTGCGCTGCGTCATTGTTTGATTCCCTTCCCGAGGATCATCCCAGGTACTTACTGTATCTGTTGTAACCGGTAAATGAACCTGGTTGATACTTGTACAGTAGTTGGACCCCAATTCGTGGGCTTCACTCACTTGGATCCATTTAGAACCAAGACAATCAAGTGGAAGTCGTTGAGCTCTTGTGATCTGGTGTTTCTTGAAATGCTGCCAATTTGACACAGCTTCAAAGATGAAACAATACAAACATGAACAAAAAACAATAGGTCGATGATCCTTAAGGCGGGCTTGTCATGGCCAAGGCTCCATACTTCTCATCCAAGCCCATGAATTTTGATGGCGAGTTTTCAAGGCCGCCGCAAGCGACCAGGTGGTACCAAAATCACCTAAAGTGATAACTCCCGAGCTCAACTTGAGAATTGTTCAGTATCAGAATCGAATACAATATTTTAAGATATGGGGATTTAATGGGATTTAGTCCATTCGAATCCCATGCTATTCCATTAAATCTGCCTGTTTAATAGCAGAAACGCCCATTGGGATGCTTGACGCTATAATCACTCCACAAAGATGGAACCCACAGCTAGTTACAGCTGTGGTGGGTATTTCACCCCGTTGCTTGGTACTCAACACTCGTGATTTTCTGTGTTTTTTGACTAGTTCACAAGATATAATATGATATAGTACAGTAAGATATATACTTATCACATTAGCAGATTTGCAACCATAGCTACTGTATTACCTCCTGGTTGCCAGGCCCAAGTTTCAGTGGGATATCAATGAGTCAACTAAGAACTGGGGTTTTGAGGCTTCAACCCTTGGCAGGATGAGACATTGTCTGGGCGTGGTGAGCCATCGTGGTCACAAGCCAGACCAGCCCAACCAGGCTGGGGGCATGGTGATGACAGCCTCCAACTAACACCCTGCCAGTTGGGGGTTGGAAGAGTAGTTTCCGAAATTGGGATGGGCTATTGTCTGGGTCTATGTTAGTTGGGGGATGGTATATATATATATAATATATCATGATATTATATATATATATACGTAACTGTATATATATATATATACAACTTATGCATATATATATATGTATACATACGCGTTGCAGCGTAGAGGGTCCCCATTCCCAATCAAATGTTGTTGCAGCTCTGCATTCCGTTGGGAAGATCAACAAAGCCTTTAGGGAATATTAAAATCCCACCCCCGTTAAACTTTACATTCAATTGGGAAGATCAACAAAGGTATTAGGGAATATTAAAATCCCACCCCCCTTAAACTTTACATTCAACTGGGAAGATCAACAAAGGTATTAGGGAATATTCAAATCCCATCCCCGTTAAACTTCTACATTCATTGAAGATCTTCAATAAGAGTTTAATTCTCCCACCCCCGTTAAACTTCTACATTCATTGAGAATCTTCGATAAGGGTTTAATTCTCCCACCCCCGTTAAACTTCTACCTTCATTGAAGATCTTCAATAAGGGTTTTGTTCTCCCACCCCCGTTAAACTTCTACATTCATTGAGGATCTTCAATAAGGGTTTAATTCTCCCACCACCATTAAACTTCTACATTCATTGAAGATCTTCAATAAGAGTTTAATTCTCCCACCAACGTTAAACTTCTACATTCATTGAGGATCTTCAATAAGGGTTTGATTCTCCCACCCCCGTTAAACTTCTACATTCATTGAAGATCTTCAATAAGGGTTTAATTCTCCCACCCCCGTTAAATATCTACATTCATTGAAGACCTTCAATAAGGGTTTAATGATGATGATGATGATGATGGTTGTGGTGGTGGTGGTGATGATGATGATGATGATGATGCGTTGCCTGCCGTGGTCGCGGTTCCGGGCAAAGCCGAGGCATTTGCCGTATATATATATATATATGTTTAGACGCGAGGGCATGTAAGAATGTGTAAGGGTCATGAAGTAAATTGGATACACAAGGTACCACCAAAGCAGGGACCATAGAAATTGGAGATGTAGGCTGGTTCAGTCATACGCTCATACACAATCCTGTTTTATCACATCTTTCTGATATCGCCTGCCTCCAACGTGGCATCTGAACCTGGCACTGTACATTCATAGGACCCCTGCCATTTTGATCATATTTGGGTATGTTTGAGGGATTAACGCCCCAAATAACCATTTCAACAGGCACACTGGTGATTCACCATCAATTTTTATCAAATTTAGGGGTATATATATATATATATCCTATTTTTAGACAAGCCCATCTCTCTATCAGAAACCTGGATTGTCAATTGCCATGGTATAAACCGCCAATGAGTAGCACAGTTGCTGACCCAGGATGAGTTCTTTGTGCTGGTTCGGAAAGAGTCCGTGCTCATGGGCATCCTGGACGGTGAGAGCCTTGGAAGAGGTAGTTGATCGTTGATTCTGCAGCAGAAAGTCGTGTCACATGAATGAGACCTGGGTATGATTGAAAATCATGAGCAACCGCCTTCCAAGCCGGATGGTTTTCAGCCAAAAATGTTCATGTTCTGGGTTCATTGGTACCCTGTGTTTGAGTCTTACCCATATCGCCCGGGCAATGCTCGGACATAATGGTACCGTCCACACACAACCGCTGGGTCATTCTCGTGGAATCACAAATTCCCAGGGCACATTCTGCTTCCTAACGAGTTTGACGAACTGTCCAATTTTTTTTCCTAGAGTCAGCAAGTCAGACCACAAAAGGTGGTATGTTTGAGATGTGGCTCTAGACATTCCCAATCTGCTTGGTAATTCAGACCCGAGATTTCCTGTAGCAGTGAGTAATATTATTGTTTTCGAACACATCGGCCCGGGTGAAACAATCCATTTGCTAAATCTCTTACCAACTGCTAGTTTGGGATTTGGAAATCTAGAACAGATCATCAGTTTTTTTTTCATCATTGTTATACCGTACATTCCCAAGAAAAATTGGGATTGTGCCTTGCCGTTGCCATGGAAACCAGTGACTTTGTCGCTCAGGTCACGGTCCATACGGCCACTGTGTGGCGCATTTCGCGCAGGACCGATCGAGTGATTTCGAAAAAAAAAATCCCAAAACAGTCAATGCCCGGCCGGTGATGTTAGATTTCTGACATGTGTGCACGTATAATGATATATTATATAATATGTGTAGGAAATTATGTATTCAGTATTATTTCCGCGTGTTCGTTCGTTCTCTGCCGATATTTTACCCTTAAAATCTCAACATTGGCTGGTCAAACTCAATTCTGTGTGGCTTTGAAAGACCCACATTGGTGTTTTTTCAAAGTAGGGTTTCCACGAATCAGATGATGTGCTACCGAGCAATGATTATTGTAACACACTGACAGTAATCTTTGTGATTTTGGTGGTCTATTGCTATTTCCAAAATACCATGAAATACTCCATACATCTGACTGGTGGTCTCAGATACGGTCCATTTTTCTCCCTACTTTTCTACAATGAGTCCCAACCCCATGATTTTTGGGGGTTGACATGACCCAGAGATCGGGTGAGGTCCCCAGCCGCAGGAACACCTTCCAGGTACCATCCTTGAGGGTCTCCGTGCAGATCCTGAAAGCTGGGAGACCTCCGTGAAGAACGGGGCAGGGGCGACTCAGCGGGAGGAATGATGGGGAGCAACACCGCACCTGACCATGGATGGTGGACTGGATGCTGGATGGTTAGGCTGAGTTTTTTTGAATGAATTTTGTTGGGGGGGAAGCACCAACTTGGTAGTTTGGGTAAGGGACTGGTTGTTGACTGGATCAATTCTGAACCCTTCCCCTCTAGAATGAACCATGATTGTGGTGGTCAAGGTATGGTCAAGGGTATTCTCCTATTATATCCTATTCTTGGATATTCTTGGAAGATTTTGGAGATGCCCACATTTTTGAATATGCTTGGTCATTGTTAACCAGCCCTGACCCGCATACCGATCATTGATCCGAACTTCCCAGGAAGTCTTCTAGTGCAGAAATCAAGACTTCCTGCAACTTTCCCCTACCCGTTCGATACTTCAATCATCATGAAACTCCCCTAATTCATTGGATTCAGGGAACATTTACATTATGGGAAAACCCATGTTTTCCTGTAGAATTTCCCAGAAAAGACCATGGTTCAACAGAAGCGCCATGCAGGTCACCATGTTATGCCGCGAGTGCCAGTTGGATGCGGACATGGCGGAGAAGGAGAGCCTGCCGAAAGGGGGGCCATAGCCATGGGGACATGGGAAGCCAGGAGCGTTCACAGTTTGGAAATGGGGAATTTTCATTATCAAAATTGATTGATATATGTGTATATGCATATATATATAATGTATGTATATGCATATATATATACATATAGAATGTATGTATATATAATCATATATATATATATACATATATAATTAATGTATATATATATATAATTAAATACATATATCCATATGTAGTTGCATATTTCATTCTATGTATACATAATTATATGGAATGTTATACACATACTACCAGCCATTTTGTGGGGATATAATGGGATATATTTTGTGGATACAATGTGATATACAACCATAATTATAGTTGGCTTTGTCCAAAGATGGGGAATACCCCAAAACGGCAACATGGCAGTTGGACAGTGAGGATCATTTGCATGATTTTGTTTGCACCCTATACTAGAATTCATCCAAGAAAATGTGATAATGCAAGTATGACAAGTATGCAGGTGCAAGCTGACCAGCAACAAACACGGAGTATGCACCAACAAGATTCTATGAGGACTCCCTGAGAATTTGCATAGTTCCTTGTGTTTTTTGCAACAAGAATGGATTTGTTTTGGCTCAATTTTTGACACCCATGGCTGACCGCCTAAAATTAGATAGCTCCAGGCTAGGCATATCCAGAACTTACATGAACTTACCGCATGATGCAATTCTGGGGTGTTTTTTTTTCCCCGGCCGCAGCTGTATTTCCGGATCTGGGTATTATAATGGAACATGGTGGAACATGTGAGGGGCCCAACCTCATCGAGCATCAAGATATAGCTCTAGCTCTAGACAATTGACCCCAACGTTTTTCTTTCATGCACAGCCTGCCAAAATCGAGTCTGTGAAACATGTCTTATCCTTTGCGGTACCCCATTCTTGAGCTATAGCAATAGCTTGTTGTTTTTCATGTGTATGTGATGTGTATATTATATGATACATACTATACGTATGTTTGTCTTAGCATTTACACATTGACATAAACATATGTATAACTGTATATATATATATATACATGTACGTTTGAAGCGTACATCTAAGCTAAGACCAGGGAGTGGAACAAACACACACATATATATACTGTACTATAATGTGATATGATATAATATGATCTAACATACTATACTTTACGATATTATACCATAACATAATATCCATTGTACTCTCAACAACTTCTTCCCTCGATTTTACATTGTCACCTTCCAGGCCACCATGTCTGGTACCACGATGACGGTGCTCATGCTCGATAGCTGGAGCCTTGGAGCATCCATTGGAGCCATGGCGCCATGGCCATCGATGAGGGGATGGTCTCCAATGAGTTATCCTGGCGCATAGCTTGGAGCTTGGCTCCTGAATGGCTACAAAGCCTACAAAAGCATACCAAAACTCGAAGGGATTGGGATTATGATCCACTTGCAAAGCTCAGAATTTGCAGGGATCATCCCCAGTATCATGACTTGGAGTTGTCTGAAAATTGGGTACACCAGTTCCGATCAAATACATTTTGTCTAATTCTTTGTCCTGGTACTGAACTGCCATGGTTGGGACGCGCCTGGAGCGATGAGGACAAAGTTCTGTTTTGTAAATGTGTTTGTCAATGCCAACCCCCCACAGCCTGCAGAATTTGAATGCGATTTAAGGGACATAGATGGCGCAACTCATTTTTTTGATAAACAATATAGTGGAATTTGAACGGGATCTACTGCATGGGATGTTTGTTAGCCAACAGTGTACAGTGGCAGTGGCAGAGTAGCGAAGATTATCCCTCACTTTAGGACACCCCATATGTATATATATATATATTTATACAATATATATATATACAATACAATACAATAAAACATGTGTAATCTACAGTATTAACAAGCAGAAATGACGGGACATGTAGTAAACTTAGTGAACTATACCCTTATGTCCAACTGGGGTAGTATTGCTGGCAGTCGCGCCATCTACCTTGTCATTTTGAAGTAAATTGGTCACGCCATCTACCTTGTCATTTTGAAGTAAATTGGTCATCCAATATGCGCTATTTTGGGGCGATTTTTTCTTCAATTGGATCTTTGACACAAGCCACATAGATGGCGCAACTCGTTTTATGTTCCAGCCAAAATAGCGCCGTTTTCTTCCTCACCCCGGTGCCATCTTATGGGTATTTTGGCTGGAACATGAGTTGAGCCATCTACTTTCAGGTTAGTGTATATGTAGAGTATATTTGTATATTTATGTAGAGTACAAATACATATATATATATATATATGTAGAGTATATATATATGTAGAGTATATATATATATATGTACAGTGTATATATTTATATGTGGAGTATATATATATATATATATATGTAGAGTTTGTATAAATATATTTATGTAGAGTATACGTATATATATACATGTAGAGTACATATATATATATATTTACATATGCAGAGTATATATATAGATATGTAGAGTATATAAATATATGTACACTATATAGTGTGAAGTATATATATCTAGAGTGCAAATATATATATATATTTACATGTAGAGTTTATATTTGTATATGTAGAGTACATATAAATATATATGTTGAGTATATATATATGAAGAATATTCAAATATGTATATATGTAGATAATATATATATATATATGTAGAGTGTATATATATATGTAGAGTTTATATATATATACATATATATATACATATATATATATGTAGAATATTTAGATATGTATATACGTAGAGTATATATATACTTATTTATTTATATATATATATTTATGTATATATATATATTATATATATATATATACGTAGAATATATATATATATATGTATCATTTGGAGGGATCCGTGGCCAATCACCCTGCGGACCTTCGTGTCTTAGTCGTCAGGTCCTGCGCATTCGACATGGAGAGTTCGCTCAGCTCACCTGGGGGATTCCATTGCGGTGGGGGACCGGATTTGACCATGGGATGGGCTCAGCAACTCGTGTTCTTTTAAGGGATAAGATCCGTAGATATTAACGGCTTGTTATCCATTGTCATTGTGGAGAACTATGGGAATTCAAATTGAATTCATAGATATTAATGAATCTCCGTGAATATTGATATGGATGGATAAATAATGGATATAAATGGATTGTTCACCCCACCGTGTAGTGACTGTGGGGTATTGCTTAAGTGACCCAAGATGAACTAAGGGTCCCCACTTGTCTTATTATCATGGATCTCGGTATCCTTGCTAGGATGACCAGCCAAGATTCATCAAAGATATTCATGAATCACTATCCATTGAATGTTCAAAACATTTGATGTTTCATTGCATCATTCATCTCAGAAACCGGAAGAAAACATGTGGACACTTGTGTTGCCCGGATCCCTGGTATGAGACCAATTTCAATCCAGCCGCCAAACATAACCCTGCCAATAACATGTGGATTTCTATCCAGGGGTTGGCACAGCCCATGAATCTTCATGGATAAAGCAAGCGTTATATACATTTCCTTCTTGGAGAAGATGTCCAAGTCCTTCCAATTCCTTCCAATCGACAACTGCTTGTTGGATATAAATGGTTTTGGACGGCGTATGTGGGTGGGTCAAAACCTATGAAATTACCATATTTGGAGGAATAACTATCCATTAACCAGCTATTTTAGGGTACCTAGGGTACCAGGCTTTTGACCCATAAGCATATGATCATCTTGGCTATGAGTCTAGTGGACCAAGAATGGACCCATCAGAGTGGTCTTAGCATGACACCATTCACTTTGGTCAATAATTCTGACGCATACATTGACAAGAAGTGGGGCCAACGCAATCGCTAAGTTGGTCAATTCCAATAACTATGGTTTTTGATATTTAATGATCGTTATTCCATGGCTATATATGATATAATACTGTATGATTCTATAGCTCCAATACCATTATTATAACCATAGTTTTCATGGGGTGCATCCCATAGCCCTCCAGTGGCAGGTCTTGGCCCATAGGCCACGAGCCAACGGGGCCTGGGAAATTACCCAACTCACCAACATCCATCGCCCGGATCGGCAGGAGCTGGCACTGGATGGGGAAAATGGATGGCCATCGAAATGGTGGCCAGATGATTGGAAATTGGAGATATGATGGGAGAACATATATATATATATATACACACCAGTATACACATATAATGTGTTCATAGTTTATGATGGGTAGTCAATTCATATCTTTGAAAAGGGGTAGCTTCTGGTTATCTACTGATGCAATCGGAAATGTTGAACTTCCATCCATTCGTGATTTTGGTTTTCTGTTGGCAATTGGGATGCATTGTTGGTTGCCTGGCTTGTTAAAGGCTTATTAACCACCAACAACCACTAAGAAGAGCTTGTAAATCATCTATTGTTGGGTTCACGTTTGGGGTTGGTTGAGTCCTCATGATCTAGGCTTTCTGAGACCACTTTTTTGTGTCTTGGGCTTAAGTTGAAACGCGGTTGCTGGACGGCTTTTCTCTTGGTGGTTGAGATAACCATTGATCCAATGGGTCGCTCTGCGGATGAAAGATGATACCGTTGATGACGGTCAAAATCAGTCGAAGTCTTTTGGGAAGCAGCTGTTGGTGATTGGCGCAAGTTTTTTTGAGGATTGCTCCGGCCAACAGGTGAACCTGACATGTGCCATGGTCAAAAGCATTGTCTAGAAAAAACATGAAAAAACAACATATTTGGGGATGGCCATGAATGCAGTTTCATAGGGGTTTCATGGCATGGGAACATCATCATTTTTCAGGATGAGGCGCAACGGATCGAAGATGCAGGGGGCCAGGCCAGAGATGGCCAGAGGGGTTGACCTGGAAAAGGCGTATCCCCCCAAGTCAGAAGTGGTTCAGGGAGCCAGGTGAGCCATGAACAACATACCCTGGTTGATTTCTTTATGAAATAGGGACTTATACCACTTGGCTTTATTTGGGGATTATGTATGATTTCAAGGCTTACGCCTGACAGCCGGGCGTGGGACAGTGTAACTTACATTTTAGCCCCCAAAGTTTTGCTATATGTGCTATTTTGTGCTATATGACTGAATATACATCTTGGTAAATCATGCAGGATCATGGTATATCAGGACATGATTTATCACAACCCGCCGGCCTCGCTCCTTCACTGCTGCTCATAAGAAGCGACCAAAACCACTGCGTGGAGCAAAAAAAAATGTTTTGTTCGGCAATATTATATTATATTATTGTATTGTATATTATATTATATTATGTTATATTATATTACATTATATTATAGTGATATTATATATTGTATCAATATTATATGATAATATAAATATATATATGATATATATGATCACAGTGTAGCTATTCCCCATTGATATGGATCTACCGAATGGTCATTTTGTGACCTGTCAGGTGCTGGACTGTGGAGAGGGCGAGGCTAGCCGACTACTCGCTGGTGAATGGACCGCCGACTGCACTGACGGCTGGTGATCACCAAAGCGAAACGTGTGGATATGGCTTTGCCTAACATGGCTATTTAAGGGGGAAATAACCCATTTTCAGAGCCATATACACATTATATGCACATTTGAGCATACCATGTTTGACTCTAGATGTGTGTTTTCTTTTGTATTTCTACAAATGCCCTTTAGAATACGCAGGATGTATATGTAGATTCTGTAGATGATGTGTTTAACCCAAGCACAAAACGCAATGAACAAAAATTTCCAATTGGCGTTCATCATCCGGTTTCTCTCATGGCCTTCAGGACGAAACTTCCAGCTAGGTGAACAACTGCGTTGGGTTGTGCATGTCAAAACATGATGCCTGTGTGGGTTTGGGTTCCATCAATTTGTATTCTGGGGGACTTTTTCTTTGGGTCATCGGTATGCTGTCATTCTTATACATATAGACAGAACATATATAATATAATATTATTTAATATAATATAATAGAATATAACATAATATAATATAAGATGAGATAATTTAAGATAATATAATATAATATAATGTATAAAATAAAATAATAGAACATAACATCACATGATATAAGATAATAGAGTATAATATATACATACATTCCAACACTAATACGCACCCACATTAATATCACTGTCTGATATCTCTATACGTTTGTCATGTGTGCATCCCCTGCTTCGTTGCAGGAGCTTGGCCGTGTCACGCTCCTGGGGAGACTTTCACGCCAGCCGAATGGGACTCTCCCACGATCCTGAGGCCGACATGTCCAACACACGGCCGCCGTCCAATTGAAAACGGTTGTTTGTTTCATTTCTTTGTTTCACTTCTGGGTACATCCTACCTTTGGGCATCTTTGGGCACCCAGATATGACTTACTATTTAACTATGCACAGTGTTTTGCGATATCCGAAGTCAGAAATTGATTGGCTTCTTGTCCCAGCACGGCCTGGCAGTTCTGCGAAGAGAATCTGCCCTTGGACTCCGATTGCTTCATCTTGGTCTGTTCGGATGGCGTTTGGGATGCCACTCAGCTGGGAAGATGTCCATCTGGGGGACCCTGGAAAAGTGAGGAGGGATGGAAGATGGAGATTGTTTGATGCTTCAAATGGCCGAATTGTGAATCGCCCAAATGAATCCAAAGGGTAGCACCAAACCTCAAATGAATCCAACACCCAAATGATGGGAGATTTACGAACCAGTACCTCACCAGTTCCTCACCAGTTTGATGCGTGAAAGACTCGGACCAATGATACAGAGGCGTTTCCCCAACCTTTGCAGGACGCCAGCATGCGCCACCATAGATCCTGGTTGTGGAAGCCTCCCAAGAAACACCGAAAAAAAACACGTCATGGTGGATTATGATCAGGTCTTTAAACACCGGCTGGCGGCTTCAAGTATTAACTGCAGTTGCATCATATCGAATTGGTCTGACTCTGGCCCCAAGTGATGGGCTGAAGCTTCGCAGAGCTAATGAATGGGTCCATTCTCCATGGGTCCCCCATTTTGAGCCACGATCCTGATGAGTGTTTCCTGATAATAGGACGCCATAGGGTTTCACTTTCACCATGGGTTTCGGCTTCAAAGGAGTCACTCATTTCAAGACGCCTTCATATCATCTCATATCCATGCCCAACATCTCCACATCAATACACCTTAATTTAATTGGAAGCTAGGATGAACGTTTGGGTCCATTGCTATTAAATTCAAGAATCCAGTCAACTTAGAAAACAAAACATATACGTATATATACGTATATATATATATACACACATACAATTGATTAATGATAGTTATATATATATGTGATTTTCCAGGTATCGCTGATGAACCATTCTCTCCATCATAGAGCTATTTCAGCCCCGAATAGGCCCTGAATTTCCCACCACAGGTGATGCCACAACTGCAAGCGGTGAATCTCATCGGAAAATATCCACCAGAAGAGGCTGTAGAAAAGGGGGGTAGTTCTCGGGATACGATGGGCATATAGTGGGGATATACAAGGAATAAACAATATATATATATATACACATACACACACACTATATTATATGAGATGGGATATATTATATCTATTTATATCTATCTATCTATCCATCCCTCTATCTACTGTAATCTAATCTAATCTAATACTAATCTAAGTCATTCTAAGTCTAAATCTAGTTAATCTAATCCAATCTAATCATTAATCTAATTAACAGCGAATCTGTTGGGTTTCAATCTCTGGGTCCGCGGACTGGTGACACGAAAATGCACGCCCCGAAAAAGCGGAACAGTCCTGGAACTTTGCTGGACCCTTTCGCTGTTGGGTCACAAAGCTGGGCTTACATCAGTTGATGATATATGTACATATACGGATATACTGATATGTCATAATATATATATATATACATAGGCGTTGTGACGTATGTTTCAAGGACGGCATCTCAAAGATGATCCTTATTTATTACTGTATATGATGGGACAATTTATTGGACATTTAGCGCAATATTTGAATAGAGTTTATGGCAAAAACCATGGTTGAATATATTTGATGGCAATTTTGCCGTGGTTTCCGGTTGATTTCCCCTTAAACCAATCGTTTGCGAGGCACAAAGTGCGGTTGAGTCGGGCGTCCCAAATCTGAATCGAAGGGCTATTGCTGGAAGACGAAAACGTTTAAACGGATGATATGTTCCATTGATAGCCGTTATCATTGATTTACATAATGTTGTTTGCTTAATTTTCTATATCTATGCTGGCACATTTGCCAACTTTGGATTCTATGGATTCTATTGCCCAAAAATCTCACCCCATGCTGGTAAAAACATCAGCAGCACGGACAATGTGCTCAATGCCACCTGTATTTATACGCAAAAACCCTGGTTAATGAATTCGGCGAATTTCCCCAAATCGGATATCATTTGCTGGGTTTGTCTGAAAATAGTATACCCCAACATCCGGTGGTCTACAATTATTTGTTGACATATCGTTTTGGTGGATCCTATTTCTGGACAAACCCTAGGTGCTAGGTGCTCCATCAACAACCCAGGGGTCAACATGCACGGTTGACCATGATGGGTCCTCGAGACTCGTAGGAAACTGGTGAACAAAGCCCAACTGCGATGGCAAGAGAAGGGTGAGACGGTGGACGTGCGCTTCCTGAGCCACTGGCTAGGGGCTGTTGGGACAGAAGATGGGACATTAACAAGAACAATAATTTGTAGAACAAATGACCCTCTGGTAAAGTAACATAACTACGGAAAATCACCATTTTTAATGGGTACATCAACCAATTTAATGGCCATTTTCAATAGCGATGTTGGTTTTCCAGAGGGTAGGGAAGAAAAGAGGAGCATGTCTCTTGATAAACATGGGAAAAAGACACGTTCGGATATGGCAAGGACAGTTTGGTCGTGGATGATGTCCGTGTTCCAAATGGTGACTTCTCATTGCCTTGCTATATTGCATTATTAGATTGTCAGGCATCATCTATGAAATAAGTTGAGCTTGGAATTTATCCTGAACAACTGTGGGAGCGCCTGTGCAGCAATTGTGCCAATGTAACCGGCAAAGATCGAGCCATCGGATATACCATGCTCTCCACATCTCTCCACCATGTTTGTTGATGTAATCATATTTGATGGTTGATACCCATTCATGTATGTATCATATCTATTATATATATATAATTATATATATAGCTGGATACATACATGCATACATGCACATATGCATATACGCAGACATCGGATATCAGTGATATCAGATATCATGCATATGGATATATAAGCATACGTTAAAAGTCATCACCAGCCCCTACAACATTTACCCTCATGCCTCCAAGTCCACCCCAGATGCCCATGCGACAGGATATCACGGCCTTAGTCCTATGGCCCATCTTCAACGATGGCACAGCATCATATAGCGATGCCATCATGGCTAGTCAGGCGCGTCCCGAACTCATGGCAGATCAACCTGTTAGTTTGGGTGATGGCAACTAATTGTTGAGTGAAATGTCATAATTCTAGGGGTTATATATTTATATTCATATATTATGTATTCATATTTTCATATATTCATATTTTCATCTAATCTGTTCATCTATTCATATCTTCATATTTTCATACCTTCATATCTTCATATGTTCAAATTGTTCATATTTTCATATATATATAGACACCTCGATCTTTGAGGGTTCCGCATACTATGTATATATATATATATTATATGATTATCCCGTTTAATATATATATATATATATGAATACATACACATATATTACATATATATATATATACACCCTATATATATATATATATATATATCTTATAATCATATGATTATATATATATATATCATGGGCAAACCAACTTTTTCAGCCCAACTGTACCTTTTGGCGCATAGGCCGTTGGAGGCTGGAAGAAATGATGATTCGACGCTGATGCCCTGCACGCGAAGCGTCCAGGGAGTAGCCCAAATTCACCAGGACATGCCGAGTTTAGAGCGGATGTTTTTCGAAACAGTTTGTGGTTATTTATTGAGATATAATGATATAATATACCATCTATGGAAATTTACGGAAAAATGTGCCCGCAAATTAATATAGGCCCTGCAAATAGCATGTTCTATTAGTGGAAAGTAGTTTTCTGAGCCCCTATGGGGGAGGGTATGAGGTTCAAACAGAATCATTTGAAAAGTTGTCCAAATGGTTTCCACGGTTAGTTTTGGAAATTATTTTGAAACAAATTGTTGCTGGTAGTGTTGGAATTTGAGGGGGTAATTAGTAGATGCACAATACCCCAACACCACCTTTGTTGACTTATATTGAAATCCTACAGGATCATACCAGCTTGTTTTAGGGGAAGGGGTACAATCCAAAATGACTCTACTATAATCATGGTATTCGACCAATTTTGTGTGCCAATTATTGCATTTTTGAATGGGAACAGGGAGGTGACTACAAAGCCAAAAGAGCGGGACGTGACTGTGATGCCACCAGCGAATCATCGATGAAGGTGGTTGGTGCGTTCAAACACTGAGACTTGACTGGTATCTGCAGCCAGACAACAACGGGCTGCAACAAAACATGGAAGAATGTGGGCATCCCAAAGACCAGCCATCAAGACAAGACACTGCAAGAAATTCAGCTTGGCCTGGAGTGGATGGCGCGTTGCAGGCGCCTGAATTTGGCTGCCAGTGGGCCGCCAGATCGCCTTTGGCGACATGTTTCAAAGAGCGCCACATGGAGTCAATGACTCATCTTTGAATACCTTTCTCCTATGGTTATGGGTCAAATCATTACAGCCCACAAAAATGGGGTTGATGAGCAGACATCCAAAAAGTCAATTCTGTGGATTTGAGGGATATTCACCAAATTCCCTTAGTTTTGACCCATGCCCACGGCAGATTGTTTCTGTTTACTTCGATTGTGCTGAAACCTGTGTTGTGATCAGCGATTGTTTAAAGCGGGACCCCGCACTGAGCACTTCACTGTTGGATCATGGTGGATCATGGTGGATCATGGTGGATCATTTTTTCTGTGCTTTTCATTTGGTCGTTATTAGCCTCTTGGAATTTCACACAGCTGCGGAAAACGGGCCATTTATAGATGATCCCCATCTCAAAAATTGGGAATTTTCTGTAACTATGTCAAAGTACCAATGGGTATAGGATATTGCAACCTTTCTTGAAAGTCAGTGCTCCCGCTGTGTCACTGGCTATCGTGCCTTGATACGTCCAATCCTTTGGTAACGCATGACGATCTTGCAGGGATCACATTATTTTTTGTCTTGCGAGCGGTTTACTTGGATATTATGAGTATGGATACTTGGATATTATGAATATGGAACAAAGATCGTCTATGCAAACCTGTCCACCCAATTCAATCCGATTACCATATGCCAGATATTGGGAAAACATAATATAATACATAATTCAAATCGAATTATATAAACAACCCGATTATCGACAATAATTTTTGTTCTAGTGATATCTAATTATGATATATTAATAGGAACTATATTAATTCCATTTAGTTCCCATATTATGATACCTATTATATTCAACCATTTTCCTATGTTTTTAAATTTGATATTTATCGAATATATACGCAATTTTACCCGTTAGATCCCGGTTGGGAATGCGCTGACAAAAATTACAAAAAACGACTTTGATTGACCCGTAACCCAATTACCATTAGAAAATTAAAATTTATCTTTTCTGATTGACAAAAATAATAATACCAACAAAAACAACGACAAACCTTATAACAAATAAATAATTCTTAAATTTCTACTATTAATTATCAA